GACAAGCTCACTAAACACTTCCTGATTTTACCTATTAGAGTTGGAATATTGCCTTTGTATATCAAATTAAATGAAGATTACACAAACCAATCTTGTGAATCGGCCAGTGTCATGTCTGTCTTTTATACTTCAATTTTTTTCTGTCTATTTGTCTTTCGCGAAAGCGAGGAGACATTAAATCTCATTCGTCTGTCAGTCTGTCTGTCCATCATACAAAAACTTTAACCTTGCTCATAACTTTTGATTTAGTGGAGCTATGACTTTCATATTTCACATGTGTATCCCTAGTGACAAGACCTTTCTTTGGGTACCACCAAATTTGACCTTTTGACCTTGACCTTGGAGTTTGACCCACTTTTAAACAAAAATTCCAAACTTTTACTTTGGCCATATCTTTTGAATGGTAGATACCGTAATTTACGGAATATAGGTCGATACTTTTTTTCTCAGAACCGCTGGGGTCGCCTAATATTCAGAATTCGACCTATTTAAGGCTCAAGTTTACGAAAAATGCCCCCAAATCAGTAAAATTTACGTCAATTTCAAAGGAAATTTGTGCCACTTTCGTAATTTTTTTTATTATTTTTCGCAAAAAAATTAACGCACCGGTAAAAAATGAAATATTTATTCTATAGCTTTCTTACAAAATAAATTCCATTAATTATCCGTTGATGACAAAGGAAAACAACATTGCTAAGAATACATATGTGAAATATGAAGGCCCTAGGGCTTTCATATTTCACATATGTATTCTTTGTGGCTAGACCTTTTATTGGATATCAACAACCTTGACCTTTTGACCTTGACCTTGGAGATTTCCCTACTTATGAAAAAACTTTTACCTTGGCCAATACTTTTGGTATGGGCTAGGGCTTTCATATTTCACATACCGGTATGTAATCCTCGTGAGGAGACCTTCATTGGATACCAACAACTTCCGTTTGACCTTGAACTTGGAGTTTGACCTACTTTTTAAAAACTTTAACCTTAGCCGTAATTTTTGAACGATTTGGGCAAGGGCCTTCATACTTCACATATATAATACTTGTGGCAAGACCTTTCATTGGATATAAAGAACTTTGACCTTGACCTTGGAGTTTGACCTACTTTTCGAAAACTTTAACCTTGGCCATAACTTTTGTATGGTTCGGGCAAGGGCTTTCATACTTCACGTATGTAATACTTGTGGGGAGAACTTTCTTAAGAAACTACCAATATATATTTGATTTGCATTTAAGAAAAGTTGAGTCTTTGCTATTTTGCCATATGGGTCATCAGGTTCACTTTCTTGTAATATTTGATTGAGAAGAGATAGGGCTTTCATATCTGACATGTGCATTACCTATGACAAGATTTGACACAATATGTCATAATAAAATACGACATCCCACCCACAAAGACACCGAAAGCGGGGGACCTCAATTCTTTAAATTTGCTTGATTACCTTTATTTTGACTTTGACCACACATTTGCTTAAATAATTTTCTGTATTGGGGAAACATATACACTGTATGTTTGGTTTTTTTCTTCTTTTTTTCGGTCATTTTAATCCTTTGTAACAAATAGTAAATGGCATTGATATGTTGAACCTAGTTTATGACAGTATAGATAAATAATACAACAAAAATATCCCTACTTTGCGAGGATCGAGATTTAATTGTCTTATACAGCCTTAACTAAGTGCCTCATCCTTCAAAATTGATAGAACCTGTGTCCAAGGCCTTACTGATTACTCTGTAGAATATGCAATCATTTGTAAAAGATTTGTATAAGTAAATGTCCTGACTCATGGACTTGTTGGGAACTTTCAGGAGCGCTGAGAAGAAATCACACACATCAGAGTCTGTCAAACTCTTGTCTTATGAAAGGGGATATGTGGCTTATCCAGGCTTCATGGTAGAGCCAGAAGCCAAAATCGTACTCAAGTCAAAGGATGGGAGGAAAAAAGATATGATTTATCAAGATTCCTTACCAGACTTTTCCATTTCAAAAATCAATATATGCTATGCTTCTATTACTTGTAATAAATAAAGCAATGGCTTTTTTTTTTATTTCTCTTTCAGCTTTTGTAACTTCTGGAAAGATAATATTTTTATTGGAGAAAGTCATAGAAATTAATTTTGGTAATGAGATTGGCTTAGAAGATATACTTCCTTATTCAAGCTCGAAAAAAAGAAAAAGAAAAATCCTAAAATCGTTAATCATATCAGAGTGCAGTTTAGGTCTAAAGTAAAAATACTCAGTTCAATGTGAATTGAAGTAATGGCTGAAAAAAAAGAACTTAAAGGCAGAGATTTTAAGCACCGCCTCTAAAAATACCTGGTCTGGGTAGCCCTGTCAATCAAGTGCGTGAAGGTCCATCATTGGATGCTGGAACTTGATTGACACTTGCTTACTGGTCCCTGTGTATACCCTGTACACCTTGATTGGGACTCACAGTGACCTTCTAATTAACTTTTGATCCTTTGATGTTTACTGAACATGGTATACAGAAACTGTATTACTATGAAAATTTTATATTGATGATATATGAATTAAATATACCTTTAGTATTTGAAAGTATTATAATATAATATGCATTTAAAAAAATAAACTTTAGCACATAAGACTTTTTTTTCAAATGAAATTTCAATTTTAATTTTAATATGCTAAATGGTAAGCCTAAAGTGGAGATGTTATTGACAAAGTTCAGAGTAGCACTGTGTGAAGTAATTAAATTTAAAAATAATGTTTCCAATCATGGGTCACTTATTTTCCTTTTTTATTCAGTTAAGAATTTACAAGAAATCTTTTTTAGCATATTTCATGGTGACAAAATCTTATTGAGGTTAGGATAAAACCTAGATATTTTTCTTAGTGAAATGTAGTTAACTCAACTCTCTTTTCGTTTTATTAATAGATGGGATCCTTGGGAGGAATGAATTTTAAAAGTCTAATCTGGTTGTTACAGGAGTTTTTTTTTAAATCAACACATACACTAACATCTAAAACTATCTTTATTTTAATATTTGAATTTATAGTATGGTAAAATAATGATTTTTTAAATGGGTAGGGGTATTTTCAAAATGTAAAAAATAAAAGTAATATTGAAAAAAACCTTTTACGACTAATTTTAAAATTGTCTCAAAATCCCCAACACAGGTAAAGTTTGACATCTGGGTATTTCACTGTGTATTAAATCACTTCCTGTGTATAGGGATTAGGAGATAGATGGCCACAGGTAGACTGCTAGCCCCCAAGGCATTCACACCTGTACAAAATAAGCCCCTCCCTCACCTGGAATTTACCACCCGGTAAAAAATCTCTGCCTTTAAGAGTGTATAGAGATTATGTAGAATTTCCCATGATTTAATTGCATTTCTTCAGTCACTAATTTTTCAACATTAATTGCAGAAGTGAGAGCATTTCAGTTGAAGTTATATACTCAGGGGCATTTAGTACACTTAAACTGGGATATCTAGTGAATTCATCTGCTGACATCTGCCAGCTATCATTTGTAAAACTATACTTGCAATTTTCTCCACACCTCAAGGTCCAATATATTTAAAATGAATATTTTTTAAAGAAAATAGAACTTTATGTCCTTTTTGAAAGGGAGGTAAATGAAAAAGTAGTAAAATTAGGTTGATATTATAAAAGATCTCGTAGAATAGATCTTCTGATCAAAAAGACTTATTGAATAGAAAAAAATCCTTTTGTAAAAGTATTATTCTAGCTAGATTGTAGTTTGATTAAGTAGTATCATGAAGGTATAGTACAGTATATGAAAGTTGCATAGAGATGACAGGACCCTAGCATCGATTTTGAAAGTGGGGGGCCAGCCACTGAAATTTTTTTTTTACTTACCTGAAAAAGTTGACAAGCCAAAAAAAAAAAAAAGGCAAAATTGCCCAAAGTCGAAAATCCTATTTCGTGTGTGTGTGTGTGTGTGGGGGGGGGGGGTAGAGGCAAACTTTTTTCACTACCAGTTCCTTTCGATATCCATTTTTTAAGCCTACAATACTATATTTCCTTCATATTACTTTACTTTTGTATAAAATGGGGGGGGGGCCAACCAGCCTTTCTATGAACATTTTCAATCGTAAAAGTATTGTTGGCAAAAAAAGTGGGGGGGCCAGGCCCCCCCTGGCCCCCCCGGTTGCTACGTCCCTGGATGATACATCATAGAGATGATGAGTACCCCTCATGTAGCCAAGATGAGACAAAATATGTCAAGATTTATATAGTGTTGGTAAAATTTCAAAAGAAATCAAGTTTTATTTTTGGTGGGTGGGACATCTCCACCTCTAGACAAAATAAGTAGTTTATAAAGGATGTATTCTTTTTTATTGAAGAAGAAAAATTGCTAAAATCATGACCCACAGAGTAAGACTGGGGATGCATCAGTACATCGTTCTAATGGCATAGTAAATTATTGTAAGATTATAGCAATGTGGTACAAACAGTATTCCATTGATCTGTGGGCCTATTGTTTAAACTATTGATTTAGTAAAGAAGTATGGAATAACTTTGAAACCAAAGGTGTTCTACATATTGGTGTTACTATGCCCTATATACTGATGTAATTGTTGATGAATAATTTAAACAATAAATACTAACATATTTGATCTCCCATAAATTTCATACTCGTGTAATTTCTGAAGGTCTACGTACATTAAAGATTTCTTTGTGTGTGTGTTATTGTCTAAGTTGTAACAAGGTGTGTGATCATTACATAAACATCACACCATGAATTGGCTGTGCCCAAAATTTCAGAACAAATACCTATTTTATATAAGGTATGGTCAACCATACGTAATAGGATATTCATTAAACATCTTTTATTAATAAGTCCTAAGATATCCAGGCCAATTTGACTGTCTCACCATTCCTGTATAAAACTGTCCTTTAGCTGGTTGATGAGCTTACCAATAGAACCACCTTCTGACACAGATGACATTCCTTAGCCATTTAATATTTTATCTGTAAGAAGTTTTAACTTTTCTTACTTTTTTCCACAGCTACCTGGGTAGGAGGGGGATTTATCAATGGAACAGCTGAATACATCTTCAAGGATGGTCTGGTATGGTGCCAAGCTCCTTTTGGATATGCCCTAAGCTTGGTGTTTGGTAAGTTTATGTGTAAATTTGGACATATGCCCTCAATTTTAAGTGACATTTTGTAAAATTTGAGCCGACTTTGGCTTAGTTTAAGGTGGCCTATTTGTCTCCATTTCTTTAAGGTGGCCTATTCTTTGCTGAGAAGATGAGGACAGAGGGCTATGTGACAATGCTGGACCCCTTCCAGGAGAAGTATGGACAAAGGATGGGGGGCCTCCTCTACATCCCTGCCCTGCTGGGGGAGGTGTTTTGGACAGCAGCCATTCTTGCTGCTCTTGGTGGGTAAAATGTGAAATACAATCATAAAGCTCTAAAACAGTGTCTAGAAAGCTGTGTGTCCAAGTTTTGCAAAAATATTTGACACTTTTCAATGTGTAGTTTTGTCATTTTGTACAAAATAAATTAAATTTTTGTATGCAGTCCAATATTCATCTTCAAGCAATAGATTTGGATGTTGTTATTCCCTGTTCTGTATTACTTTGCCCATTTCAGGTGCTACAATCTCCGTGATCATTGACAGCGATGTGAAGACATCCATTATCGTGTCTGCTTGTATTGCCGTATTCTACACCTTGTTTGGGGGACTGTACTCTGTTGCCTACACAGACATTGTACAGCTCTTCTGTATATTCTTTGGTCTGGTAAGGTATATGTTGTACAGCTCTTCTGTATATTCTTTGGTCTGGTAAGGGATACATTGTACAGCTCTTCTGTATATTCTTTGGTCTGGTAAGGAATACGTTGTACAGCTCTTCTGTATATTCTTTGGTCTGGTAAGGAATATGTTGTACAGTTCTTCTGTATATTCTTTGGTCTGGTAAGGAATATGTTGTACAGCTCTTCTGTATATTCTTTGGTCTGGTAAGGAATATATCATACAGCTCTTCTGTATATTCTTTGGTCTGGTAAGGAATACATGTATCTTGTACAACTCTTCTGTATATTCTTTGGTCTGGTAAGGAATATGTTGTACAACTCTTCTGTATATTCTTTGGTCTGGTAAGGAATATGTTGTACAGCTCTTCTGTATATTCTTTGGTCTGGTAAGGAATATATCATACAGCTCTTCTGTATATTCTTTGGTCTGGTAAGGAATACATGTATCTTGTACAACTCTTCTGTATATTCTTTGGTCTGGTAAGGAATATGTTGTACAACTCTTCTGTATATTCTTTGGTCTGGTAAGGAATATGTTGTACAACTCTTCTGTATATTCTTTGGTCTGGTAAAGAATATGTTGTACAGCTCTTCTGTATATTCTTTGGTCTGGTAAGGAATATGTTGTACAACTCTTCTGTATATTCTTTGGTCTGGTAAGGAATATGTTGTACAGCTCTTCTGTATATTCTTTGGTCTGGTAAGGAATATGTTGTACAGCTCTTCTGTATATTCTTTGGTCTGGTAAGGAATATGTTGTACAGCTCTTCTGTATATTCTTTGGTCTGGTAAGGAATATGTTGTACAACTCTTCTGTATATTCTTTGGTCTGGTAAGGAATATGTTGTACAGCTCTTCTGTATATTCTTTGGTCTGGTAAGGAATATGTTGTACAACTCTTCTGTATATTCTTTGGTCTGGTAAGGAATGTGTTGTACAGCTCTTCTGTATATTCTTTGGTCTGGTAAGGAATATGTTGTACAACTCTTCTGTATATTCTTTGGTCTGGTAAGGAATATGTTGTACAGCTCTTCTGTATATTCTTTGGTCTGGTAAGGAATATGTTGTACAGCTCTTCTGTATATTCTTTGGTCTGGTAAGGAATATGTTGTACAGCTCTTCTGTATATTCTTTGGTCTGGTAAGGAATATGTTGTACAACTCTTCTGTATATTCTTTGGTCTGGTAAGGAATATGTTGTACAGCTCTTCTGTATATTCTTTGGTCTGGTAAGGAATATGTTGTACAGCTCTTCTGTATATTCTTTGGTCTGGTAAGGAATATGTTGTACAACTCTTCTGTATATTCTTTGGTCTGGTAAGGAATATGTTGTACAGCTCTTCTGTATATTCTTTGGTCTGGTAAGGAATATGTTGTACAGCTCTTCTGTATATTCTTTGGTCTGGTAAGGAATATGTTGTACAGCTCTTCTGTATATTCTTTGGTCTGGTAAGGAATATGTTGTACAACTCTTCTGTATATTCTTTGGTCTGGTAAGGAATATGTTGTACAGCTCTTCTGTATATTCTTGGGTCCTGTAAGGCTTGTTATCTAGGTTAGACAGGGGGGATATTTGGTAGTAATACAAGGAGGAAAATGTCTACATTGAATTTCGCTATACCATGTGTATACTTATGTGATTTTTTTGTCTGGATATAATGAATTATGGATATTGTGAGATAAATTCACAGGTCCACAGAACTTCACTATCAATCATGACCAAGTTTTACTTTTTTAAATTTCTTTCTGCATCAACTTTGAAAAACTTTTTCTAGTACTATATTGTATTGTTTCTTAATTGAAATTTGGTCTTTTTCAGTGGATAACCATTCCATTTGCCATGACTAATGAACATGTAGGAGACATCGCTGTAAATGCGTCCTCCCTATGGATCAAATCCATTGACCCTCAGTACACGGGGGTGTACATCGATGGCATGCTGCTGCTGATATTTGGGGGAATCCCCTGGCAGGTGTATTTCCAGCGAGTTTTGTCGGCCAAGTCGGCCTTCAATGCCAAGATCCTGTCCTATGTGGCAGGGGTGGGCTGTATTGTTATGGCCATCCCCTCAATCCTGATCGGTGCTATAGCCACAACTACAGGTAAAACAAGGCTTCTTCTGGAGAAAATTGTAAACATTCACTTCCTTAAGATTAATGTTATACATGGTTATTCTCAGTCCTTGTAAATTTCAACCCGTTTATCCAAGCAATCTTGCCCCATTTTAAAGTTGCCCAAACACAGTGGATTTAAAGAGATGGCACTGTCTTTTTAGCTCACCTAAGCTGAAGGCTCAAGTGAGCTTTTCTGATCACATTTTGTCTGTCGTCCGTCCGTCTAGCTGTCCGTCTGTAAACTTTTCACATTTTCGACTTCTTCTCAAGAACCACTGGGCCAATTTTGACCAAACTTGGTACAAAGCATCCTTTGGTAAAGGGGAATATAAATTGTTAAAATAAAGGGATTATCTCCTCTCACAAGGGGAGATAATCAAGAAAGGACAAAAATAGAGTGACTGGGCCGGAAAAGCTGAAACTTATGTGGAAGCATCCTGGGGTAGTGTAGATTCTAAATTGTTCAAATCATGACCCCCGGGAATAGGGCGGGGCCACAATGGGGAATCAAAGTTTTACATAGAAATATATAGCAAAAATCTTTAAAAATCTTCTTCTCAAGAACCACTGGGCCAGAAAAGTCGAAACTTATGTGGAAGCATCCTAGGGTAGTGTAGATTCTAAATTGTTAAAATCATGACCCCCAGGGTAGGGCGGGGCCACAATGGGGAATCAAAGTTTTACATAGAAATATATGAGAAAAATCTTTAAAAATCTTCTTCTCAAGAACCACTGAGCCAGAAAAGCTGAAACTTATGTGGAAGCATCCTGGGGTAGTGTAGATTCTAAATTGTTCAAATCATGACCCCCGGGGGTCGGACAGGGCCACAATGGAGAATCAAAGTTTTATATAAAATATATAGGAAAAATTTTCTTAAAATCTTCTTCTCAAGAACCACTGGGCCAGAAAAGCTGAAACTTACGTGGAAGCATCCTGGGGTAATGAAAATTCTAAATTGTTAGAATCATTACCCCCAGGGGTAGGGCGGGGCCACAATGGGGAATCAAAGTTTTACAAAGAAATATATAGGAAAAATCTTTGAAAATCTTCTCAAGAATCACTGGGTCAGAAAAGCTGAAACTTATGTGGAAGCATCCTGGGGTAGTGTAGATTCTAAATTGTTAAAATCATTACCCCGGGGTGGGGGGGGGGCCACAATGGGGAATCAAAGTTTTGCATAGAAATATATAAGAAAAATTTTTGAAAATCTTCTATTCAAGAACCACTGGGCCAGAAAAGCTGAAACCGATGTGGAAACATCCTGGGGTAGTGTAGATTCTAAATTATTCAAATCATGACCCACGGGGGGTGGGCGGGGCCACAATGGAGAGTCAAAGTTTTACATAGTAATATATAGGAAAAATCTTTGAAAATCTTCTTCTCAAGAACCACTGGGCCAGAAAAGCTGAAACTTATGTGGAAGCATCCTGGGGTAGTGTAGATTCTAAATTGTTCTAATCATGACTCCTGGGGTAGGGCGGGGCTACAATGGGGATTCAAAGTTTGACAATGGGAAATCAAAGCAGCTATGGTAGTGTAGATTTCAAATTGTTTAAATTATGATCAGTTGGGTAGGGTGGGGTCACAATATGTATTACAAGGGGAAATCTGGTAAAGAACTGAATGGTCAAAGCTTCTCAGGTGAGCTATGTGGCCCATGGGCCTCTTGTTTGATTTTGTCACATTTTAAATTTACCAACTTGTGGCAAAGGTGAAAGAGACAAAATGTCAACAGAGGAAATAAAATTCCCCGATACAATAAGCAAATCTATATATTTTGGGTAATGAATGACAATTTGGTCTATTTATGTTGAACAAAATATGTTCTAACACATTTGTACTGGTATAAAATGTAAATGTCTTGACTTTCATCAAGTTTACAGTTCTTAAAATATATCGTATTCTATGATAAACTTTCAATCTTCTAAATTTGTGTGTGATTTCATTCTAGACTGGAACAACACTGACTACACTCTTAGGGATCACCGAGAGTTCCCCATCCCCCCGGAGAACATGAACCTGATCCTCCCTATGGTCATGCAGTATTTGACCCCCACCTGGGTGGCGTTCTTTGGACTGGGAGCGGTGTCTGCCGCAGTGATGTCATCAGCGGACTCCTCCATTCTGTCTGCCAGCTCCATGTTTGCCAGAAACATATACAAACTGTTATTTAGACAACAGGTAAAAGCAAGATTCTGTAGAAAATGTGTGTCTGTTCACATTTATAGTGTTCAAATTATTTAATAATATGAAAGGCCTGCAGTCAAAACTTTACTTGCATGAAAACTTAATTGAATTTTATATGTCTGTATCATTTTGAATCTTTCAGGCATCCGAGCAAGAGATTGTGAATGTGATGAGGGTGGGGATATTTGGAGTGGGTATCCTAGCAACAATAATGGCCATAATGGTGGACTCTATCTACATGCTGTGGTACCTCTGTTCCGATCTCGTGTACGTCATTCTGTTTCCGCAGCTTGTCAGCGTTGTCTATCTTAAGGGCACCAACACCTACGGATCTCTAGGAGGGTTCGTTATAGGCTGGTTCTTCCGATTAATGGGAGGAGAAAGCAGCATGAACATTCCCGCTGTCATAAAGTACCCCTGGTATGATGAGGCCAGTGGAACACAGCTGTTTCCATATAAAACCTTCTGTATGCTTCTATCCTTCGGATCTATAATCCTCATCTCCTATCCCTCAAAATACATGTTCGAACGAGGAATGATTCCCCCTAAATATGATGTATTTATGTGCATTGTTAATTTTCCGGAAGAGAGTATAGCGTTAGCCTCCAGTAAAATGTCAGAACTGACTGCAGTGACTCCTACGGAAGTGAATGGAAAAATTAACCCCGCTCTCAAATTTTCACAAGATGACTTGCTTGCTGTTGAAAAGCAGTATGGAAGGAAAGAAAATGGCGATACAGAACATGCCAAGTTTCTCACAGCAGACGATGCTCTACATCAAAGAGAATCTCAATAGGAATTTTAGTTTTGCTTTATAGAATCTTGAGTTATCAATGATAGAGTATGGAAATTCAAGGGAAACTACTCCGACTGGAAAATCTCTATGAGATATATATGTGCATAATATATATTGTTTCATCAAATTTTAAGCATCATATGGAAAATAGTGATAGCTGAGATGTTTTTGTAAATGCATCAATTCAGACTGCTGTCAAGTTTTCTGTAATTTTAGGCCATTGCATACAATTTAGTTCTTTGGTTTTGTATACCATGAGCCTTAAAATTTCCAGGGATTAAATAGAGAACTTTTTAAACAATTATCTGGTAAAGAAGTAGTAAACAGTTTAAGAGGTTATGCTATTGAATCATAATTAAAATAATGGTATATACTTGTAATTTTCTTACGGGGTGGGATAACAGATAATGTAACATTAATTTTGTAGCCAATAGTTCTACTGTACAGTCCTGAGAACAATCTGGTCTCCTATGAAGACCCTTGAGCTTTTGATAAATGTCTATTATTTTGGCCAGTTGGCAATGTGAAATAAGTACACCTGTTGTGATAGAATAAATTTACCAGCAGCTTCTGGTGTTTGTGTTAATATTTGTATGTACCTTTCTCTGGGTAAGCAAGGCAACAGCTGAGAAATCCAGAAAAAGTACAAGACAACTTTCTGGAAAAATCTGAGATAAGTATTTTGTCCAAAACTCATTCTATTTTGAGAAAGGGGGGGGGATAGTAAGTTACAACTTTTTCCACATACAAAATACATTATACATTTTACTTTAATAACCATAATAACTATACTGGCAACAAAAAAGGTGAATCACCCTTTCAACAAACAGTTCAAACAGTAATGGTAAGCTTAGAAAAAAGAGGTCCTAATAAATATTCTGTAGAGGTTGCTAGCTAGGGGTTGTTTCACATTCATGATCAGGGAGAGTGAAGGTGGTGTGACTTGGTTAAGCATTCCCAGGTTAAAAAGAAAGCAAAGTAGATGTTTAAATGTATTTATTTTTTAAAAAATTGTGGTCCTTTTGACACATCATTTAGGAAAAAATAATATAAAATGTAAATATATGTGTACAAGTCCATAGAAATTTGATGCATACGAGATTCAGTATTGAACCTTTAGTAAATCATGTATAAATGAAAAGCTAATGTCATATGTTGATAATCTTAAAATAGATAATTAATATCAGGATAGTATGTAAATACTAGAATTTGCACAATAAAATATTTTTGTTGTTGGAATGATCAGAAAGTTTGTTAAGTCTAAGCCATAAATAAATAAGCCCTCCATATATGAACCCCCCACTATGTTTTACAATTACCAGTTCAAACAACTGGTAGAATAAAACTGTACAAATTGCACAAATCTGGTTATTTTATTAACCTCCAAGGAGTATTCCTCATGAATTCTTGGTAAGAGAGGTGAAAGGATTTCAAATATCTAGAGTGATAAATTGTGAATTGTCTAGCTGCAGCCATCATTATAACCCTGGAATGACCTCTGACACTTGTTTAATGGTATCCTGGGGACTGGTCACAGAATGTCCAATTGTCCTGGAGTCTTCGTAAATCTCATGGTCATTTCCACCCTGCAATGCATATGTACTTATCTTTATAGCAATAAGTTCTATATTTATCGTCTAAATGTTGACTTTGTCAATGAAAGAAAAAGTGAGCAAGCTCACATACCCCACACTCCCCCAAAACTCAAAGTGCTGAAAATCCTGGAAAAAATAAAGGACTTGGAATATCCTGGTTATATGCACATCTACACATTGTGTCCTAAATATCTGCAAAGTTTGACGAAATTCTGTGCAGCAGTTTAAGAGGAGTTGCGCTGACAAACTGTTCATCTCTATATTCAAGGTATGGCCAAAAATCTAAGTTAAAAAGTGCGGAAATTCCCGGAAAAAAATGAAGGAATCGGAATTTCCCACTAATATGCACATTTACACATTGTGTCCTCAATATTTGCAAAGTTTGATGAAATTCTGTGCAGCGATTTAAGAGGAATTGCGCTGACAAACTATTCATCTCTATATTCAAGGTATGGCCAAAAATCTAAATTAAAAAAGTGCGGAAATTCCTGGAAAAAATAAAGGAATCAGAATTTCCTGGTAATATGCACATCTACACATTGTGTCCTAAATATCTGCAAAGTTTGACCAAATTCTGTGCAGCGGTTTATGAGGAGTTGCGCTGACAAAAAAACAGGACTGACAGACTGACACACTGACTGACTGACAGACTGGTCAAAAACATTATACCTCACGCAACTTGTTGCGTGGGGTATAATTACATAAAAGATGCATGCTCTTGAAATTATATGCATCTTAGCAGTAATCTGATTAATTAATTGGTTGCAAAATAAAAAAAAAACACTATTTACTACATACACATTTGTGAATATAAGGCCAAAAAAAATTAATCAATACTCAATAGTTTCTTAGGCATCGCCGCATCAGTTCAAAAACGGCAGCATTGATCAATTTTATTGACATATTGAATAGGGAAATAACTTAATTTTCTATTTTTTTAAGTTGAAAAAGAAAATCGAGTTATTCCCCTTTTCACAAATGCTATTAAAGATAGACGTTTTTATTAGAAAAACAAGACATTTCTCTCTTCTAAATTTTCAGTATTTTATTAATTAACTTTTAAATAAATGTTTGGAGTAACATTATTAAAGTTGAATACATATTACAACTATACAAACATATTTGTTTCAGAGAACAAAAATTAAGAATTGGTAGATATTATCATTTTATTGAACAAATGGCTTAAAAAAGGTATTAAACCTGCTAAAAAAAAAAAAAAAAAAAAAAAGCCTGCCTGCCGCATTGAATTATGAATTTTTTGGCCTGAGATACTATTGATTAATTTTTTTTGGCCTAAAAAGAGAATATTTTAATAATAAACATTCACTAAAAATTTTTAAAAAACTATTTTCATACTGACTGGATTTGTTTTGTCCCCGAAGAAATGGATCGTCTTGAAGCCGGCCTTCTCCAAAAACTGTAAGCAGAAAGTTTTGTCCCATCCAACAGGAAAGACATCGATACTGATCTGTCCACCGATAGCAAACTTCAGTCCAGCCTCAGGAAAGTTCTGGTACAAGGCCTCCACAAACTTCTGCCTTATGTTGTTTTTCTGTGAAGAAGAATATAGTGCACTTCTTGGTCTTGAAATGAAAAATCATACATCATTTTCAATATTTCTTTCATAAATATAGAAAAAGAATTGAAATGAGTTTCCAAAGGACAATTACAGTATCTCTTTATTTTTATTACAATTGATTTTGTTGTACATTGTAACTCTTAATGCATTGTGACAACATTCAACAGTCGGTAAAGAAAACAGATAGCTAATTAACATGCAAACTTGTATACTGATGTCAGAAAATCTAGTGGCTTTTACCTATTTATCAAATGATACTTTGTGAGTTGTGACAAGTTTCTGAAAGTGGTGCTTGAGAGGAAGTCAAAAATAAGAAGAATAGTTTACAACAGATGAAAGGCAAATTTTGATCAGAAAATAAGAAATCCCCGGCTTCCAATCTGCTTCCCCACACAAATGTCCCACAGTCTTCCAGTCTTAAACCAATCAATATTTTTAAAAACTGACACTGCATAATACCATTTCCAGGAACTTGATACACAAAATGATGGGATGGGATGAAAACAGGAAAACCTTAAATTGGTTTTACTATGAAAGGCTGCTATAGCAGTTGATTCATGTGTAACAGAGAGGGAGAAAATGAACGGCTGGACCAGGAATCGAACTCGGGACCCCTGCATCTCCAGTCAAGTGCTCTACCAACTGAGCTATCCACGCCAATATCCACAGCCCAAACCATTACACATGTAAAAGAACAACTAAAGCATACCTTGTCAAATTCAGAAAATTCATCTCTTTCTTTCTGTGAACAGCTTCTACCAACTGGACAAAGATTTAACATACTGCTTCTAAACTCAACAAATGTTCCTCTAGATGGAATAAAGAATACAGAAAATATGTACATGTATTTTATAAAAACAAATATCTAGAAGGTAACAGTAAAAGAGACTTTTATAAAACTCCTTGTTCATAATCAGGTTAATGTTATGAGAACAAGAGGCCCAGGGGCCACAGCGCTCACCTGAGCACATTGGCTAGGAAAAAGCACATATCGGTTCAGAACTGAAAGTTTACTGAGGTGGGGGGGGGGGGCTTGAACTTTATCCCTTCAGGGGGGTCATGATTTGAACAAACTAGAATCTACACTACCTGAGGATGATTCCATATAAATATCACTAATCATGGCTTTGAAGTACTTGAAAAGAAGATTTTAAAAGGTTTACCTATATATTCTTATGTAAAACTTTGGTCAGTCATTTTGGCCCCACCCTACCCCTGGGGGTCATGATTTGAACAAATTTGAATCTACACTACCTGAGGATAATTTCACTTGAGTTTCATCTTTCCTGTCTTAATGGTTCTTGAGAAGAATATTTTAAAGATTTTTCCTATATTATGTAAAACTTTTAACGGCCATTATGGCTCCACCCTAGCCCCGGGGATCATGATTTGAACAAATTTGAATCTACACTACCTGAGGATAATTTCAATGAGTTTCATTATTCCTGTCTCAGTTGTTCTTGAGAAGAAGATTTTTACAGATTTTTCCTATATATTCCTATGTAAAACTTTGATCGACCATTTTGGCCCCACCCTACCCCTGGGGGTCATGATTTGAATAAACTTGAATCTACACTACCTGAGGATGATTCCACATAAGTTTCATCTTTCCTGGCTCTGTGGTTCTTGAGAAGAAGATTTTTTAAAAATGCTATTAATTTTTCTCTTATTCATAATTATCTCCCCTAAGGAGAACATGTCTATATTATTCACTTTTTAACCCAAAATTACGCTATATATAGGTAAATGTTATGTACTGAACATGTGCTCATTTAAATCTTATCCCATCCCACACATGCATGCAATTCAACCAACAAATCCATGTGCATAATACATCTATCTATAATAACTCAGAAGCTGCTATTTATGAAAAACACAAGTATATCTAGTTGTTGTTTCTTTTCTCAAAATCTTTACATTTTGAAATAAATAGCATACCTTTTGGCAGGTAACTCTAATTCAGACATGTATTTCAGAGCAAAGTTGATCACTTTTTGTAGACATTCCTCCCCTTTGTTGTGAAGAAGATTCTGGAAGAAAAATAAAGATCAACGATTAACAGAAGTTTATAATTCCTTGAAATTCTTTTAAGAGTTAACCTTAATGTACACTGAAAAAAAATAAACTGCACAAGTGAAGATATTAAGGTGTACAGTCTCACCTCCTGTCCTACTTGTTTGCCATCTTGATAAGCAACTAATCCATTCTCCGCAAACAAAAAATCATATTCTGTTGCAACTGTAAAACACAGATCAATCCAGAAATGTTAATCTTTACATATCAATTTAGAATTCATTTATTTATATTTTTCATTTTATATATTTCTAATGAATGATGCTGTATCCCTTATTTCAGTATTAAATCTAACAGATACATGTACCAATCCATTTACGGTGGAATCATTGAAAATATAATGATGTACACTATACAAGTACAATGTAAATATTTGTATCCTTACTTTCCAACACCACCATTGATTCAATAGGTTTTAATTCTTTTTTTTGGCTTGCAGATGTAAGAAGAACTAATTTAAAAGAGCTTGACTTTCCTTACCATTGCTTCCTATCTGCTCAGCTATCTTGGATAAATCAGAACCTCCCACCAAGCCTACATAACACTTTTGTTTTAGTCTTTTCAAGAATTCCAACATTTCTTGTGTAGCTGCCTAAAATGAAGGAGACAATTATAATCATAGGACTGGGGTGGGGAAAACTTAAAGATTCAAACGGGATTCCACAGAGAAAAATTAAATAAGATATTGGATTAAAATTGCTTCTACAAACAGGTCCAGTGCAATCACTAGATTAAGCTATGTATAGGTAATTCTACCTATGTATTTACCTACCTCAGGTAGCTTTTTTTAGCTATTTCAATGCAACTGTTTTAACTGTCATACATAGCCCCAAAACTTTAGGACTTTGATTGCAATTGTGCAGAAAAAGACATTTCTTTAAGAGTGATTTTTTCATGAATTGTTTTCAGATGAGTTTAAAGTTGAAAATGATCACTGCATAAAAATGAGATTTTCAGCACATCCTGAGAAAAATGCTTTTTTTAAAGAAATAGACTGATTTGGTAGCTAAATAAACATCATAACCTCAGGTAGGTAAATAAAGCTAAGCAGGTAAATAAAGCTAAGCAGGTAAATCAAGCTACATAGATAAATCTAGTCAATGTACCAGACCTGAAAAAAGTACCTCCTATTTTTGGTAAAAAATACTACCTGTTTATAAACTTTGGAAAGCACCCCCCCCCCCATTTGAGAGTCAAATGCTAAATTTACATGTAATTAAAAAAAGCGAATTTACTTTTTTCTTTGCCTTTTATTTTATGTTATTTTTTCCTTGACCTAAATCAAAAGATTTTGCTAGATCTGTCAATCGTTGGTCAACAACACTTAATTTAACATGTTTAAAATCTAACAGGAAAGAAGAAAAGTGATGGCTAATTGTATTTGGCACGTCGACGCGCTCGCGCAACAGATTTTGTTTATAAAATTTATCACTTATACAGCATCGGGCTCGATATCGTCTACTAATCAAAGTACTGAAAGTACTCAGTCTGATAGGTGTTGATTTAAATAACGGTTTCAATAAGATTTAATGTTACACACTTTGTTCACAACTTTTTCAAGTTATGTTTATTTATGCTCCATAAGGAAGTTTGCTAGAATTAAATAAAAAGAAAATGACACGATTGTACGGAGTCAAAGGTTTGCTTTGATCTCACCATAATCTAAGAATGATATGCCAGAAAGTATATGACTTTTTCTCTGTTCAATTTTTTTCATTAAATTAATAAGGTATTTTTCTGACCAAAGTTTAAAAGGGCTATTAATAACAAAGTCATTTCTGTAACTATAGTTTCTCCCCCATCCTCAGATCTCTAATAAAGACAAGTTAATTCTTAGTAGTAATATTATTTGAAAATGTAACAAGGAATATTTTTTAAACACTGATACCAATGTATGGCAGCTTTTACCCATGAAAATCAAGTCTTTAAAAAGGAGTTTAAACTCTTCGAGTCTAGCGGCATAACATAATACTGATAAATTTTAATTTGTTACATTGGCGTCGGAAGCAAATTGAAAGGGGTGGGGGTAAGTGTAAGAAAAAAATTCGAACCTGAAAAATCTTAACAAGCAAAAAAATAATGTATCTATTGTCCAACACGAAAATCCTATTTCGTAGGGGGGGGGGGGGGTCGAACTTCTTTAAATACCATATTTTTGTTCTTTCAAACACTACCACTTACCCTTCTTCGACTACACTGCAACGTGCCTGTTGAAAGTGGGGGCTAAACCTATGCCCCAATGTTTAATATGATGTCTATCTGTGTAAGCTCCCTCCCCCAGTTCCCAGGCCTATGTGTTAAACATAAAATAAATTTATAAAAACCAAAGCACTCAATATTTTTAAATGCTAAGTTAAAGTTTGGAGAGATATATACGAGAGAGAGAGAGAGAGAGAGAGAGAGAGAGAGGAATCAAAAGTAAGCCAATTCCAAAATTTGGGTAAATTTCGGATTACTCTTGCATAAATTGTGGTAAGGATGCATGGATCAAAGGGGACCCGGATCCATAGAAAATTCAAATTTATTCAAACTGATATAGTAAAGCTAAAGCTATGCCTCGGACCTCTTCCCCTTGCGATTTGAGCCACCACCTCCGAGGGAAATTTTTCTGGATCCACCTAACAAAGAAATACAATCGGGCTCGGGCTGTCGACTTCAATATAAGCGATAACGCTTAAATTATAAAGAAAATCACCGTCATTTGAGTGTTTTAATGCAGGGAGTAGGGCTGGGACGATACAACTTTTTCTATATCGATACGTATCACGATATTTGAGCCACGATACGATATGTATCACGATATGTTTAATTGCTTATAAAATCTTTTTTTGCACGGAAATAAACAAATTATTTCTTTGCAAATAAGAATAATTTATTTTAAAAAGTTCTTTACACATTGTAAAAAAGAATATTTGACTCAAGTGGTGTTAATTATTATTTATTTCATATCTTTATTTATATTTAGCTTATTTATTTTATGTATCAAACCCCAAATGTTAAATAAACAAGGACAAACAGAAGTCAGATTTTTTTGGGCGATATTTCAATATTTCTCCATATGTATCGATGTGCGTATCATCCTCAAAGATATCACGATATATCGATATATCGTCCCAGCCCTAGCAGGGAGAAAATACTTTTGTGGTATTGGGATGAGATGGATGCGCTGGCGCACCGACGTGCCGAATACAATTAGCCAAAGTGATGGTTTTGTAAAACAGGGACTTAAATCTGGAACCCCTGCATTACTTGTCTAGTTAGTAATCCGAGATTCCTCTGACTCTTACCCATGCTTTTTATATTGTGACATGTGTTGGGGAGATGTTACAATATAAAAAGCATGGGTTAGAATCACAGAAATATCGGATTACTACGAGGGTTGTTCGAAAAGTTCGTGGACAACTGTCATATCTTTTTTATTTGACGTCATATGTTATCCAAATTTGGTAGAAATATTTTAACAATTAATCCAAATGATATGTATTAATTTTGACAAAATATTACGATTGATTTAAAACTTATCCAGGTTTCAAAAATGCAAAAATCGGATCGAGGAGCAGGTCAAAATTTAGTAAGTTACAGACATTACAATAAATAGTGTCTATAGCAATATTCTCTGTAAAATGGAGGAAAAACGAAAAACTACCTAAAGATTCAAATTAAGAATTGTTACATCGATACGTGTACCAAATTATGGTTTTATATTTTGCTTTGTTGAAAAGAAATCAACTTTAGAAGATAAGTAGTCCTTATTGAAAACAACAAAAACGATGACTTTTAGAACGTCACGGAGCAGCAGATACCGAAGCAATTTTGCGTTTTTCTATAAAAATCCTGAATAGAGAAAAGAGAGAGAGAGAAGAAAATATGTCACAAGCCAGTTGTGCATGTGTGTATAAATAGTACAGGCAATATTTGAGTGACAGAGACTCTGTATCGGATGATGATGACCTGTGAAGAAACTGTTTTACTGTAAACATCTGAACAAAACTTTAAAATTTGAATCGTAAATGAAAGACAAAGGCGCTTCAGAGTTGCTTATCCTGTGAAAGCAGAGTTAATCACTAAAGGAAATTAAAACCTTAACAAAGGAAATTATACAATGAGATCAATTTTTAAAAAATAAATGTCAACTATTAGAAAAAGATCGATTTAATGAATGTGCATTGGAATATTCTGTGTGAAATGTATAGGTATAGTATCTAATATTAAATTCCCGACGCTATGTGTTGACGTTACATTGCCGTTTTGTGTGCTCCGCGGGTACAAAACATGTTGATTTTAAAATGAAGTGTTAAATCAAATAGAAGGAAACTTCACACATCAACAAAACAAATATTTTTACATATTATTATGTGCTTGTTTTAAATTTCCAGTGAGTAATGTAACGAAGATGGACATCGTCCACGAACTTTTCGAACAACCCTCGTAGTTATGTGCTCTAACTACAGGGCTTTCTGGGCGGATATTTATGATCCATATATTCCAAACCACTAAAATATTAATCACCGGCGGATTTTGAGGGAGAGCTAGGGGGCCCCTTTTGTGACCAAATTATACATAACTGCAAAGATTTTTTAAATCCACTGTCTTTGGTGTGTCTGTGGGCACCGACCCCGATGTCACTGTTATTGACTTCTACTCATTATTACCGATTGTGCATTTACTATGAATGATGCAATATAATTTATAAAACTGTTTTCAGGTTTTAACATCAAAAGGGCAGATTAAAAATATACCACGGTACATGTTAACTGACAGGGTAGTTTTTTTTACCACAGAAATCCTAAAATTTCATGTCCTTAGGGACATATTCTTAATTGTGTGTCGTTTAAAGACATGATGAAATTAGGATAACTTGAATTTCCTCTGTTGTACATTTTAAAGGTAACCAAAACATGGCTATACGTATCGAAAATAGATCACATCTTTTTGAGAAAATTTTTGTCATGATAGAGACTTGAAAAGTATTACATACCTGACGTGGAGCGGTCAACGTTCCATCTACATCAAACAAACATATCAAAGAAGCGTCTCGTTGTTGACTTGCCATGTTGACCGGAAGTTGACGTGTGTCAAGGTTGGTGTAAAAGTAGTTTCATCTCAACATTGTAGGTATCCAATCAATTCGTGCCCATATTAGAAGATACAGTCATTCTTTGCAAAATCTTTTTCAATCAATTCAATCTTGCTTATTAAACAACAAACATAGGCTAGTTGGAAATTTTTAATAGGCACCAAAATGTGATTTATATCTTTAAATTTGTTTGTTGATTTTTTTTACTGTAGTCGTGGTGTAGGGATTAATTCACATCAAATTCCAAATGGATGGAAATATTCAAAATAAAAGGAAAAATATGTGTATATCTTTCATTCTTTGTTTTGATTGATAAAGAAAAAATGGGTGCGTCGATTTACCCAAAAGGACCCAAAAGGAACCCAAAAGGAACCCAAAAGGACTTTAAATAATATATCATAATACATTGAAAATTAATAATTTGAAGTAAATTACGAATATTATATTATACATGTACATAAAAGTTGGCAAAAATATACTTTGTTGCAACTGTTTATAGCACATCAAACACTAAATCTGGTCAGGTATGCTTTGATTTCTTTTAGCTGAAATTAAAAAAGTATTAATCTACTTCTCCTTCTGTTTTACCATATCTTACTATATGATATTTAATAAATGAAAAAAAGTTTTATTTTACGACATGTTCTAGGCATATGGTATCGGGGGTGATACCGGGGATGGGTGGGTAGGGGTTCGGTGGGGGACCTCCCACCTTCACCCCAAACACACACTTTCCACTCAAAAAACTAGTTTTACATTTAATATTCACTTCAATTCAATTCTTTATTGGCACTAAAGCACATATTTATATACAGAAATGTGTTGTTAGCCATATACATGTATTGCAAAATATTATACTATTGTAAGCTTGTTTCTAACATGAAAACAGTCTCTTATATCTAGACAGATTTGTTTCGTAGATACAAAGTTATGTGGATTAAGCAAACAAGAAAAGTTATTAACATCTAGTAACCTCGAATACTTTTTTCTGACATTTTTATACACAGGACAATCAAATAAAAAGTGTTTTTCATCTTCAACAATAGTTTTACATTGGAAACAAAATCTATTTTCTCTAGGAATGACAGGATTACAGTATCTACCTGTTTCTACGTACAACTTATGTGCACTTATTCTTAACTTGGAAAGATAAGAAAATAAATTCTTTTGAAGTGGAAAACACAAGTATGGTTGGATTTCCAGTTTTTTAGCATCATAGTTGAATAATGTACTATAAAATGACAGCTTACCGCATTGAGTATTGTTAATGTGTTGGAGTTCAGAAAAAAATTTATTTTCAAAGAAATTTTTAAGTTTAGGACTAAAAGTTTTAAAATCTGTGTCAAAGTTAAAATCTAACATCTTCTGTATTGATTTTACACAACTTTGCCAACATTTTTTATTTTCACTGGCCAATCGAGTATCTTCCAAGTAAGCATTCTTGAGCAAGACATTGCAATTATTATTTGTTTTTGTTAATTTTTCCAATCTGGAATAATATTTAAAAACAAGCTGGTAAATTTTGGTATGTACAGGGAAAACACCTAATTCAATTTTAGTTGCTAAGTTTGATGCTTTATTATGGACACCTAAGATGTTTTTTAAGATAAAATTTTGGATTTTTTCAAAAGGAGTTTTATCAAAATTATTGGGATTTGTATTAAAATCAGAGATCCAAATTTCTGAAGAATATGTTAAAATTGGAACAATAATTGATTCATATAGCTTTAACCACAAGCTGGGAGAGAGATTTGAGCCAAAGGGTAGTTTATGCTTTAAGGCAAAATAAGCTTTTCGGGCTCTGGCAGCAAGGTCATCACAAGCATGTTTCAAATTGCCATTTGATTGTAACAATACACCAAGATATTTGTACTTATCAGTAATATTTATATTATTATTGTTATAATGAAATGCATAATATTTCTTTATTTTTCTGGTAGAGCAAATCATAACCTTTGTTTTTTTCTAAGTTTACTTGCAACTTCCATTCTATACAATATCTTGAAAGACTGTCTATACAATTTTGGAGACCTTCAGCTGACTCTGATGATAAAACAAGATCATCAGCAAAAAATAAGTGATTAAAAGTTAAATCACCTAAACATACAGGGTAGGTCATAACTTTATCAAAATAATTTTCAAAGTCGTCAACAAAAATATTAAATAAAGTAGGACTTAAATTGTCCCCTTGTTTAACTCCTAATGTTGTATCAAAAAACTCACTATAATGATTTCCCTGTCTTACAGCACATTTTGTAGTAGAGTACATATGTTTTATAATATTGAAAAAATTTCCACCAATACCTTTTTTTAAAATCTTATACATAAGAGCTGGTCTATATACAGTATCAAAAGCTTTGGAAAAATCAATAAAGCACAAAAATAATTCCTTCTTTTTATTAAACAGGTACTTGTTCATTAAAGTTTTGAGGATGAAAACATTATCTGTTGTACGATATCCTTTCCTAAATCCTGCCTGAAAATGACTTAACAACCCTTCTGATTCTAAGTAATTACTGAGTATTAAGTCGGGTTTGAAGGAGTCTATTAAAAAGTTTACCGAGACAACTTGTTACACTTAATCCTCTATAATTATTGCAATTTCCTGGATCTCCAGATTTATACAAAGTTGTGATTAATGAGAGGTTCCATAATTCTGGCATTCTGCCATTCTGAAGAATTTTATTAAAAAGTTTAACCAGTACAGGCACTAAAATATTAGAACTTATTTTAATAAATTCATTTGGAATAAGATCTAAACCAGAGCTTTTTCCAGATTTCAAGCTCGATATTCCTATTTGTACTTCTTTAGGTGTAGATAGAAAGTCTAGGGGTTTGTTTTTGTCAACTTCACAATTAATATCCATACCTATGTCATGTTTGTTAAAATTTAATAGAGTTTGAAAATGGTCAACCCATTGAGATATTTTAATGGGTGACTCCGCCTCAACCTGATTTTGCATGTTTGATTTTAAAGAATTCCAATTTTTTTTTTTGTACATTTTGGGTTCAGTTCATTAATAGTGTTAGCTACAGTTTTATTGAAACCAGATTTTAATTGCTTACACATTTTATTAAATTGTTTTTTAGCTTGTGAAAATGCTTGAATTAAATAATAATTATTTGGTGATTTTTGAAGTTTTTTACCAAGATTTCTAACCTCCCTTCTCAGCATTAAGCAGTTATTTGACATCCATTCTTTCTTAAGTTTGATATGTTTTGTACGTCTACAATTTTTTTGTTATATCCTCTAAAATTCACAGTTTTGAAACCTGCTTCAGTATAAATTGTTGTTAGTAAAATATGAAAATGTTTATTATGTATCCATTTATTATCTTTATTTCAAGACCTTTTGGGTTGTTAATAATTTCCTTTTGGGTTCCTTTTGGGTTCTTTTGGGTCCTTTTGGGTAAATCGACGCACCGGAAAAAAAAATAATTCTATGAAATTTCCCCCACCACATCCCCATTGTAAACATTTTAAAAGACCAAGATAAATTAACTGAACCAGGGACCTATATACTAACTAGTATACAGGTCCCTGACTGAACATATGTTAATAACATATATGTATTTTCTCCTCCACAACAGTGATTTCTATTCAATGATACTGTGTGGTGTTAGAGCATTAATTTTTCCTAGGGGTAAATACCACGCACCATATAGTGAAAATTAAATAGATAACACTGCTGGTAAAGTGCGAATCGAGAAAATCTTGGTTTCGGACACCAGCTACTATTGGTTTACATCAACGAGGCAGTTTATATCAACTAAACGATCAGAAATGATATAATATTTGATTAAGACGTAATTATTAATGTTCAGTATATGATTTTATGCAGTAGAATTGCTTGTTAGTTGAATACATGTAAGGAGCAATCCAGTAACTGCTTCAGATTACACCCGTTCAATATATTTTCTTTTTACATGTTAAACACGATTTACACTGCGTTATTTGTGTTAAAAGTGATATGAATATGTATTGTATGAGTCATTTATGATTTCCCATGCCTTTAATGTTTCACAAAATTAAAACTTTTGATGCAATATGAAGTTTTCTGATATACAGCGCGAGTATGGTTGCTGTATGTGCGACTTTCGGCACCTGTAATTGCTACGTTTGGCTTCTGTTCTGTTTCATAAGGCGCGACGTTTTACTGCTGTATCATTGTTTTCCTAGTAAAGCATCTAAAGACTTTATTTTCGAACATTAGATAGTGCAACGTCCTTGAATACGTCCCAAAAACATATACGTCCAGTCCTTGACTAGTTGTTTCATAAATAAAGCTTCTATCAAATATTTAATGTGTGTTGCATATAACCCCCCCCCCCCCAACATAAATTGTTCGATTATGTGATTAAAGTTAAAGGATAAAAAATGCAGAATTCACTCTGTTTAGTATACACTGGATATCATTCTTTGAAAAAAAATCTTTTTCACTAAAATATGTTATATGTCCATTAAAGCTCTATCCCATAGTTCAATTTTAATAATTCCACTTTCATCTTGTTAGTAATCTTCAATTGACTACCCATGTTTTAAGGGCTACCAACTTTCAATGTAGAAGAAACGAAAAAAAAGACCTTGGACCCCCCCCCACCCCCCCCCCCCCCCCCCCCGGAATAAGAGATATATATAAGTATTTCAAGGAAATAGACGTTGAAACATGAAATTAAGTGTGTTATATCTTTTATATTCACCTCCTGAATAATTTTTCAACCTTTGAATTGGAAATATGGCATGGACAGGCATTAAGTATATCCGATATTCAACTTTTATGGAAGAACAAATCTGCGGAACTGTAGTGTTATGGTTTTATGTTTTAATCCTTGACTATCAAGACCAATAAAACCATAACGCTACATACAGTTCTGCAGCTAGGAAGGACAGTCTATTTCTTGGTGTGTGGGAGACATTTCCTCAAATATTCCATTTTCCCCAACGACTGGATTTGTCAGAGTTCAACCTTGCGGTTAGCTGCAGAACTGTAGCTCTCCCAAAAAAAAAAAAAAAAAAAAAAAAAAAAAAAAAAAAAAATATATATATATATATATATATATATATATATATATATATATATATATATATATATATATATTGACAGACGGGCGAGCTGCAGTGCCACCAACTGGAATAAAAGTGTATGTTTATTGTGCACAAAAAATGCACTGTTTCTCGGTTTCAAACTGTGATATTCTCAAACTATTTCTAATTGGATGTTCCAAATACAAGTTAATTCCTTTACAATGTCCACTTACTATTTCCACAACTGTTGTAAATAGCCCTCCTTGACATTGAGACCATCGAATTTCGCATTTTTACTTCCATTTGTAAAGAAAAAGCATTTCAATTGCAACGCGATTCGTGATTAACAAGTCAACTACAATAGTTGTTGCTAGAGGTCTTAGGATTATGTTTTTTAGCTTTTGTGCAGTTGAGATAAGAATCTGGAGGAATTAATTTAGCACCAAGCACAACTTTTGTGCGTAATTTTGTGAGTGGCATTTTGGTCGTCTATCTCGTTTTTTTTTCCAGACCAGCGAGTTACAGGAAGGCAGCTACTTTAGTAATAACTAAAAAAAAGGGGGGGGGGGCAAGCATATCTGCATAAAAAATCATGAATATGAATTAAAAGAAAATCAAAAGACTATTTTCAGAAAAAAGTACACCTCAGCTTGCATACTACGGACCTGAGATGTTACTGGATAAATTTAGACTATATGCAACTCAACGCTAAAGATACTCACATCTTGTTTTGAATAAACATATACTGCAAGGAAAATATTTCCATTATGCATTCGTTTATTGCTTTAAAAAGCTTGTTCGCTTGATCACAACATGTACAATATGTATACCTGGTGCAGTTTTGGATTATTTGGTGTCATCATCTAATACTCATTCACACCATATCACTCTATTTAAAAATAACAAAATAATTTAACCAAAAACACAATATCCGTAAAAAGAATTGATGGAACACTATGTATTGAATCAATCAATAGTCAAAAATTACTATAAACTATAAAAACAATTATTCTTTTCATGTAAATTTGAATAATTTCATATTATTCACGTTAAGTAACATAAACCAACAGTCTCAGAGACGTAAACCAGTTGTCGCATTTACACAAATCAAAAGTCGCCTGTGTCAAAATTTAACAGAAACCAGTTGTAGCACCTATAAAATGAATTTGCTAAACTTTATTGGCAAATCCCATGGAAATAATTCATTTAAAGCACATTGTTTGTGTCCATGGCATAGAAAAACGTTGGATTAAAGTTAAATTTATCAACTTAACTGTTCAATTAGTCCTGTAGTATTTTATGTACTTTGCAAATGCGAGTACGTGAAAAACACGATGTAAACAGTCATTTACAAGTAATATTTCGACATGAGCCCTTTTCGGGTATAAAAGCAATCCAATCGCTGAACTATTTAATGAATTTGCTTTCTAGAAAGTGATTTTTATTGTGTTTTATTAAAAAAAATTGCATTAAACTAGATAATTCACCGGTGCCAATAGTAGCTGGTGTCCGAAACCAAGATTTTCTCGATTCGCACTTTACCAGCAGTGGATAAGCTCAATATCAACTCCTTAACACAATATATTTTTCTCAATGTCCAAAAAACATTTTGCACTGGTGTAGAGAGGGTCCAAAAAATTAACTTATAAGTGTAAACGACATTTATGTAAATTCATTCTTCATGTACAGGATACATCTTCAGCACATTTTTTTAATTCCATAAATCACTAAGTTCTTGATTACAATCATTCTCATGGGAAAAATCAGCTGAAGTATGGAAAATCTCATTTTTTTAATATAATGTTTCTTACTGAGTTATCTTGCAAGTTCATCCTATTCTTTGAATGAAACCAAGTGAATTAACACGATGATTATATAGCACATTTTTACATACCTACTACGGTCTACAGTACCCATATACCCTGTAGTTTGGACTTTTGTATGCTACTTAAAATCATACGACATGATATATGCTTACTTTTTTAGAAAACACATCAATTAGTGGATTTTTATTTAATTTTTCCAAAGCTAATATAATATTGGTCCGAAATATTGGTATAGCACACCAGTGAACCTCAATGTTTGTCCTACAGTCAACGGATTGTAATAAGTCAATCAAGTGACAGTTATCTGGCAACAAACAGTCTGCATGGTGCTAATAAAAAGACTGACTGTGACATGCATGTACGTGTAAAAAAGAGAAACTGTTAGGTAACTTGGTAAGCATAGTAACATTGTCACACAGAGGCACTGCAATATCACCATAGTATGACCCTGAATTAAAGAAATGAGACAATTTGGAGATTTCAATCATTTTATATAAAGCTTTATAAATCATCACAGGAAAATAAAATCTTGTCTAAGACTGATTTACTATACTTTCTATCTATGTAGAAGATTTACAAATTTGTGAAGCTTTCAATTTTAATTCGCGTCTCTTTAGGGCCTCAAGCCTCCTTTTTTCAATGTCTTTCTGAACTGAACTACTCAACTGAGAGTCCGACGGAACACTACTGTCAGGTGCCTCTTTTTTGATAGCCCTACTAACAGGAGTCTCTGGTAGAGAAGTTGGTTGTCCAACATGTTCCTTCTTACACACTTCCTGAAATACCGAAAGCACTGGCACACTGTTTGATTTATTCCCAGAACATTTTTTCTGTCTTTTAGCGAGTGCTTCATTCCTCTTCTTTTGAATCTCCTCGGGACTACACTTGCGTGGAGTACTACTTAATGATGGAATTTCAGCCATTCCCTCCTTGCTGGGTGAAAGACATAACTTTGTGATGCGGTCTTTGGTCTGGGTGTTATTTGATTCACTTTGCTGACTACTGGAAAGTCTTTTGGCAATTGCTGCATTCTTTTTCTGCTGAATTTCTTCAGGAGTGCATTTATGGGGACTGAACTCTTGGGGAAATCTTTTTTCTGGTGAAGAGACATTCCATGAGCTTGAGTTTGGTTGACTGTTTGAAAGTCTTTTAGCAATGGCTGCATTTCTCTTGCACTGTATTTCTTCAGGCGTGCACTTTTCTGGAGTAACTACATGGAATGTATCTGAGTCCTTCTTTCTCTTACAAGGAGAAACACTCTGTGTAGATTCCTCTTGAGTCATGTTGGGTTGGCTGCTTGACAGAGAACAGTTTGCTTTGGGAGCCTGTGATTCCACAGCGTCTAGTAAAGCCAGCACCTGAGGTTCACTTAACAAGTCCTCCTCATCGGAGTTGAACAGATCAGCACTTTCATCTGGAATCTCCCCCATGGTCGCCTCACTAGAGTTCAATTTTACAGCTATACCATTTTGTTGGTTTCTCTGCGATTCCACTTTGCTTTTGGAAATCTGTGTTTTGGTTGAATTTAATGCTGTGTGATTTGAAAGTGTTTTCCCTTTTTGTACAAATGAATACCCTCGACTGGTACTCTTTATTGGATGTGAAACTGGTGTCACTTTAACCTCTTTTACATTATTTTCAACAGATATATTCGAGGCAGAGTTACTTTTCTCACTAGTCATAGATATTAAATTACTTTTTTGAGTCTTTAGGCCCTTGTTTTTATCCATTTTATCACTTTGTACTTGACTGTCTAAAATGCAGTCAACCTCCACTACTTGACAAAGGATGTCATCAGATAAACTTGAATTAAATCCCAGACTGTTTCTTTTACTTGATTTCTTTTTCTCTGAATCAGGAAATTTAACTACTTTTGATTCACTGATTGTAGTTTTTGTCTCCTTTTTTGCAGACTGCTGTTTTGGACTTGTCTCCTCTTTTGCGGACTGCTGTCTCGGACTTGTGTCCTTTTTTGCGGACTGCTGTTTTGAACTTGTGTCCTTTTTTGTAGACTGCTGTCTCTGACAAGAGTTTGCACTTTGCTTTTCAGTTTTTGTCACAAAAGCACTTTCTGTGGAATGACTTGCTGCACATTTCTGATTTGAATATTTTGACAGTGTTTTAGTGCATAGCTTAGTATCTGTATTTTTTGTGACTTTTGCACCTTTATTTGGTTCATTTGGAATCTGTGTTGCTTTTATAATGAAGGACTCATCACCATAAAAGTCATCCTCACTCCAAGAAGTTTCACTTGAATTTTCCCATACGTTAGTCTGATCACCATTGTTAGATATAGATGGAGCAGTCTTGCTGATTTTAGATGGACTTTCCCCTGTATCACTTATATCCATTGACTCAGAATTTCTCTTCCTCTTTTCAGAATACCTTGTGTACTTGGCTGAAAGTACAGGAGATTTCTCTTCTTTAATTCTCATAGACAGTTTCTCTTTTAATACAGAAGACAAGGAAACAGTGGGTTTTTGTTTCTCTTTATGAGTGCGAGGAGGTGGAAAACTACTTGTAGGAGAGAAAGCAGAGAAATTTGTCACTGGCTTTGAGCTATCAGGCATATCTGAGTCCATCCACAATCCCAGAAGTCCCGGCTTGGTTCCATCTTCTGAATCATCATCACATTTTGATGTAGAGAGTGTCTGTACAATGTCGCCGACATTACTTTTGTGACCTCTTTTCCTTTTAGATCGATGGTATTTCCGCATGTCGGGAGATGAACAGTCCCACAATACTTCTGCAGAGGTCTCTTGTGAACACAAATAAATGTCTCTGTCAGAGACCAGGGCATTCTGGGATTGGAAACTGTCATCACTCTGTTCTGGCTCGTCATCAATACACACTACATCGTTTGTATTGTCTTCTTTATCAATAACGGTTTTTCTCTGTTTTACAACACTTATCACCTGTTTTTTGCCCACGGGTACTTGACGTGTATTATTTACTCTGCAGGGAGTCGAGTCTGTAATTCTGCTATCTTTATCTTTTGGTTCTTTTGCCTTCGACTGAGTCCGAGTGCTTCTTCGTAGAGAGGGTCGACTCATAATTCCATCCACAATTTTTCTTGCATATTCTTCAAAAAGCAGAGCATTTGCTGTGAACGTGTAAACGAAAGCATATGCCAATGTTGTCCATGATATAGCCTTTCCACATAAAATTGTAAAACCTGAAAAAAAAAACAATATTTAACATTTTCAAATATCTTTCTGCTAATATAACTTAAGACTGCATTGAATTTTGATATATTCAGAGTGAGAAAGAAGAAATTATAAATAATTGAAAACTACATTTTATTCTTTTAATGAAACAGTTGTTCAAAGAGGGAGGTAATCCAATTACAAATATAAGACTGTAATTTCAAAGAAAGATAATTCATTTTTATGAAAGATAACTCTAAAAAATCAATAAACCTTATAGTCTTTTTCAAGAATTTGTGTAGCAATGATCCAACTGTGTACTGTCTGAAAATTAAATAAATACTCATTTTAATGACTAAATATTCTTAGGTTACATAGTTATAATGAAATATTAGGACAATTTTAATCCCAGTAATTAATTACATCCCCCAAAAAGCAGTGTATTCAAATAGGAAATGTAAAATGCACTTACTAAGGATAAACAAATTTCCGTCCTTCAAATCTGTATAAAATTCCTGTTCTGTTAATTCATAAACATCATCGTCCTTCTCACAACCATCCAGCCAATACTGCACCTGTTGTAATATATTTGAATAAGTCAGTTATGTTCATAATGAGGCAAAATATATTAAAATCTACTTTACTTAAAGACACAGACATGTAACACAAAGTAAGACATTACAAATACAAGACATACATATATAATTGACTTTAAGATAAAATGCTTTAATTTCTTAAATATTTAAAGTATACTATATTGCTAAAATTTTAACCACCTCACACCACTGGAATGTTATACTTCATTGTAACAAATTGTGATGGGTTTTGAAAGGAATAGTTTGAAATAAGAAGAAATTTTACCTATGTGGAGTTTGAAACAATACAAGAATTGCGCCCCCCCTTAAAACGTGTTACTTATTTTCTATTCAAAATTCTATACACAAAATGATTTTTTTATTTACTTCTCAAATAAAGTGTACCAAATGTTTAAGTACTGTTTATCACTCCATAGTCCATACCCCTTTTTAAAAACACATTCAATAAGTTAAAAGTATTTTAGAGAAAATAATGTAGGTGATAGGAAGAAAATTATTTTATACTATGCCATATATTAAAAAAATATATTTGCTATTTGCCCTCTACAGGCTTACTGACTTAAAACTTTACTTTTTTTTTTTTATTTCCCTCATCAATTAAATATATATATATTTTTAAAATATGGCCCTAGTAATCAGTAAATCAGGTATACTAAAATTCATTCACTCAAGGTCTTGTAATGTTTACAAAGTCAAGTCAAATGAAAAATTATATTTAAGATATGCATTCTTCTTTTTCCTTTTTTGATTGAATTAAATTGAATATTGTCTTAGAAATATAAATAATTCATGAAGAAAAACTTAAATAACTTGACACAGTAAACAAAACTATCATTTATGAACTCAATACATATCCTATAAAGGTTTGGGGATGTGAAATTGTTACAGTGCAGTGTTTTCCCTAAGAACCAGCAGTCAGCCAAATTGACCGCTTTGACTGATAAAAATGCTGCCTGCAAATCAAACTTTGTTGTAAGGTTAACATAGCCTTAGCCTGTAACAACTCATCTTTAACCCATTACTTTAAAATAAAGGGAAAACACTGTCAGTGATTTACAAAATTTTCATTGTGTGATTTACTTACATGCAAACACACTATACCACTTTAAAAAGAGTTTAGTGTGAACTTCATATTAAAATGCTTAATACTGAAGTAATCATAAATTACTTTGAATATTCCATTGTCATAACCAACAATTTCACCATTCCATTCTACATTTTCATATTCATCGTTTGTCCAGGTATGAATGATTTTTTTCCTAACTAGTGTAGATGGAATCACTTCCCGTTGGGTCCTTTCCCTTTTTAGCTTTATGATGGTTTTCAAGTTTTCAATTAATTTTTCAATCGTAAAAAGTTTTCCTTTTTCCGAAAATTTTGTCAATCCTTTATGTTGTTTTTCTAGAGGAAATATTGTTTTGTATAAGTTCAACTGCTTCTTCACCGCTGTAATTTTATCGTTTTTCTTCTTTATATGTTGTAAACTGCTGTCAACCTTGCTTTCCGTGTCCCATAATCCATCGTCTGATATCGAATCTACTGCTTTTGTCAATTTTTCCTCTTTTCTTTCTTTCATTGCTTTTACATTTTCTTGTCTTTCTCTGATAATTTTCAGATGATTTTGAAATAACAATTTCTTTTCTAACTTATTCTTACACAAAACTTCCCTCCCTTCCTTCCTAATATTTCCTAAAAGCTCTTTCTTCTCTGACACTGTCTTTTCTTTTAACCACTCACTTGTCTTATTTTCACTAAATAAAATAAGGTTTTCTACACTAAAAACGCTAGACGTTGGCGTATCCATCATTTTCTTGTCCAACCTGCCCATTAGTCTTTCTACAGTAATATTATTTGTGCCACAACTATTACATTTATTTACAACATCTTCAGATGGATTAAAATATTTTCCAGTTTCTTCAATAAAAGGACTAAACAGTGACAATGACTTGGTTTTTAAAGATATACAAAACTTTTTCAATATCGAACATGTTACATCATTGTAAAAATCATCATATAAAACCTCCTCAAATTCATCAGTTGGAAGAAAAGGACCATAAAACAGAGAAATTTTTCTTGATAAAAGTAAAAAAGGTTCTTGTATACACAGATCTAAAAATTGAACAACTCTTCTGTACACGCTACCCATAGACAAAGCAGTGGGTAGCTCTTCCGCCTTGGACCAATAAGGTTCAGAAAATGAATTACATATAATACCAAGTGCTCTTAAAATACATAAAATATGATTGTTTTGTAAGCCACACACGATAAAATCAGTACAAGAATTCAAAGAACTTTTTGTGGATAACAAATACTGTAAAATATGCTTTCTCATACAAAAAATTCCTACAGCATTATAAAACAAAACATTAAATCTATTCCCTTTGACTTTCACCACAGGTACTTTGTCAAAACCTTGTTCTTTTACATAGGTTGCTGTTAAAAGGGGATCACCTGTTCCATCTTTAAAAAAAAGTTTGGATACACATGAAATGAGATAAAAGGTGTAAGATTCCTTACTTCTACAAGATACATTGTTAAAAGAAACATTTACATCTTTTTCAAAATTTAAAACTTCTTTCAAACACTGATCCGAAAACTGTAAAAGAGCATGTACAGAGCATTTAAAAGAATAAAAGTCCTTGTCACAATTAAAATCATCCCTGCATTTTTTCATTAAAATACTGTTAACTTTCTCTTCCGTAACACTACGGTCTGTCATAAAACTGGAAATCTTATTTAAAATGTCACAAGACTGACCATCAGTTATTTCATTTAAAATATTTAAAGTACTTTGGACGTAAGTGTCAGCCTTGCCGTCACTTACTTCTTTTAAACCAGCAGTAAAAATATTATTATTTGTGGCTATTTTCAAACCATAAAAATGTCTTCCTTTTTTTGTGGTAGCATCTCTATGCATAGTTAAATTTTCTGTATTTAAAAAATTTTCTTTTAACTGTTTTTTACATAAAATACCCATTTCATTGCTAAAAATTGCATTAGTACTCTTAGATGGCAGTTCTTTCACTTTAAAATTCACTAAAGATAAAACAGCATTAACTACTGGTTCGACATGTTCGATACCAATGTTATGAGTTCTAAAAAAATATATAAGTTCCCTAATCCTATGATCAAATGGTCTACCTCTGGTATTTTCCCTAAAATCTAAAACTTTAACTGTGTCACACCCTTCCTGTTCTTCCTCTTTTTCACAACGTAAAATATCAAGTTCTTTTTGTAAATCATTTAAAATAACATTTAAAGAGTTACACTGAACACTTTTGTCTCTCAGTATTTTATCTACCGGTACACATACTTCTTTGTCTTTTTTTCGGTCTATCTTCTCTTCTTTTTTCATTTTTCTTGAAACATGTAATTTTGATCGCAGATTTTTAATAATTCGGTCTTTCCTTTGTATGGCTTGTTCATATCTCCTACTTTTAATTTTCTTTAGCTGGTCTTTCAATAGTAACACTTTCTTTTGTAACTGAATAATTTGAATACTATGGTCTATTGGTGCTGGTGGTGGTTGTGGTGGTGGCAGTGAGGGTGGTTCAGCTCTAGATGTCACTTTCACTGGTACACTAAATGTACTTCTTAAAAAATGTTCACATTCACAGTTTTTTTTCCCTTTCAGCTGTTGAATCTTTGCTTTATTTCTTTTGATTTTAACATAAAGTGATTTCTTGTCAATTTCTTCTCGACTTTTACCCAGAACTCTGCATATATCACTGTGAATTGAATTGATGTTCCCTTTGCATCTTTCATATATTTCGACCACTAATTTGTTGGTTAGGGACATTTTGGTTATGATAAGTTAGTTTTAACAAATATATATTTACCCTATATACACATATACTATGTTGGCTGTTTTGAAAGAAATGATGATATTGCATGTTAGTAAAACGAGACAAACACTAGACGATGGACACACATCACACACATATATAATTCATACTGATAGTGTCGCCTGCATTGGTATTATTTTTATTTCAGACTGACAGATGGACAAGTGCCATAATAAGTGATCCCTCTGTATTATTTAATAAATACATACCTTAAAAGCTCAACTGAATAAATCTTTTTTTTTTGTTTTTTTTCTTTTCTTTTCTTTTTTTTTTCAATGTCTTTAGGAAAAATCCTCAATGAAGAAAAACCAAATATGAATCTGAAAATAAAATTCATAATATATATTTAATTATTTATCATATTTGAAAAAAAAATTGTCATTAATAATTTCAAAGAATTGTAATAAATTCTTACATTTTATATGTGGCAAACTTTATAATTGTTCTTCTAAATATTGTAAAGAAATTACCCTTGAGTTTTCCAACAAGGGGTATGTACAGGAATAAACAAACAAGCGAAAGAATATTTACACACAGTCTCTGGCTAGGTAATCACTGAAATCTGGAAGAAAAAAATTTTTAGTAATTGTTGCAAATAATTGTATGGAAGCATTGACATTTTATGAAATTCTATTTACCTTGATTATCCAGGAAAGTTTATTTACACTTCATAAAGCATCCCAATATAACTGGTGAAATTTGTCTGAAAAACATATATAAATCACTTTTTTCTTATGATATATTGAAAAAGACTATGATGAAAGGGAGGTAACTCAATTATTAGAATGGTTGAAACTATTGGGAGGCATAAAAGTAATTGAATAAATTAAACTCTAACTTGATTTTTCGCAAATATGTATTTTAATATCTTAAATTTACATATATCAGTTAATTATTGAAGGAAACTATGAGTGTGCCCTCGTGTTGCCATTATAATATCAATTTTCCATGTCACATTACTGAGGCATTAATCTTTAAAAAATCAGCAAGAGAAAGCCATAGCTTCCAAAATTTCAGTAATCGTACATATTGTAGCAGTATGTCTACCGCTTACGAAAATGTGTGAAACTTGAGCGTACCCTATCATTATCCTCCAAAAAAAAAAATTATTCATATTTTCATTACGCCCGTGTACATAATAAAATACCATTATTCGTGCTTTACGCGATTTTCCAAGAACAAAACACTGTATAAAAGATGATATATACTCAAAACTTACCAGCATTACTCAATTTTTGTTATGTCAAAGTCCTATCTTATTTTATATAATTTATAACAAAAAATACTTACTTACTCCGAGCCATATGAAGTCAACATGGCCGACTCCGAACAGTTCTGCAATAGATTAGAGTTATCGTTCTTGGCAAAGATGGCGTTATCTGGAAAGGCTACATGATAATTATATTTAATATTTCGAAAACATGGACGTAAAGTGTATACCGAACCCGATGAAATTTCTTTGGGTTAATTTTCCACAGAAGGTCTGATGCCAAGGAAACCAAATTCATTTTGGGGTAATACTATTTTCAGGGCGGGAGCTGCATTTTAGTAAAAAAAATCCCGACAAGCCAAAAAAAAACAAAATTTAAAAAAAGGGGGGCTCCCATAGATTTTGCTATTATCAAATTATATCAACATTATAAAAAAATACGAGGTTCGATCCTGATATTTAAAGTATTTTCAAGTATATTTTTTAGTTTCTACACACAAAGCTTACCCCGGTAGTTAAAAATCAAAGCGGGGGGGTCAATATGCTTCTTTTGGCGCTAGGCCTACACTAAATTTAATATATAGGACCTTTTTGCACTGAAATTCGTGTCTTTATCAAAACACATCTTCAGTGTTTTCCATCCAATGTTTTAATCCAAAGAAATAAATCAAATTTTCATGGGGAAAAATAAACTATTAGTGCATGAACAATGTACGTACCATTTCATGAACTTAACGTGCCATATGATGCTTTTTAAAGGATTATTCTTACTTTTTTTCACAAACATAAATATTATACTTTGAAAATTGAAAGAATGTGTTCCATTAAATCTGTTGTATTAAACTTAGTTAAATTACGAGAATATGAAAGCCTATCGATCTCATTTTCGTAAGATAAATATTTTTTTTGCGTTATAGCGCGGAAATTATGCATTTATTCGCGAATGTTACGCGTAATATTATAATTTATAACACAGGGAAATTTTCGAGTTATTGATAACGCGAAAGTTTTGCACATGTATCGCGTATTTTGGGGAAAATTCGCGCAATAGCGTGATAATGCGAATATTTTGCAACCTACGAAAATGAGTATCATAGGCTCTCGTACGAAAACATGCATAATGAGAAAAAAAATTGGAATTTACAACCACCACCCCCCTAATAAAATTTTCGAAAATAAAATTTCCCGCTTTTTGGGAATGTGACACACATTTTTCTCCTGATTGACCCCTCCCCCTTTTCAAGAATGACCCTAGCCCAAGTCCCTGAAGAATATCCTTTCGAGATGTGTAATGAAACATCCCGTTGCTTGAACGACTTGTCACCAAAAGTTCAAGTGCCACCTCATCCAGAAAATTAGGGTGGACGAACCCGATTGGTAAAGTTCTACAAATACAGGTAATGAATAGCTACTACATGCATAAAATGTTCATATACTTAGCAACCTGCTTTTTAGAGAATAGTATGAATTTAGAGGTATTTATTTTAAGGTATTTTATTTAAAAAGACTTGAATTTCTTTCAAATAAAGCACGCTGACCTCTTGGTAGGTGTGGACGTGACTTGTTCATTATATACCGGGAACCGTTATATTATAGTGGGTATCATTGCGGTTTCGAAATTTGCTATTATAGCTAATTCATTAATTGTATTGATAAGAACATGACACACTGGCATTGTTTATATAATACGATTAGTACCGGTTTGTAAACGTGGACTTCGAATGTATCTGGATGAATGTTGACTGCCCATTGACAGGTACGCGTTCTCCCGAATTGCCTCTAATCTTGAGCTCAAAGTGGGACAAGGCGACCTAGGCTAAGCCGAATCATTAAGAGAGCTATGTTTTGTGTATGACACCCAGTAGGAATCAAAGAGAAATGTTAAATCTTCTTTATTGACTTTATAATCTCAGCGGGATGTCGTAGGGACTAAAATTCTGGTCTGGCGTTCCTCGACATCTCTGCCTGAGATGTTGAGGGACACCAGACCAGAATTTTAGTCCCTAAGACATCTCGCTGAGATTATTGACTTAATAGTTGTAATCATAAATATTTTCTTTTTAACATTGCTTGAGCATGTCACCATGCAGGTAAAAACACAGAATGTATAGCAAAAATACTCTCTACAGTAAGATCATCTTGCTAAAGTGTGATTATCCCTCTTTAACAGAAGAATTATAAACTACCACAAACAGGTGTTTTGAATTTGAAATAACATTTGAGCTAGCTGCAGAACTGTATAGCTCTCCAGGGCTCAACATTAACTTTAAAATTAACTAGACCAGTCGGACTAGTAGCTGGAAAATTTACTAGACCTGACCTCAATTTCACTAGACCTGACCTAATATCCGTGTCAATGTAAGCAAATTGATGCTTGTCATTTAACTTAGTTTTGCTGAAAAGAAAATTAAAGAAAGGAAACATCTTTTTAATAAATTCAACAAAATATCAGAAAGGAAGATGTATTTCTGCATGGTTAAATGAAATCACACTATGCAACAGTTGTTGTAAATGACCTAGCATGAAGGAAAAATCTTGGTAGAGTTAGCATTTAAAAGAAAGTCAAAAGACAGTACGATTTTTGAAATATTGATATGTATAATAATACTATAATGGAATAAAAAAATGTTTGTTTCCTGTAATATGATTGTAATATTACCCTAAAAACAAGGGTTGGTCGGTGGATTTTTTTTGGGGGGGGGGCTTAATACGATCTCATAAATTGACATAATAAACTTCCCAGTTTAAAACTTTTATTTTCACTTTCCATAATGCCTAAATAATGGGGTCAAACATCCCGGACTGAACTAACCAGGTTTGATATTTACAGTGGACACCCATCATGGCTGTCTTGCGGTAAAAAACGAAGTTCCAAAAGTTGTGGGGGATTGCTAAATGATATAATAATGATCATTACTTTTTATATTTAAAGTGAATGTTGACTACGTTGACATATTTTATATCTTAAATATTGTATCAGCTGATTGATCATGCAAACACAGATTTGGCAGAGAAAAAATCCACCGGCTACATTTACAGCAATTCAGGAAACAAACGTAATTTTCTAAAGTTCATGATTTTTTAGTTGGGATCAAAAAATGAAAGTGAAACCTGATCAAACACATTAATAAACAAGAAAAATCTGTAAATTTGTTGCAAGTTTTGCTTCATTTGAACTTTGGTCGAAATATTTTTAGCTCACCTCAACGAAGTTGGGGGGAGCTTATGTGATACCCTCGGCGTCGGCGTCGGTGTCGGTGTCGTCGTCCCAGGTTAAGGTTAAGTTTTTTGGAGCAGTTTTCTTTTAAATTACTTCTGTGTCCTATATAGATTAGACATGCATGGAAGATGGTTTTAGTGTGTTTCATTGTACCAGACAAAGTTTCAGGTGCTGCAATTTCAGCAAAGGAATGACCAGGTTAATGTTTTTGGAGCAGGTTAACATTTTTGGTGCAGTTTTGGGTGTAGGGTTCATTTGCAAGTAACTATAAGCTCTATGTTGACCAAACTTGCATGGATGATACATCTAAGGATGCATACTACCGGGCTTGCTTCGGATGCTGAATCTGACCTACATTTTCCGGTTGAGTGAACAGGTTAAAGTTTTTGGTGCAGGTTTCATTTGCAAGTAACTATAAGCTCTATGTTGACCAAACTTGCATGGATGATACATCTAAGGATGCATACTACTGGGCTTGCTTCGGATGCTGAATCTGACCTACATTTTCCGGTTGAGTGAACAGGTTAAAGTTTTTGGTGCAGGTTTTATTTGCAAGTAACTTTAAGCCCTATGTTGACCAAACCTGCATGGATGATACATCTAAGGATGCACACTACCAGGCTTGCTTCGGATGCTGAATCTGACCTACATTTTCCGGTTGAGTGAATAGGTTAAAGTTTTTGGTGCAGGTTTCGTTTGCAAGTAACTATAAGCCCTATGTTGACCAAACTTGCATGGATGATACATCTAAGGATGCATACTACCGGGCTTGCTTCGGATGCTGAATCTGACCTACATTTTCCGGTTGAGTGAACAGGTTAAAGTTTTTGGTGCAGGTTTCATTTGCAAGTAACTTTAAGCCCTATGTTGACCAAACTTGCATGGATGATACATCTAAGGATGCACACTACCAGGCTTGCTTCGGATGCTGAATCTGACCTACATTTTCCAGTTGAGTGAACAGGTAAAAGTTTTTGGTGCAGGTTTCATTTCCAAGGAACTATGAGTTCTTTAATGACCAATCTTGCATAGATGATACATATAAGGATGCATACTACCAGGCTTGCTTCGGATGCTGAATCTGACCTACTTTTTGTGGATGAGTGAAAATGTTAGTTTTTGATGCATGTTTCATTTCCAATAAACTATGAGCCCTATAATGAGCAAACTTGCATGGATGATACATCTTAGGATGCATACTAATGGACTTGCTTCGGATGCTGAATTTGACATACATTTTCAGATAATAGACAAGGTAAAAGTTAAGATTGCAGGTCTATTACCAAAAACTATAAGGCTTATATAACATCGTATAAACCAAACTTGCACAAATGTTGCATCAAGAGATGAAAACTCTAAAATTTGCTTCAGATGCTGGATTTTCATTACATTTTCATGAAGAAGAACTAGTTTAAATTTTTTATGCATGTCTATTTCAAAGTATCAGATCAAAATTGCTTACATATTTTCATTTTTGGAATGTATACTTTTTGTTGGTTAATTGTGAGACTTTGCCTTACTTAAAGACAACATTTGTTGAGGTGAGCTCTGTAATCTCTGATTACCTATGTTTACATGACCAGTCGGGCTACCATGAAACAAAATAAACTAGACCGGACCTAACTTTTACTAGTCTGAGTCGGTCGGAGGTGCCTTAATGTTGAGCCCTGCTCTCTGCTTTAGAAAGCAGAGAGCTACCAGCTTCAAGCATAATGTGAAAACCACAGGTACTTGGGTCTTGGTTTATAAATATGTGTATGCCTTATTGATATATGAAAAAGTAGTATTCAAGCTCAAAAGTCTGTTAAACATTACAAATTAGGAGCGGAGCAAACAGTTACCACGAACCTTCAAAACACGCTCAATTATCGGATATCATTCTTAAAGTGTGGAAAAGCTAAAAATAAGTTCAAGAAATAATACCAAAAGAGAGCGACCAAAAAGCAGCAACATAAATCTATGGTTTTTACAATGCTTAGATCTGTAGCTCTCTGCTTTATCTGTCTGGAGTTTCTCAAGCAGAGAGCTACGCAGTTATGATAAGGCTGTCTGAAGGCATAAAATGCCATGAAAATATACATTTCATTCTGAGCTAGATTTTAACTTTAATATGTAATCCTCGTTTAAAATCGCAGACAACTTGAGATAATAGTTTAATCAGGTTTTATTTTAGTGCATTTATGTGATGTCACATGACTGTGTTGATCACGTGATGGAGATTTATGATATTCCTAATTGTTGCGCAAAAATCGCTTGGGCACAATTTAAGTGCAAAACAAAAATATTGTGCAAAGTTTGTTACATAGATCAATTCATCGTGATCTCTAGTACAAAGAAAGTGCTGGGTGCAGGTTTAATTTTTATTCGTTTAGAAAATATTTTACGATAAATTAAACTTACCAACATAAGAAGGGGTATTTTCTACTCTTTATTGCAATTTATACAAAAATGGATAAACTACCGTACACACAATCCCCCAGCAATATTCAGTTAGAGGACATACCTCTCTTGTAGATTCACACAGAATATCTTCAATTTGTCCTTGTTTATAACTTGTGCCAGTCCAATATAAACACGATTGATAAATTCGAACTCTGTCTTCGGACGTGTAAGGGGAGAATTTCACACATAACTTTTTGCTATTGTTTGAATATGTGCATATTGGAAAAGCAAAAGGAATAAGGATATTTAAATTTCAATTGTTCAACATCATAACAGCACACTTGAGCTGAAAAACAATCCTAACACTTGAATTAAACAACAAGTCCCAAAAATAAATCTACATGCCATGTAAAAATTATGGCACTTTCCCCGTCATGTCAGCTCAAGTATGCAGTGACTTGACGTCATATTCTATTATGACGTCATATCTAGGTAGTTCAGAGAAGTTACTACAAATTGAACAGTTTGATATTTTACGGGCAGCCTTATCCTAGCTGCGTACAGTTCTGCAGCTACTTTTGAGCTCAACTATAAATGTTCATATGAGCTTTTCCAATCAAAAAGAACAAGGTCAAAACATGCATTTAAAAATGGACAGAATGTTGTCTGCCATTGTTGGCATCATTGTCACAAACTTTTCACATTTTCAACTCCTTCTCCAGAAACCAATGGACCAGTTTCTAACAAACATGGCACGCAGTATGTTTATTTTTTGTTAATGATCCTCCCACAGGTTCACCTACAGAAACCTTGTTACGACTTACTTGGTGAAGGGGATTTTAATTTGATCAAATAAAGGACCACACCCAGTTCCAAATGCTACGATTAAGACATTAATATTGTATCGGGTAATTTAAAAGTCTCAAACTGCTTGGCCAGAAAAGATAAAAGCTTCCGGATAGTACTGAAGATTCAAGCTTGTTCAAATCATATAACTAATTAAGCAGTAGGACAGAGCCACTCTGAGTTATATTAGGTTCACAAGAAGTATTTTCTCAGTTTTATTCTTACTATAGGGAAATTATTCCCAACCTAAGCTGAAATCATACAGTTGAACTTAAGTATCTCAGACACTGATATCTTGAATATGTTGGAAATGTCAAATTGATCTGGAAGTCTCATCCACTTATACCATCATCTAAAATCCTGGGATATCTCAACATTTTTTTTTGGGCCCATTGAGTTTGAGATGCTGAGGTTTGACTGTATTTTATACTTAAAACTGTTTTCAAATACATTGTGCATGTACAAATAATTTCAGTTTTGATTCATCACTGAGACAAAATGCCGACATCAGAGGAGCTATCTGCAGTGATGGCTAACTATAACAAGCTGCAGTACTTTGAGGAGTTGTCACATGGACTGTCCAATTCACTGAAGAATTCCTTGTTTACTGACGTCCAGATTGAGGTAGATGGGGACATCTTCAATTGTCATCGTATAATCCTAGCCTCCATGTCACACTACTTCAAAACCATGTTTACCTCAAGTAGGTGGTTCAGTTGATTTACAAGTATAATCGTTATATTTTGTAATGTTGAAGAATGTTATTTAGTTTTTAAACTTGATTTCATGCACTTTCAAAATTGCTTATAATGAGGGGCTTGAAGCTATTGACTTTTGGGCCTTTCATCAATTTGGCAGGTAAAGCTGACCTACAGGCAGTTACTGATGCTATTACAATAAATGTATTTTTCTATTAAATTATTAGCTCACCTGAGCCGAAGGCTCAAGTGAGCTTTTCTGGTCACATTTTGTTGTCGTCCATCTATGCATCTGTCTGTAAACTTTTCACATTTTCGACTTCTTCTCAAGAACCACTGGGCCAATTTTAACCAAACTTAGTACAAAGCATCCTTGGGTAAAGGGGAGTTTAAATTTTAACAAGAGGCCCAGGGGCTACATCGCTCATCTGAGCACATCAGCTAGGAAAAAGCACAGATCAGATCAGAACTGAAAAGTTTACTGAAGGGGGGGGGGTTCCTACCCTCCTTACCCCAAAGGGCCATGATTTGAACAAATTGAAATCTTCAATACATAAGGATGCTTACATCTCAGTATGACTAAACATAGCTTTTCTGTTCTTGGGATTTATCCTTAAAACTTTGATCAACCTTTGTGGCCCCACCCTATCCCTGGGGGTTATGATTTGAACAAACTTAAATCTACACTAAGGAGAATGATTCCATATAAATATCACTAATCATGACTTTAAAGTACTTGAGAAGAAGATTTAAAAAGATTTGCCTATATATTCCTATGTAAAACTTTCATTGGCCATTGTGGCCCCGCCCTACCCCCAGGGGTCATGATTTGAACAAACTTGAATTTACACTACCTGAGGATGATTCCACATGAGTTTCATCTTTCCTTGCCCAGTGGTTTTTGAGAAGAAGATTTTTCACTATTTTTCCTATGTACTCCTATGTAAAACTTTGATCGGCCATTGTGGCCCCACCCTACCCCCGGGGGTCATGATTTTAACAAACTTAAATCTACACTACCTGAGGATGATTCCACATGAGTTTCATCTTTTCTGGCCCTGTGGTTCTTGAGAAGAAAATTTTTCAATATTTTTCCTATATATTCCTATGTAAAACTTTGATCGGCCATTGTGGCCCCACCCTACCCACCGGGGGTCATGATTTGAACAAACTTGAATCTACACTACCTTAGGATGATTCCACATGAGCTTCATCTTTCCTGGCCCAGTGGTTCTTGAGAAGAAAATGAAAATGTGAAAAGTTTACGATGACAATGACAACGACAGACAACGGACAAATTTTGATCAAAAAAGCTCACTTGAGCCTTCGGCACAGGTGAGCTAAAAATGAAGGGCTAGTCCCCTCACAAGGGGAGATAATCAAGAAAAGACAAAATAGGGTGGTGTCATTAAAAAATCTTCTCAAGAACCACTAGGCCAGAGAAGCTGAAACTGTGGAAGCATCTTAAGATAGTGTAGATTCTAAATTATTAAAATCATGACCCCTGGGGGTAGTGCGGGGCCACTATAAGGAATCCAAGTTTTACATTGAAATATATAAGAAAAATCTTTAAAAATCTACTTCTCAAGAACATTGGGCCAGAAAAGCTGAAACTTGTATGGAAGCATTCTGAAGTAGTGTAGATTCCAAATTGTTCAAATCATGACTCCGGGGATAGGGCAGGGCTGCAATAGGAAATCAAAGTTTTACATTGAAATATATAGGAAAAATCTTCTTCTCAAGAACTACAAGACCAGAAAAGCTGAAACTTACGTGGAAGCATCCTGGGGTAATGTAAATTCTAAATTGTACTAACCATGACCTCTGGGGTTAGGGTTGGGCCGCAATAGGAAATCAAAGTTTTACATTGAACTGTATAGGGAAAATCTTCTCAAGAACTACTGGGCCAAAAAAGTTGAAACTTATGTGGTAGCATCATGACCTTCGGGGTAGGGTTAGGCGGCAACACTGAACAGGGAATCCAATTTTACATTGAAATACAGTGTATATAGGAAAAATCTTTAGAAATTCCAGAACCATTGGGCCAAAAAAGCTGAAACTTATGTGGAAGCATCCTGGGGTAGTGAGATTCTAAATTGTCTAAATCAAGACCCCTTGGGGTAGGGTGGGGTCACAATATGTATTACAAGGGGGGGGGCATCTGGTGAAGAAGAGCAATGGCCAAATTTTTACTCAGTGAGCGATGTAGTCCATGGGGCTCTTGTTTTTTTTATTTTAATTTTCTTAGATGCATAAAAAAAATTTGAAAGAATTTGTGACAACTGATAACTTGTGATCTTTATTTAAAGAGTCAAAACATTTTGATTTTTCAGACTTTAAAGAGAGTGGTTTGCCAAAAGTACACCTGAAGGACTTGGATAAAGAGATCTTTAAGGCTGCTTTAGAGTACATATACACAGGACAAAGTTCAGTCAAGAGCAGCAATGTCTACCACCTGCTCTCCTGCTCATCAATGCTACAAATCAAGGGTCTTCAGGCCATTTGTAGTGAATTTTTAAGGAAGAGCTTGTCTCACAACAACTGCATTGGGATCTGGAAAATGGCAACCGGGCATGGACTACCAAAGTTGCAAGAAGACAGCTGGAACACAATCCAGCAGAAATTTCCAGAAGTTTCCAAATGTGAAGAATTCCTACTTCTCACAAAGGATGAACTTGTCCAGATCATAGATTGTAAGGATTTGTTCACAAGTAAGGAGGAGGATGTGTGTGATGCTGTACTGCGGTGGGTCAATGGGGACAAAGCCAGGAAAAAGGGGTTAAAGGAAGTGTTCAAGGTCCTACGCCTGACTCAGATGTCTCTGGATTACCTGTGTAACATCAGAGACTGCGAAGAGATAGAAGAGTGCTCGGGATGCCGTAGTCTTGTCTTAGAGGCCATTGACAAAATTAACTCTGCCCTCCCCAATGAATATACTTGTCCAGAATCTGAATACAGGGAGGAAGAAGTCATCTGTATGGTGGGAACAAGGAGCAGAGAACCCAATCCCCAGAAGATAGAGGTCCTGTGCTACAGCTTCAGACATGACCGGGATTTCAAACTCTCTACACTGCCAGTGGAGCCAGGACCCTGTTTTGCAGTATGTATACTGAACAGGGACATCTACATATCTGGGGGTTATAATGAACAAAACCTGATGCTTCACTTCAACACAGAACAAAACATGTGGTCTGAGTGCAAGAAGATGGTGATTGAGCGATGGTCTCATTCCATGGTGGCTGTGGGTAAACATCTCTACTTAGTAGGAGGAACATCCAAGACCAACGAAACCCTGTCCAGCATTGAAAAATTTGACCCCAAAACACAAACCTATGAAGAGATAGGTCAACTAGAAGTTCCTGTGTCTTCCATGACTGCTGCTGTGTTTGGAACAAAAATCATCACTTTTGGAGGGAAGCTGAAAGATCGAACAGCAGCTTCTGTCATCCAGTACTTTGATGTTGCCACAAAAACAAAAGGGTTGCTAGGAAACCTTCCAGAAACATGTGCAGGCATTATGGGAAGAGCTGTCCACTTTGAGGACAAATTATTCATAGTTTTTAGGGAGGGGCAGATTGTGGAGTATTCTGAGGACAGGGGAGCCTCCATAGTCTGTAACATTGTCAAATTTGATCACTTTGGAGCTGTGATGCATGAAGGGGAGGTTCTGATTCTGGGAAATCGCAGTGGTACTTTCTATGCCGTCCTCTTTGATCCACATAGTGGGAAAGCTAGGAACATTCCAGCACCCTTCAAGGCTCCAATGTGTAACTTCTACTGTCTACAGACAGTTGTGAGCAAGAGATACCTTAAATAAGCAGCTAAAGTTTTAGTTACTCATTTTCAATAAAAATGTCAACACTGAACACTGACAATACACATTTTATATAAATTGATCAATGCTGGCCATACTAAGTATTTTTAACAAAGTTGGCTGAGAATCTTTTGTTATTTCAGTTTTGTTCTTTTTTTGTAATTTTAACAGTTTTAGCAGTTTAATTTATTTTTGCAATTTTCCAGATTTAAAATATGAACAATTTTTTTTCTCAGTTTTCTACTTTTGCTTTATATACTTGTACAACGGTATACAATGTTGCTTTGATAACTAGCTATATAGTCCTTAATCTTTACATAATTTTTCAAATGAATAACTTGTTTCTATTTCTATAGAAAATGTTTGCGTTTTAACATATTGAAGACTTGCTTTATTTAATCATTTGATAATTTTATATTGTTAATATCATGATCTACACATTTAAGATTAATAAAAAAAATGTATAAGCTTTCTTGTTTCATAGGAAAACATCAAGATAAACATTTTCAAAAGTCAAAAGAAAGGCACAAGTTTCAATGACATTAACACAGGTACTTGTCTCTGTACATTAATAAATTAAAAAATAAAACTTAAATATTAATATTCATGCTTGAAATATTAATGTAATATTAATGTTTATTATAATTAATATAACTACTCAGATCAGAGCTTGCTGCTTTTGGGAGGAACAGTTTTTCATTTAGGGTATATTCCTTGTGGCCCAAAATAAAACCCATAGCATAATGCCAATAATGACACTTTTTATATATACTATGGGTTAAAAATCTATTACAGAAACAAGTGCCTGTGGACATTAAAGAGGACAAAATGACATTTTTGTCAGGAGGGGCTGCGAAAAGGACAATATGTTTATAAGCTAATGGCCTCACCTGAGTTGAATCTTAAGTTTTTCTGATCACATTTTGTATGTTCATCCGTATGTCTGTAAACTTTCACGGTTTTTACTTCTTCAGTCCCTGGAATCTTGACACCAATTTTAACCAAACTAGCAATACAGTATCTTTAAGAGAATTTGAGGGGATTCAAGTTCAGATGAGGGAAAGATAATTTCAATTATATTAATGAAAATTTAGTGAAATCCTTTAAAAATCTTCTCAAGAACCACTGAGCAAAAAAGAATTTCCATCGAAGAATAATTTTTGCCGAGACAATTCTCCTCAGAAAATTTTTGTCATGATGTCATAAAATTTCAATAGTGATCGAGAACAATTCTCACATTACTCTGAATGCTCAAAATAAACTTTATTTTGAGACCTAAATGTATATCTGAATATTTAGGTTATAGGCATCCTATATGCCTTGTTCACCAGTCTCCTTTGGAGGATTTCAGTACCAAAATTCTTTTTTAATAAGGGCATATGCAAGATACTTTACCCACTAATTTTTCAACATATTCTTAGAGGATAATTTAAATTTTTAATTCCATCAGATTCTTCTAAGAAAAAAATATGAGTGCACATTATCACTGTCAAGTGGTTTTAATAGAGTAGACATATCAAATAATGAAAATTTTTGTATTTATTATTCAACAAATATATCTACAAATTTTTAACAAATAATCATGTTTTTTTAATCAAAATTATTTTTATATGTATATATAAAATTAAGGTACGTATTAGGTATATAGCTTTTGCCTTTACTGTCCATCTGTCTGTCTGTTTGTCCACAAAAACTTTAACCTTGTCCTTTTTACTGAGTGGGGCTATGGCTTTAATTTCATATTTCACAGGTATATTTCTTGTGATGAAGAGGTATAGATATACATTGTATTATATAGATAAGAAAAGAGGAGCACACATGCAGCTCCTTCATTCATTGGATTTCTTCAACTCCTATAAAAATCTTAAAATGAAATGGGATAAACAGGAACAGTTTGTGAAACACTGATGCTCCTGTATGGCAACAAATTGAAAGTTAAATTTTGTCAAATGCAAATCAAATATCTGTATGTTGGTGCCATAGTAATTATATGCCTTCTCACAAGAAATACAATTGTGAAATATGAAAGTCCTGGCACAACCTGTTCAAATGTAATGGCCAATGTTCAAATTTTTAAAAAGTAGACCAAACTTGGGTCAAGGTCAAAAGGTCAAAGTTGTTGGGTTTTTTTTAAAGAAAGGTCTTGCATAAGGATTGGATTACATATACATGTATGTGAAGTATGAAAGCCCTTACCACAACCATTCAAAAGTTATGGCCAAGGTTAAAGTTTTTGAAAAGTAGATCAAACTCCAAGGTCAAGTTAAAGGGTCAAAGTTTTTGGTATCCAATGAAAGGTCTTGTCACAAAGATTACACATGTGAAGTGTGTGAAAGCCCTAGCTCTTATCACTCAAAAATTATGGCCAAGGTTAAAGTTCCTAAAAAATAGGTCAAACTACTGGGTCAAGGTCAAAGGGTCAAAGTTGTTGGTATCCAATGAAAGATCTTATTACAAGCATTAAGTATATGAATTTTGAAAGCCCGAGCCCTTACCATTCAAATGTTTTCGATAAGGTTAAAGTTCTTTAAAAGTAGTTCAATCTCCAAGGTCATGGTCAAAGGTCAAAGTTGTTGGTAATTTCAATGGAAGCTTGTCACAAAGAATGTATTTTTGAAATATGAAAGTTCTACAGCACCAATATGTTCAAAAGTTACGGTCAAAGTAAAAGTTTGGAATTTTTGTGTAAAAGTGTGTCAAACTATAAGGTCAAAAGGTCATCAGAAAGGTCTTGTCACCTGTGAAATATGAAAGCCAAAGCCCCACCCAGTCAAAAGTCCAATCTCCCATGCAGAGTTGTCGTCCGTTCCTCTCTCAGACCACAGGCAGCTGAATTTTTATTAACAAGTCGCTAAATTAGCAAAGCATCGAAAAAATATATCCCCTCCATATAAAAATCCAGGTTCCAGGTACCTGTGCTCAGAAAATGAGCCGATGGTAGAGAGAGTCAAAAGTTATGAGCAACATAAGTTTTTGCAGACAAACAGACAGACGGACAGGGCACAAGCTATATACCCCAGAATTTTCGATTACGGGGAGGGGGGTTAAAAAAAGAAGAGGAAGAATGAAAAATAACTTGTTTGTTTCTGAAAAATCGAATATTTCCGACTATTCATGGTACGATTTAACTTTTTTTTACACTTGGCGCGAATATTGGGCATCGTGATGACTGATGGTTATAATTTATATATTTTGCTGCATCTTCCTTCATTTTCTAGGTAAATAACCTGATTATCCATGTAATAAGATGTAAAACATGACGTAGTGAACTATTCATAATTGGGGTTTTTTTTTCATGCAAAAGACTTTAAATGCAATATTGTTGACTGGGTTTGACATGTTCGAGGGCAACGTGTAATAATCAGCAGGTGCAGGAAAATCACTATATTTAGCTATATAGCTAAATCTACCTATATAACTTTATTTACCTATATAATATAGCATTATTTAGCTATTTCAGAGTAAATTTCTGTTTAATGAAAAGCAGACAAGAAGTCGCATAATGAGGCAGTATTAGTTTTCAACTTTGAAATGGGCTGAAAACAATTCACCAAAAACCCACTTTTAAAAATGTTCCTCCTTTTGCGCAATTGCAATCAACGATCTAAAAGTTTTGGGGCTATGTATAACAGGCAGCTAATCTGTGATTAAGCAGCTACTTTAACAAAGAAAAGCAGTTTTTGGTCAACAAGATAATTGATTGGTAATAAAGCACAAAGCAAGGCAATCACGCTTAGTCATGCCGGTTTACAGTCAACTCGTACACAAACTGACTCGTACACAAACTGACTCGTACACAAAAAAGTCAACTCGTACACAAATCAGAAGTCAACTCGTACACAAACTAATGGTTTTCCTATGTGATTTAAGGTATAGTTTTCCTTAGTGTACAAAAATTAAGGAGTCAACTTGTACACAAAGATTTTTCTTGTACATTTCAATCTTTTTTATGCCTCTCAGTCTGAATATTTACCTAAACCATATGTGCAGATGGATTTTTTCCCCACATATTTTTGTTATATAAATATTTATTTGATACATAAATGAGAGGTCCATTTTTCGATTCTGTGGATTTAATTTTATATCTTAAACGACATAATCAATTTGATTAAATTAGATTTCTAATTGTTAAACATCACCACAACAATATTTTAATACATAAATTTTACATTTTAATTGCATTAAATTATAAATATTTACTAGCGTACTAAAAACTTAAAAGGACTCTATCGTACCAGCGCACTCTGTTTAGCATGTTTAGTAGGACTTAGAAAATTTTTTTTTTTAATTTTGTTTTACAGCAGGAAAAACAACACGTCTCTCGCACCATGTTGAAGTTAAAAGAAAGGAGAAATTTGGACCAAATTAGGAGCATATCATAATTAGTGTTTGTCGCAGATCCAAGAAACCGCCGCTCTTGTGTTGGTTTAACAATAATGGTTTGAATTCCTTAGACCTAACAAGGGAAGTTATTAAAATGTTAAACCATTATTTAAAGTATATATGAAATAATTCCAAAAATTAACACTTCTCTTCATTCTTATTTTATTTTTTCTAGATTATACACTATTCATATAAAAATAATTCCTAACAGTTGTAAATAAATTGTTGTGTACGAGTTGACTTCTGATTTGTATACGAGTTGACTTCTGAATTGTGTACGAGTTGACTTTTTTGTGTACAACTCGGTTTGTGCACGACTTGGTCTGGTACGAGTTGACTGGACACCATCATGCCTCATCGCACTTCCAGTGAGGGACAGCTATCCAAGCAATAGAGATGCCTTTTTTGGTTAAAAAGTGTCATGTTATGGTCAAGGTTAAAGTTTTTAAAAAGTGGATGAAACTTTAAGGTCAATATAAAAATATTTATACCCACTGAAAGGACTTGTCACAATGAATACACATGTGAAGGATGAAAGCACTTGTACCATCTGTTCAAAAGTTATGACCAAGGTTAAAGTGTAAATATATTTTGTAAAAGTGGGTCAAAATCCAAGGTCAAGAGGTCAAATTTGGTGCCCAAAGAAAGGTCTTGCAGACCTGTTTACCCTTATGATTTTGTCGTATTTTTGACGGATCTTTAGTCCAAAATATGTCTCACATTTTGCTATTATGAAAATACGGAAATCAGAAATACATTTGTTTGGAATTGAGCAGTTAGTTTTCGGTATGATCCGTCTCAGTTTCACGCGAGTTTTAAATCACTAAAAAAAGATAAAATGATGAAGACCATGTCATTAAACCATGTTTAAGTAATCAGAAAAGCAGTTGTTCTCCATTAATGTATGTAAAATTGATGGAAAATAAAATCTTACTGGCAAATGATAAATCTCACGGACAAATCTAATAAAAAATACTGAGAGACAACGCTATGGGTAAACAGGTCTGGTCTTGCCACAAGGAATAAACCAGTGAAATATTAAAGCCATAGCCCCACCCAGTCAAAAGTTATAGTCAAGGTTAATTTTTTGCATACAAACAGATAAATAGAGAGATGGATGGATAGGGTAAAAATTATATACCCCAGACTTCTCCAATGGGGGGCATAAAAAACAAAGACCCATTAAATAATTGAAGAATATCTGAATTAAAGGATATGTCTGAAATTAAAAGTTTTTTTTTTTACTTTTTGAAAATCATACAAACTTTTAATCCAAAATATTTATTGATTTAAGTTCTGTATAATTATATACTTAATTTTTTTCAGATTCTATGTACAGTGTCCTGATTGTCATCTGATTATGTGACCGACCCCCTATGATGGACCCCCGCTACAGTGCCCAGGAAATCCTCCTCTGTGACCTGTGTCAGAGCGCCGTGGTACAGAGTCATTGTGAACTCTGTCATCTGAATCTCTGTATTGTCTGTGTTGGAATACACCTCTCCGATTCAGCTAAACGACACAATGTTGTACCGTACAAACACAGAACTATTGCTCCTAGTCAGCCTAAATGTCCAAACCATACCCAGAAATATTGTGAACTCTACTGTGACAAATGTGACATTCCTGTCTGTGCTGTCTGCATCTCCTCTGGGAAACATCATGGGCATAAAATCACAGATGTTCTACAGAAACTCAGCTCCAAAAAAGAAGATTTAAAGAAGGATTTGAATGAGCTAGAAGAAAGAATATACCCTACTTATGAAGAAAGGGCATCTGATATAAAGTTAAGAAAAGCTAACCTGGTAAAACATTACGAGAAGCTAACAATGGCAGTCTCCAAACAGGGAGAAGACTTGCACCGTGATATTAACATCATTGTGAATGAACGGAAGTCAGAAATTGAGGAGATGAAAACCAAACACCTGGCTGCTCTAAGTAAACAGGAAAATGAAATGAAACAGATAATTTCTGATGTCAAACAGAGTATTGTTGATTTGAAGAAAACGCTGGACTCCAATGATGTCTCCCGAACCTCCGTGTACAAATCCAGGAATGCTGAATTTAGAAATTTACCACCTAGTGTCAATGTTGTGTTACCAAGTTTCTCTTCTCAACCAGTCAACACAAAACAGCTCCATCAAATGTTTGGTTCTCTGTCAGTATTGTCCATCACGACAGCTGCAGAGGGCAAAACACTGGAGGCACCAGAAGCACCAGTCAGACCACTGCTTGAAGAACCTGAGCTCATCACCACCATAAATGTGAAGTATCGACAACTGTACAGCGTAGCTTGTCTCAGTAACGAAGAAATCTGGACATGTGGAGAAGATAGTAACATGAAACTCTACAACCTCCAGGGCAAGCTACTGATGTCAGTGGAAACCATGTCAGGGAACTATCCAAGAGATATAGCTGTGACAAAGACAGGAGATCTAGTGTATACCGACCGCGACACAAGAACTGTCAACATACTGAAGAATAACTGGATACAGGAAGTGATCCGACTGCGTGGGTGGAAACCCTACAGACTCTGCTGTAGCTCCTCTGGTGGCCTACTTGTTACCATGCTCAGTGATTTTGGAGGACATTCAAAAGTTGTGCGATACTCCGGATCCACTGAGATACAAACCATTCAGTATGATAGTAAAGGCCAACGTCTTTATTCTACAGGGTGCCTCAGTAAATACATCAGTGAGAACCGAAACATGGACATCTGTGTTGCAGACAATACAGCCCATGCAGTAGTGGTGGTTAATAAGGCAGGGAAACTCAGGTTTAGGTACACTGGGCGCCATTCCTCAACTAACAGGAAAATATTTGATCCTTGTGACATCACAACAGACAACCAGGGTCAAATACTGACCTCAGACTTCGACAACCACTGTATTCACGTCATAGATCAGGACGGACAGTTCATCCGGTACATTTATACATGTAATCTACTCTTCCCTTGGGGTTTATGTGTAGACACCAGAGACAATCTTTTTGTGACCGAGTTCTCCAGTGGTAAAGTGAAGAAAATAAAATACATGTAACTTGTTTGATGCGTCTGTGAATGAGATCTATTTCAGACTCCAGAGACTAAGATAAGGTGTATACTTCAAGTAAGCCTCATGTTGTACATTACAGATGGCATCTTTGTAGTTGTGCAGGACATAGATGAAACTAAAACTCACACAGAGAACATGGAGAATGCTCTATTAATGAATAAAAAACTTTTTTAATATAGCAGAAACGAGACATCTTACATGTACATTTGTAAACAATATTTTTTGTTAACTTGAAATTTCAAGATGTATGAAATATATTAAACAAATATTATAATACATCTGGTAATAATAACAATTTTGTTTGTTTGTTTTTAAGTTCTGCTAAGGGAAATTTTTTGTTTGGAGAAATAGTTTTATCAGTGGCTCCGCCAGAGAAGGTGGGTGAATAAGGTGCTCAGAATCCCTTCAGCAGTATTTTTAAGGTCGAGTCCAAAGGAAGGACTTGTATCTGATTCAGTGAATAATCAATATACCTGTGAAATATGAAAGCCCAATAACAGCTGTTCAAAAGTTATAGCCAAGGTTAAATTTTTAGATGGGACAAACTCAAGGTCAAGATGAAAGGAACAAAATCAATGATGCCAAGTCTTGTTTAAAGGCATTTCCTTAGTCTTATTGTCAATACATTGTAACAATGACCTTGTCAGCAAACACTTTTTTCATACTGATTATTAGGCCATTATTTGCACACAGAGTTTTCCATGGATTAAAATTTTTCCGTTTCTTTCCCGAACATGACAAGGATCACACGGCGGGTGTGACCAGTTGGCAAGGGATGCTTACTCCTCCATGGCACCTGATCCCACCTCTGATGTTTGGAGGTCCCTGTTTGCTGCTATTTTGTAATGTTTAATGGACTTTTGAGCTGGAATACTCTTCGTTATCTCCACATATATATTTCATTCGTGCAATTTGAACTTAAAAGTTACCATTGCTAGTCCTTCATTTGGGTATGTTTTAAATGGACTTATCGAAATACATGAAAATTAATGAAACATGTTAGGAGCTGTTGCTTCTCTTTGCCATAAAATGATAACTCTTTCTCTTATTCTATATTTTTATTACTGGTCTTATTTTTCGGCTATAACAAGTGCACCTATGCTTCGTCTTTCATCAAGCAAGTTTATCAAATCTATTTTGTTAAAACGTTTAATTGTTTTTTTGGGAGACTGTTGGAACATTTAACGCATATTTTTTTGCGCCTGGATTGATAGATCGGAGGCGCATATTATTTTTGTTCTGTCTGTCCGTCTGTCTGTCTGTCAACTTTAACCTTCGCCATTGTTTTGAACCATGAGAGATAGAGACTTCTTATTTGGTGTGCCTACTCCACTAATTTTAAAAGCTCTTTCAAATGGCACCCATGTCAATGATCTTGTGACCTTGACTGTGACCTGTATGCTAAAAATAGTTTTCTTCAAACTTCGTTTCCGCCGGGCGCATAGTGTCTAACAACAAATCTTGTTTCTAAGGCATTTGTTGGAAAAAAGGGCACCCAGGCGCGGATCCAGGAATTTTTTACCACATTAAAAAAAAATCCAACTGAGCTCAAAAATTTGTTGACAATCAAAAAAAATTTCACTTACCCAAAAGTGAAATCCAGAAATTTGTTGACAAGCAAAAAAAACTTGCCCAAACGTGTAAATCCTATTTCATGGTGGGGGGGGGGGGGGTTGGTTGACAGAAATTTGCTGACAAGTTTTGACTTCTAATGCTTTATACATATTACTTTTCATACGAACTTAAAACAGGTCCCCTTCTCAAGGGGGGTCTCCGTTTTTTTTTTTTTGGGGGGGGGGTCCAAGGTCACTTTTTACTTGGTTTAGAATATCAGTTTAATATCTCTGCAAATTCCAGTGGGGGGTCCGGATCCCCTCGACCCCCCCCCTCTAGATCCGCGCATGGACACCTATCTGATAGAAGTTTATTAATATTTTTTTTCTTTGTCAGCATTCTATTTTATGCTGAATTATGAAATGGTTTATAGTGTCTTAATCTATTTCAGTGTAAATCTAGCATTTTCAGATATCTTGTTGCAGATAGCATCGATATTATTTGGTGTCCCTACAAATTTCAATCAACCAGATTGACTGTTATATTTTAATTCCTTTTTTTTTTTTTTTTTTGAATTAATGAATCCATCTGAAAACTATACAGCTTCAATTTTTTTTTTCATATAAATTCTCAACTGAACACGGATACATTAAATAACTGTACAAATTCCAGGAGGGTGGTCCCTCCTTTAGATCTGTGCACATAAAGCATAACGTATATTAATTTATAAAAACAAAGAAAAACAAAACATTTAATTTCTGTATTTTGTTGCAGGCAAAAAATTTGGTACTTCTTTGGACGCGGGAAAGGAGGGGGGGGGGGTCACATACAACAAAAGAACAAACTTTTTTAAATTAAGAATGATCTTGAGTAACATTTGTTGGTATGTGTATTTATACTAGAAATATTACTGAAAGTTATAATAACATATAACTTTTGCCTAGTGTAAAAAATATCTAGTAACATCTTTCGGACTTTCTTTTTACCTTATGAAAAGTACTTACTATATATATAAAACGTTTGGGAATTTTTATATGTCTTATGTAAATCGTTTAAATGGCTAATGTTAGACCTGTAAAAACATTCTTGATGATGGTGGCCGCGTACCCACTACATTTCCAACATATAATATATACAGTAGTGCTCTCTAAATAAAGATGCCTGTAACTCTTTATGATTTTTTATTAGTATATTTTTAAAATTGCAATAAATATAAACTAAGATCCTACTATAAATTTGCCCCCCCCCCTCCCCCCCATTTTTCTGACGTATAAGCTTTTAATTCTCCCTCCCCCAGCAGAAATCTATTGCATTATTTGCAAGGGAATGTGAGAATTAGATATGTTGTGTTTAAAAGGGGAATACTCTCTCATCCTATTTATTCCTTCCTTGCCTCCACTGTTTAAAAATTTCTGAATCCGCCAATCTGTGTCATTATCGTAATTTATCATAAAGGCAATATCATTTATGAGCAGTGGCAGTTGGCAGTAAGCAATGATCAATTTTGGCAGTAAGCAGTTGGCTGCCGTATATGGAATTCGATATACTTGTCAAGGAATTTTTCGTAGTTGACAGTGCCCCAACTGAAAATATATGGCTGTGTCCCCCCAAAATGAAACTTGATTGCTTCCTGCTTCCTAGTTAAAGGTTTTTGTGCTTGTTTGAGGTATCACTGGGTTCAGGAAAGGTCAACAGACTGGCACGACAGAATTGTGTTGTACACAGATTTGACGATTCTCAATGGATTGAGAACTTTCGATTGTGAAGACGCCATTCCAAATACTACTAAACTCACAAGGAAAAAGGTGTTCGCCGGCCACTGGGGGTCCAAAAGCAAGTGCATAGGCGTCGGAATTTAACCGGGGGAAGGGGGCTAGGGGGGGTTATAAGTTAATTTAATTACACCTATGCAATTGCAAAAGTAAATTTGCAGCTGGTCTGAGTAGATGCAAATATACATCCTGTTGAATATTTACTCATATTATATAATTCATTTGAAATCAATATCATGAACACAGCAAACTCTTTCGAAAGTTTCATGAAAAAAAATTATATGTTGAAAATCAAGTGTAATCATAATCCATTAATTTCATCAGGATATTTTTTTTTATTGAAAACTTGCTTAATTTTTTTTTTTAAAGACCCAACCTTTTTACCGTAGTGTCGGTTATCTGAGGAGGACAAGCAATTACAAATAGAGAATAATACATACCCTTTTCCATATCACATCCTGTATCAGCCCGAGAAACCAATATCAGCCAGAGGGCCGAAGGCCCGAGGGCTGAATACAGAATGTGATATGGAAAAGGGTATGTATTAATATGTTTATTACATACTTAGTAATAAAATACAGCATACATTAAGTTGAGAAGAAAATAAGTAAATAACAAGTTTATCTTTTAAAATTAAAAAAGATAGGTGAGCTAGCGCCGTAGCAATTTTTAAACACAGAAAGGAAGGTCCGTGATCAAGTGATTTATTTTGCTGAATTTTTTAATGTTTATTGAGGCTGGGGTGTGATAAAGTTATAATTTCTTTATGAAGTGTATTTTATAGATTCATAGGTAAAGAAACGATGGGGGGGGGGGGGGCAGTGAAATTTTTGTGTTGACCCATTGGAGTTTCAAGAGAGTTCCGAGTATGAAGATGTGAAGTAGCTTGGCCCTTTGGGTCATCTTTGTCAAGAATTGTTAGGTTAAAAGCCATGCACAGAATAAAAAAAAAATAAATAATGGATTTGTTCGTAATCTTTAGTGTAAATCCTTGTTTATGGAATTTTTTGCTTGGCCTACATTGCCGTGATTGCGAGCAAATATATTTTTACTGTGGTGAGGTCTTGAAAATAGAGTCTATCTTGTGCTTAGACATAAGAAAAACTTCCCTTGTCTTCGTTTAGAATAATCAGATGATGACTCGGGCTTTTCCGTCAGAAAAAGGGAAAAATTAAAGTATTACAATTATGTAGTTATCTTTAAAGTGTAAGCTACACAATAAAAAAACAAAGTTATTTAATGATACAACGAAATTGTTATCGTACGGTCTATCTATAGTAGTTTTCCCAGAATGCACGACCGTAAAGCCGAGCATGCGTATTCCAAGAATTTGGACTAACGTATAGTTGCTAGCGCTCGAGAGCGCTAGCAATTATGCATAGACTTCTTACATACATATATATGGTCTATCGCTCATACGATTTGGGTTTGTTTCTACTTCTATTTCAATGCACTTGATCCGTAAATTGAAAATGATCTATTACATGTATTTGTAAATTAAGATAACCTTATTTTCAAAAAGTTAAAATTAAGAGAATATGAACCTACCAAAAATTGTGTATGATCACAAGTACTGTTTTTGTGGTTTAATTTACTGAGGGTGTGATTTTGACGTCACAATAGCCGTATCAGCCCTGCAAGGCTGATATGGATTTGCGGGGCTGATATAGGTTATCAGTTCTGCAAATCCATATCAGCCCTCCAGGGCTGATACGGCTATTGTGACGTCAGCCATATCGCATATGCAAAAAACCTGTATTTATTACTAAGTGTGTAATAAATGTACATAATTGAATGACAACGATGTGCGTATTACCTGAAATTAATGATGCGCGCAATATGTTAATTAAATTTGGCGCGTGCACTTTCGCTTTGCATTTCGGAAATCCGGTAAGATTGACACGTATGCTTGTTAGATCTCTGTCGTTGCATTGATAATTTTTTCAGCAATTTTGGTTTTAGTATAATACAGAAAAACTTGATAATGTAATTTCTTGATGAAATTAAAAATGAAATGTAAGAGTTAGGAGTTTTATGTGTGAAGAAGGTGGGGGGGGGGGGGGGGGGGGGGGGGGGGGGGGGGGGGGGGGGGGGGGGGGGGGGGGGGGGGGGGTGATTATGAGTAATCCAATGCAGACTCTCGCCATATACTAGTAGTTCAGTGGCGGATCCAGAAATCTTGAAAAGGGTACCCGACCTTTTGGGGTCGTGGTAGGGGCCCATATCCACACCAATTAAATAGATTAAAATCTTATGTTGAACGCAAAAGAGGGGCTGACCCCTCTAAGAACTAATATAAAGTAATAGCGGTATAACTTAGCGTTTTATTTGTCTTCTATTTAATTATCAAATCTTTTTTTCAGACAGTTGAGGCCATGTATAACAATACATGTGTATCCTCAGGGGTGACTTCCACAGAGATGATATATAAAGACATGAAATGGTCAGATTTGTTCATGGTGAGCTACTAGAACTGCCCCTTCCATTGTTATATTTAGCCATTTAAATATTCATTAAGTATATACATGTATTATTTTTATGATGCTAGATAAGGTTAAGTGATAGGACTATCCACACTGTTGTATGTGTTTTTTACAGGAAAACTTCTGGGAGGTACTCCTGACTTACAGGATTGAGTTCTTGGTCTGCACCACCTCTTGTCTGTCTGTGGTAGCGGTTTTTGTACTATGGACACAGACTGACAAGATTGGAGTCCCAGCCACTAGGTGTCGCCCTGATCACAGAATCAAACAGCCAGAAGATGTGACATGGAACTCAGCACCAACAGTGTCCTCCTACCTCCCTAACCCACCCCCAAAAAACAGAAGGTCTCGACATCACAGATATAAAAGACGAAATAAATCAGGTATTAAATGCAAAACTTTTCCATCCCATTATAAAATTGTATGCCTAATTGCAATATCTATTCTTTTTAATGCAAGGTGAATTTGAGAACCAGCAAACTGAGCTTCAATCAATTTTTTTTTTGCACAAAATTGTGTACAAATATATTTGAATTTGATTATATTTCTATCAAAAATCATATTTCGTTCTTAAAAATTTTATTTAAAGATATTTTAGATGAAATACTTTTATACATTATTACATGTATATTTTGTATTCTCTTCTTTATTTTTGGGTTCTCTTTTGCAGTAGAAATTTTATCTCCTACTATCAATACCCCCTTGCAAAATATACACAGGAATCAACGAAATCAGAATACCTCTAAAGAAACACATTATACTGACTATAAAAGGCATATGAATTGTCAGGAGACTATAGATCTGGCCGCTATGAAGGACCAACCACACATACAGGCTGTCAGACAAAATTACCCAGAGGTTAGCTGGGTCAACATAACAACTGCCTTGGTGTATTTACACAAGTTCAGTAAGTTCTTTAACAGTCAAATAGTCCATAAAATGTTAAATGTATTTTTTGAGCAGTCTTTTTATTTTTGGGTCCCATCTCTTTTCACTCAGGTGCTCTGGCTCATAAATCAAAAATTATTATGAAGGCCCTGGATCATATAAAGGATCTGATGGAGAGACCTGGCAGTAATATGGAGCGGTATCTTGGTCACAACATCCCTGTGGATTATACAGAGACGGAGCTCTGGGAGATTGTCTCATTCCACCATGGAGACATGAAGGAAGAAGAATTTCTCTGGGTCTACCAGGAGTTCAGGAGGGAAAATGGTAATGTATAACATTGTCATATAAAAGGAACTGAAAAATTATATTACAACATCATAGCAATAGTGTTTTTCGGGTTTTAGTAAATTTTCAAATTTCTTAGAAAACAGAAAAAACATTACTGTATTTTCAGGTTTTCCTCCAACCGTGACTGAATTTTGTCTGCTTTATGAGAAGAGTATCCAAACAGGTACAAATCAGTGTTTATATTTGGATGGGGGTTATTGGAATTAAACCTTGAATCGGATATCCATATATAAAATGATATATTTTTTCTATTTAAGCCAAAATGAAGAAAATATATACTAAACTACGAAAAAAGTATGAAAATACCCAAGAATGCATTGGAAACTTGAGAAAAGAATTGGAGAAGAAACAGCAGGAAAATGTAGATCTGAAATTAAAATTGTCACAACTCGAACTTTTAAAGACACGATCCTTGTGCAAGATTTGTTTGCAGAATGAAATCTCTGTATTGTTCTTACCATGTGGCCATGCTGTTTCTTGTAGGGCATGTTTTAATGATGTCACAGCCAGACTTAAGAGAAAACAAATGTGCCCTATATGCACTAGTCAGGTTAAAACCACAAAATACCTCTACTTAGCTTAAAATACCTCAATGGTAGATGTTTTATTAATGGGTATTTTTGCAAAGCTAGCATTTTAAAATTGTCATTTTGACTATGAAATTTTATATTCAGCATTAATTTTGTGAAATGAACTTAGAGGTTGTGTCTATTACTTTTCTCGTTTATTGAGAAAGTTCACTATGGAAGCATCATTTTCTTTTATTTCCCACCGTGTTTGTTCTTTTAGAGACATTGTTTAAGGGTTTTTTGTGTCAATGTGCTTGTTTTTGATCATCTTGAATTAATTTTTAAAGAGTTATGAATTAATTGTCTAATATTTATAAGTCTACTGTCTCATGTGTCTAGATCTTTGTTATTTATATAAATCATAACTGAATAGTAATGGATATACTAGTATATGCCAAAACAACTTGGGTATCAATGATATTTTTTTGTTTATTTTATAATAAAATTATAAAAATAGGTATATTTTGATGTGGATGATCACTACATTTATATTATTCAGCCTGATAATCATATGATTTTAGGATAACTTAAAAAGTCTAAAAAAGAAAAAAAAATAAAATAAAATAAAAGCTTAAAATTGAAATCTTCTCATGCAACAATTTTCATTTTATGCATCTCAGTGCGATTCAAGATTCTTTAAAGTCTTAGAGACAAGTTTTCAAAAAAAAAAATCATTTGTACCCATGAAGAAGAAAAATGCATGCTTTAATCTAGCCTTAGACCCTTAGAAGACCAGCCTCCCCCTTTTTTATCTCAGTTAAGTCAATTAATGGTAATGGAGTAGTGTATGGAAAAAATAAAGTTAAGACAGGACACCCCCTACCTGGAAGTAAGATATTTGGGTTTGGATAATGTGTCTTTTTTTTTTTCTCTGGGTGTCCCTCTCCAAAACGATGCTCTATGTCACTAGTGCTGTCCATGGTTTCTATCGCTGCATTACGGTGCCAAGAATTTGGCTCAAATTGGAGGTGGTTTTTGTGTTGTATCCATCTCTAACTCAATTTTTTATATATTTTTAATGCTACATGTAAAATGTGGCTGTGTTCAACGTACGTCAAGAAAGTTTGGGAAGGAGCAATGAACATTTTAAAACTACACTAAAAGAGACTATTTAACCTCCCCCTTACCCCCCCCCCCCCATGTATTACGGACCTGAGAAAAAATCTTTTCAATATCTATCCATCTATCATGTTCACCTGTCAAATGCAAATGAATTCCATCAGGGTATGCATAGATTTATTAATGCAGGTTGATTGATTGTATGTTGTTGATCGTCTCTCTCGAGAATTTTTCACTCATATGGAGACGCCACCACTTGCAGGTGGAAAACTGCAAATTTTGTCCATTACTCGGTAATCAAAGGCATTGAGCAGTGAGGGATCTTTTTCGTGCTAGCATCTACTGCGACACGGGACTCGGTTTATACGGTCTCATCCGAGGACTGCATGGTCTCCACGTCCCACAGTGGGATTCGAACCCGCGACGTAAGGATCAACTCCATACTTGTTTTTTTTTCTCGGAGTGTACTATTCTAACTGATTTGGCCATTTTCTCTACACAAGCCTATCTGCAGTCGCTCAAACCCTTGCGCCACGCGGACGAAAGGTTAATTGCAAAAAATGTTCGTTGAATCATATTAGACGATAACTCAAGCATCGTTTCAATCCACGGTTCGGAGTCCGAAAATAGCTCCCCCTACCCAGAATGGGAGAGGATCGTACAATTGGACAGTGGTTTGCGCCTAAGCTGCAGTTTTCATATTTTTAGCTCATCTGAGCTTTTCTGTTCACCCGTTGTCCGTCCGTCCATCTGTCTGTAAAATTTTCACATTTTCAACTTCTTGTATAAAACCACTGGACCAATTTTAACCAAAACTGGTATAAAGCATTCCTCGGTGAAGGGGATTTCATATCATTAAAATGCAGGCCAAGCCTCTTTTCAAGGGGAGATAATCAAGAAAAGACAAAAATGGGATAGGTTCATTTTAAAAAAAATATTTAAGAACCACTTGGCCAGAAAATTTGAAACTTTTAAGGAAGCACCCTGGGGTAGTGTATATTCTAAATTATACAAATCATGACATCCGGGGGTAGGGTGAGGTCAAAATGGGGAATCCATGTTTTACATTGAAATATATATATAGGTAAAATCTTCTCAAGAACAACTGGGTCAGAAAAGCTTAAGCTTATGTGGAAGCATCTTGGGGTAGTGCAGATTCTAAATTATTAGGATGGGGAATCCAAGTTTTATATTGAAAGATATAGGAAAAGATCTTTAAAAACATATCGGGAAACACTGGTCCAGAAAAGCTAAAACATACCGGTATGTGAGAGCATCCTGAGGTAGTGTTGATTTTAAATTGTTTATTTCATGACCCACGGGGAAGGGTCGGGTCACAACAGATATTACAAGGAGGAAATCTGTATGGTGAAGAACAGGATTATGGCCAAAGGGCCAAATTAGTTTATTTTCATCACATAATTTTATTCATATATACATGATTTTCCTGTCCAATTTAAGATAGATTAGTGGAGTCCTATGTCATTTTTTTATCGTAATTTTGTACAAAGAAAGTTCATTATTCTTAAATTCCAAAGGAAGGGGGTTTGGGCTCCCGAGACATTTTCTATAGTCTCATATATTTCAATGAATAAGATAAACAGTCGCGATATATACTTTTCTCTGTTGCATTTTGTGCAAATTTTGGTTGAAAATGTTGCTTCATTATTGCTACATAACTATACTATCACTCCGATGGAAGGGGGTGGGGGGGCGGTCGTCTTTACCTCTTTTCTTTGCTTCGCGAGTAGTGCAAGTGTTTAAAATTCTTTCAAACCGTTTATATGTCAAAAATGTTGGAATAAGTTTAAATATTCCTCCCACGCTGTTCTTGTACCTGGCCACTATTTACATCATTTTACATACAGGTAACCTGCTGGATCGATGATAAAGAATGCTAACATTAGTATGAAAATATTTGACCACCTCCCCCTTAGACATGTTAGAGGAGAGATCATTAATAATAAATGTACGCACGGCCTACACGTGGAGCATCAATGAATTTCTTTTATGATTCACTTATTATCACGTGACTTTTTACCTGTCAACTCAGATATTTCTGACTGGCAATAGAAGGGAGGGTCATTCCATCACTTGTTAAAACCGGCAAAGGAATCCAACAAGGAAAGGCAGCGGAAATATATATATCATGACGGTAGATATTATTTATTTATTTATGTATTGATTTTAAAATTATTTTACTTTGTTAAAATATCATTTTCATGGGCTGTGGACAAATATTCATGACCAGATATATATAAAGTTTGTTTACATTTGTCACCGCCCTTGGCTGGTGTTTTGTTGGTATGTGTATCTGTTTGTTTAATCCATAAGTAAATCCCTACACATGACTGATTTCTTTGAGTGTACTGTTCAGAAAAACTTGGAAAGCAAGCATTTATTGAATTACATACATGTACAATTTAAAGTTGCATTTTCTCTGGATTTTAATCATATAGATCTACTGTATTAAAGCTTGTAATTATCCTTTTTTTTGTTTTTTTTTTTTTAGTTTTTTTTTCTTTTATGTTACGATGCTTTATTACATCAATATTATCAGCATCACTTTCAAATTTGATTCAAATATGTCAATTCATTAATACCAAACGAGGGTTTGGTTACATTAGGTGGGGGTTTGCGTGGGCATACTAAATATGTATTAAATTCATGATGATATATAGACTGGAAAGATAAAATATCAAATTAGGTTGATTTAACGCTCCAGTAGCATAATCTTTTACCTTTTAACATACTAAAAACATTAGGCATAACTTTCAGTGGTATGTCAAACATGTTATACTCTGACACAACAAGACGAAAACACAGTCACGGTGATTTAGGCAGTGAATCACACAAAAATCCTCTTCTCCTGTGGAATTAGAGTATACAGCTTGACACACGTGCATGCATTTCTGTCCATAGATATTAATTAAAATTTGATGTTTAATAATTTTAAAAATGTTTAGTACATGCAGAGTGGTACATACTGTCCTTTCTAAATCATTTCATTTTATCAAAAAGAAAAAACGATAGATTTTCATTTGATAAATGTATAATATAACTCAATGAGAAGCGATATATGTATTGCATCCTAACCAGTACTCTGATGTTTAACTTCCATAGTCTGAAATCTGTACTTTGAGTAGTAGTTTTGACTTGGAAACCAAAGAAAGATTCAGACCTCTCCAATTTCCTAAGCACCCCCCCCCCCCACTTCACGAACAAGAAAATGTACATGTATCATATAGGTTTACGACCAGTTTCATTGTGAAATGCATTGATATTGATATAAATCAAGTTTCAGTTTCTGACTAAGTCATGACAGAAATACATGTATAGATAATAATTGAGAGGTACATGTTTATTGACACTCATTTCCCATCAAATTGTCATTTTAGGGAACAATTTATCCAGCAGAGGAGTTTGATGCCGAGGCAGCGGCCGCGGGGATGCGAGAGGCCATGACAGGTTTCGGTGAGTCTGACCATGAAACATGCAAGGTGCCCCTCCGGCAACATTCCTTTACTACTATCTGTATAGTTACATTTTACTTATCTGTAGCCCACGGGCCAGTGTACCTCATACATACTTCGTCTTTCATTCTTTTCAGACGCCAAAACATCTGAAAAGATGCATTTTTTCGTGCAAAAAAAATATTGGTGAAATATGACCCTCCAGCTCTGCTTTGCACAATATAAAAATTACACGTAAACATCCTTATATTTAATATGCTCTTTTGCTTTTAACCACAGGTACGAGTGAAGAGGCTATTATTTCAATACTAGTGAATCATTCATGCGAACAGAGGAAAGAAATCGCCACGGCATTCAAAACTGCATATGGAAAGGTATTTGTATTGAAATGCGCGAAGACATTATGGCAACATTTCAGCTTATGAAAAGGTCTTGAGATACGATGTAACTTTGCTAATAAAGAATGAATTTGGCACAAAGCTAAACATTTTACTATAACTTTTTCTTGAAAATCAAAAGTTACAGTTCATCGTAAAGCAGTGTTTTTGAGTCCAGCTACATCCTAATATTAATTGCAATCAATTTCTTTTGTAAATGTAAGGACTTGATTGAAGACCTTAAGGATGAACTGGGTGGTAACTTTGAGGACGTCTGTGTCATGATGCTCGCCTCACCCAGGGAGACTGACGCTCGTGAACTGAACAAAGCAATTACGGTGGGTACATTTAACACTCCCTGGTCAGGGGAAGAAAGGAGATTCATACTTCAATGTACCGACGTTAAAAGACCTTCACAAAGTGAAATATGTTAAAATTTTTACGGTCCTGTCCGGATAAAAATGCATTAGGCCCACTCCAAGTAGGATTATCACCTTACGGGATTGCATTACCAACTTACAGGCTAAAGTTGTAACCTTAATCACCTTACAAACAAGCTCTTTCACCTTACAGACTATAGCCCGTAAGCGTAATTATATTACTTTACATGCTAGCGTTATTACTCACAGGCTAAATTATCACCTTACATGCTAGCTATATCACCCATACAATAATCAGATAAACCAGTGGCATCTCAAGTATTATTTCAGCACGCCTTTACCAGTATGTAAATTTATAAACATGTGTGTACTATGTTTTAAATACTAGTAATAATCGTTAAGTTAAAATATTTTACCCGTTTTTACCTTTGATGTGTATTGATATAGTTGTAATTTCCTCTTTAGGGAGCCGGTACAGATGAAACCGTCCTAGTAGAAATCATGACGTCCAGAACAAACGAAGAGTTGGCAGAAATCAAAGAAATATACGAAAAGGGTACATATTAATGTAGTATAAAATTCCGTATTTGTTCTACGATTTCTGAGTTTTTCCATAGACCTAAAACGAATTCGTTTTAGGTCTATGGTTTTTAATATTTTTGCATCAATTAGGACATGTAGCCTGATATCCTATTGTAAAAAAGGAATCACTATTCGAACACTCTCAGTTTTTTCTTGGATCACATGACCTTATCTTTTTGATTAGAGTTTGAGACCACGTTAGAAGAGGACCTCCAAAGCGACACCAGTGGTTACTTTGGCCGCCTAATGGTGGCGCTGTGTGCTAATGGGAGAGAACCTAGCGAGGGCTGGGATATGGCGGAAGCCGAGGAGTCAGCTCAGAAATTATACGAGGTATATCACCATTAAAAAAATTGAAAATGCGTAAGCGTCTTAACGATCATTTTTGTGACAAGTAGTATATCCTTGCTGTGACTCACTAAATAATTGAAATATGAATTTTCAGGCAGGAGCCGGATGTCTTGGTACTGAGGAAGCCGAAATTAACGCTATTTTATGTATAAAGAGTTATGATCAACTTAGAGCCATATTTTATAAATACGAGGAATTAAAGGGCAACCCTCTGGAAGATGATATTGCCAGTGAAACAAGTGGGACACTGAAAGATGGATTTCTTGCCATAGGTAAACAACGATTTTCAAAAAGGTTTTATTTAGTTCAATGAGAAGGCTGAAATCTTTCATTGTTTGATATAATGTGTGTAAAATGGAGATTTGGTTATTGAATTTCTCACAGGCTTTTGTTTCGTGTTTGCTTTCATGACATACCCTCCTTTCCGATAAGAGATAGGAGGGTAGCCCTGTGAACAGATCAAGTGCCCGTGGAATGCACTTTTCTCTTTCATTTGCAGTTGAAGTAGCTAAGTACAAACCCAGATTTTTTGCAAGGAGATTACATGACGCCATGGCAGGGCTAGGAACCAGCGATGATGACCTCATCCGAATCATCGTCACCAGGAGCGAGGCAAGTCACGTGATCTGAAGTCAACTATAATAGTGGTGAGGTGGACGTACCTCCCTATAAATAAAATCAGTATAGTTGACATGTTTTAAAAGCAGTACTTGAAATATGCACACTTTCTGTATTTCAGGATGACCTTGAGGAAATTAAGGAGGAGTATCAGAAACTCTATGAGAAACCTCTGGCGGAGGATGTCGCTGATGAATGTTCCGGAGATTACAAACGCATGCTTTTAGCTATCATCAAGTAACAGAATGCCAGAAGTTTTTGTCCATTGACTGCAATTTAAGCACACTTTTCTGTGATACACATGAATAAAATGTTTGTTTTGAGACTTTTACAGCGCCTTTCCATGGCAAAGATTTCCATTGTTTATCAACGCGTTTCAAAAATGTTTACCATTTATCAGTATAGTGAGTATTTCTGTTGCCGACTGTCCTCTCCTCTACAATAAAGCCAGTTTACAGATTGTGACACGCTTCAAATGTTAGGTGTTAAATAAAATAATGTTACTTTTTGGTTTGCATTTTGTCTTCTTTTTTCATATAAAAAAACAATTTCATACTTCTATTTATTTGGGGAGGGAATATTCCTATGATTAATTTACAAGTACGTGATGTGGAAAATTTAGAGATATTTTAAAGTGCGTAATATAGAAAATCAGTACAATTCTCAATTAAGCTTGGACTTTCGGTAAGGCGTGGCACTCTCGACGTTAGAGCTTCTGAAATTAACACAGCTTTCATTCACTGTTGAAATATACATAGCAGCATAGGATAGAAATTCGGCCGAATGTCAACTAGTGCAGCAAACAGGCAATTACAAGTTCGCGCATGAAACAGAGGCGGGGCTTAAGTCGTCTCATCGTTGTCGACAAAAACTTGAAGTTCCTGATGTTATTAATTTCTTAACCAATGAGAATCTATTCGCGATTTGACAGATGCTAATTACGTAGCGCCGAGAATGCCATGCCTCACTGAAAGTCCAAGCTGAACTGAAAACTGTCCTAAGTACATATTTTGAGTATAACATAAAGCATGCATAAACTAATCATGATGACATTAAACGAGACTGCTGGCATTCCTGTTTCATGAACGTTTTTGTCAATAATTTACCTCTTTTTAGAAATAGTTCATAAGAGCATGCGGAGAGATATAAACACCATATGTAGAAGATGAAGGTATATTACTGCAAAAATAATATTACATATGTTTACAGGACATAGAAAGCGACATATACAGTTTACCAGATACAGCAAATATAGTTAAATCATGTCCAATGTCAAAGAATGGATGAATGGAGAGGTCAGGGATAACATATTGTTAAAACAGTAGATGTGGACAAGATTCCATCGATGAAGGAGTAATCATCTCCAATTGACCATCCACACCCGCACGAGCCTTTTGTTTTAATCGATCACATAGAATTTTCTAAAGATAAATCAGTAATCAAAAACTGTCGAACAATTCAAGATAGAAACTTTTGTCAATACTATACTAGCATATATTTGCAAAATGTTAACTTTATATGATATTGTCTAGACCAATGTAGTACCAACTTATTTGCTGGTAGCCTAGCTCGGTTTAGAAATAGATCGTACGCAGAATCACATTTTCCATAAACCCATTTATTAATCTGCGATTTTATTACATTCAAATATAAAACAAATCACACTCTATGATACAAAGTAAATGTAATAAAATATAATGTATAAACGTTGACAGTGGAGGTATCTAAATGCCGAATTGAAGGAGAAGGCAAGATTTCAAGATATTGAATTGAAGGCCAGCAAGTTCCCTCTTTTTATGCTAAAGTTTTTGAATAATCAATTTTGGTTTCAAATTATACCCGGTATAGGAATACCGAAACGTCGGACGAAAAAGATGCACATAAACGTATAATGCTCGTAAGAATTTCAGCAAACTGTCGGAATGCCTGGTGTCCTTGGAATACTAGATTTTTAATCAGAAATGCTCGACTGCATCTTATTAAATCACCTAAATGACCCAGATGAGTGAAATAACCTATAATTTATCTTTTTTGTTCTGTCGTTGTTCTTTTTTTATGCATTTGAACATTTAAATATCATTCTCTTCTCTGGACCGCTGTATCATATCAATCCTTTTTGGCATAAGCGTCTATGGGTAATAATGCACCCCCAAAAATCTTAATTTTATGGTCTCCCATGGGCCTGAGGGGTGGGTCTTTATCTATCGAAATGAATAAAACTTTTTAAATCGTATCTCCTGGACACCAAGAAGTCAAACTGTTAAGTGAGATAAATGTCCAAGGGTTAGGGAGTTCTGGCGTGAAAAGCATTTCATCTTTAACTGATTGGTTGTATGTCCTTTTACATCCCAGTCGAGAATTTTTCACTAATAATATGGAAAGTTCATCATATATATCAATGAAGGGGCTTAAATTGGACCTAGAGTATAAATTATATATGTACATGTAATGATCACGAGTGCCTTTATCAAAATTGTGATATTCGCTTGGCCCTAGGTCGTGGATTCTGGTGTTAGGGAGGGACTATGTTGTGTATAGTGAAAATATTCTTTTCTGTTCCTTGGTATTTAGCCAGCAAACAAGGGAACTTTTATGGTGAGCAAGGTTGTTATTCCGGATTCTGAAAACTTTTAGCCCCTAAATCAGGAGCTATGAGATTAAGGCATGGCCGGTGTATCGACGAAAAGTACCCCAGTAGAAGATTGGCCAGGGGGTCATTTTTCTACATAGAAAACGTAGAAAAATGGTTTTCTACCCCCTGGTCAATATTCTACCACAAGTAAGGTCATTTTTCGACTGTAGAAAATCATTCCAGACCAGTAATTCTACGACTCCACACACGTTGAAAATGACCCCCACAGAAATGTGACCCCCTACTTTTTTTACCCAATAAAACCTTATGACTGTGTCTCCTGATATTTTTTTTCAAATGTAAGGAGGGGGAATGTACTTTACTCCTTACCAAGAATAGCAAAAGCATGAATGATCATAATCTATGGAAGCATCCTTTTCAGGTAAAAAAAAAAAGATTTGTTATAACGCGAATCTTTCGGGGGTAAACGGTAGGGCCACAATGGCTGATCAATGTTTTACATAGAAATATATAGAATTTTTAAAAAAAAAATCTTCTTCTCAAGAATAGCAAAGCCATGATAAGTCATATTTATATGGAAGCAAATCCTCACTGTAGTGTAACTTAAAAATGACTGAATAGTGTATCATTTTATAAGCTTAACTGGCCATGTGATGCTGTTTGAATAGCAATTATCATGGAATCCATTTTACATGTAAACATTTAGAAAAAAATCTTTAAAAATCTTCTTATATCAAGAAATTTATATATCCATGATTATTCATATTCATATGGAAGCCATAAATAAAAACTACTGTAGGTATACAGTTTTTTTTTTCAAATAAATACGCAATAAATATACAGATTTTTCAAATGTAAAGGGCAATAAAGCCACAGGTAGTCAAAGAAATATGCAAGCATCCCTAGTTAGTGTAGATAAGTTTGTACAATTTGAATTAACTGTACCCTCTCCCCTTTAAGGATTGGTTGACCACTATTGGGTTTAAACTTTTCCAATAATAAACTGATTTCTGCTATCCAATTTTTACAAATGCGGTGGGACACAATTGACCTCATTTTGTCAATCTTCTGAGATCTTGATCTTTACAAAATAAAATTATTTCAAATTCTCTAGAGATTGCATAAAAACTGCACCAAAAATGTTAACCTGCTCCAAAAACATTAACCTAGTCATTCCTTTGCTGAAATTGCATATTCCATGCAAGTCTAATCAATATAAGACATAGAAGTACTTAATAAAAAGAAAACTGCTCCAAAAAACTTAAAATTGTACCTGGTGATAGTGCCGACGCCGAGGGTATCAAAATAGCCTTTTGTTATCATTGTAAAAATAAAGTTGATCACAAATTCAAAAGAAAGTTATTTTTAGGCAATGCACACAGAAAAAACAGCAAAAGTTTCGCGTTATAAAAAAGTGGGCATATTAATTCGCGAAAGTTACGACCTTGGTCATCATCAGGCGCGTAGCATCGTTTTAAAAGTAACGCGGGGGGCGAAAATTTCGAATATTTTTTTTTTTGTAACGGCATCAATCCTGTTAAATCTTGACAAGCAAAAAAAAAAAGGTTGCTCTTCCCCATGTTGTTAAAATCCCATTTGATTCGGGGGGGGGGGGGGGGGTTGAGACAGATTATTTATTTTCATGCCAGTCAAGGACAGATTATTTACTTTCAAGATAATCAAGGACAGATTATTTATTTCTTTTTTGTCTTACAGTACCGCAATCAATTGGTACCAAAAAGTGGTGATTCATAATTGAAAAAAAATCAAAGCAAGTTTTTGTCCTGTCTGTTTGTCTGAGAGAATTTTATATAATTTGTCTGTATTAATTTATGTATCAACTTTAACCTTCGCCATAACTTTTGAACCATTTGAGATAAGAATTGGGTCATATTAGGTGATTCATACACCACTAAAAAAGTTCTTTCAAATGACATCAAGGTCAATGACCTCATGACCTTGACTGTGACCTATATGCTAAAAATTTTCGAACTTTTGCAATAACTATTAAACCATGAAAGATATAGACTTCATATTTGGTATGCTTACTCCACTAATGAAGTTCTTTCAATTGACACCAAGGTCACTGACCTTGTGACGTTGACTGTGACCTATATGCTAAAACTATCTTTTTCAAAATTTGGCCATAACTTTTGGACCATGAAAGATAGAGACCTCATATTTGGTATGCATGCAATACTAATTAAGCTCTTTGGCAAATGACACCAAGGCAATAGGAAAAGATTTTCAAAGAATTCTGCATTTTGACATGTAATAAAAATAGTTTTTTTTTAACACCAGAACCTTGACCCCGGGCAAATTCACAAATTGGGACAAACACATCTTGTTTTTCATAACTAATACTACATCACTATACTGTGGTTTAATAACCAGGAGAAAAGGAAAAGATTTTCAAAGAATTTATGCATTTTCACTATATAATCAATAGAACACGGTCCTAACACCAAAACCCAGACCCAGGGGCCATAAAATTCACAACTTTGGAAGAGGCACTCTGAACTTTGTACTCAAGTTTATTTAATACCCAGGAGCAGAGAAGAAGATTTTCAAAGAAATAATGCATTTTCACTATATAATCTATATAGCCCCACTCAAGCACCAGAACCCCCAACCCAGGGGCCATGAAATTCACAATTTTTAATGGGACATTCTGATTACAATCATAACAGTTTGACTGCTTTATGTCCAGGAGTAAAGAAGAAGATTTTTAAAGAATTGCATTCACTTTATGGTTTTGGCCCCACCCCTAAAACCACAACCCCTGGCAGGGGCCATGAATTTCACAATTTTGTAAAAGACACTTTGGTCATAGCAACTCTGTACTCAGGGGGGGCAGTTTATTTTATAATGCCCCCCCCCAGAGGAGAAGATTTTCAAAGAAATAATGCATTTTCACTATAAAATCTATAAAGCCCCACCCTGGCACTAGAACCCCTAGCCCTGGGGCCATGAATTTCACATTTTGTTACAGGACTCAATACTGATTACAATCATCATCATGCCAACAATTTGACTGCTTGATGTCCAGAAGTAAAGAAGAAGATTTTTTAAGATTGCATTAATTTTAGTGGTTTTGGCCCCACCCCTCAGGCCCAAGGGGGACGGGGGCTTTGAAAACCAATTTTTGTTCCGGCCTGATACGCCTTTACCCATAGATGTATGCCAAAATTGGTTGAAATTGGCTCAATGGTTCCAGAGAAGAATCTGAAAATGTTCAAAAGTTTACGACCAATTGACGACGTATGACTACGGATGAAAACAGATAGCAATAGGTAACCTGAGTTTACTCAGGTGACCTAAAAACATTGCCAGTCAGATTGATGCAGTCGGCCATTGTGTTACGTGCACAAGGATTTTTTAATCTCATTTTAAATACTATTTGGTTCTAAAATGGTGAGCTAAGCGAGCCAAAAAATGCTGAATTGAAGATGTCGAGGTAAAATTACACTGAAATAAGAAAGGTATTTTTCACAATATTTAGATATCATCAGTTAAGGTCAGATTATTTATTTTATTTGCAGTGGAGGACAGATTATTTATTTTCAACATTTTCAAGGATAGCTGCAGAACTGTAGCTCTCCGCAAAAAATATATATTGATAGACCGGAGAGCTACAGTACCACCCATTGAAAAAACTGTATATTTATTGCGCACAAAAAAGTCATCTGTCAATGTCAAATTTTAAAACTTTTTTTCAAAATATTACTAACCATGTGTTCCTTACATATTTTTTCACTGTTTCCACAACAAAACATTCCTTATAATTGTTTTTAATAGCCCTCCTGGTCCTAAAATTGAGATCATTGAAAATTTTGTCTACTTATACTGCCATTTTGGTTTGCAAGATAATTCGGTCCATCGCGCTAATATATATACCAAAGTAATTGATAAAGGATAAGGACTTATATAATTCTAGCATTTGTGCAATTATATAAGAATAAAATTAATCCAGAAACAGCGCTTTTTTTTTTGGTGTGCAATAAATGTACAGTTTTTTCAATGGGTGACACTATAGCTCTCCGGTCTATCAATATATATTTTTTTGCGGAAAGCCACAGTTCTGCAACTATTTCAAGGACAGATTACTTATTTCCAAAATCTGCCAGCCCCCCCCCCCAGAATCAAATGGTTGTCCCCTAAATTCTTGCATGTCTCCAAGTCAGGGGTTCTGAAATGAGGGCATACATGTTTATACATATACAATGTAGTTCTTTTAAGCATATAGCACATGTATACCCCATTTATGATGATATAAGTAAATTTAATAAAAGAATTATACCATATTTATATATCTTGTTCAAAATCATTAATTCTAGTGAAATATTGTTAGATAAATCTTGTGATCCATATTTCCTTAGACTCTCTTTGCTAAAAATACTGATAAAGCTTCTGTTGGGATACTTGTAAGACATTTATTTAAACAAGAAATTCTTCAGAGTTTTGCTTCTCCTCATTCAAATGGTATCTTAAACTGGAAAAATCCTTCAAATGCTCTTTTTACTGATTTTTAGTAATCTTGTGTTTGCAAATTAAGGCATTTCATTTTAACTGTAACCCTTAATCATTTTAGAGTTTTTGTTCTCCAGTCCAAAAAATCCTCTAAATCTTCCTCCTGAACTTCTTCATCATCCTCTGTTCTGAATCTGTCATTGAATACTTTCTTCTGCATGATTGTGTCCTTCTTTATCTCAAGGTCATTTATTTCTTTCCAACGATTTATCTGATCATCAATTTCATCAATATTTCTTTCAACATTCACAATCTCGTCATCTTCTTCTATAATGGCTTCAGAAACATGATTTTCCTCCTTCATGGCTCTCTGGAACATTTCCCATTCTTCATCCATTTTATCTTTGTATTCCACTTGCCGTACCTTTGCATCTGCCTTGGGATTATCAAAGAATCCTTCTGGCAGAATATCTGCCATGGTTCTGGGTTTTTCCTCTTCTTCAGCCTCCTCTTTTTTCACTCCTGGGTCAAAGAAATCTGCAGGTAAAGCTGGATGTGATAACTGAACTGATTTAATGGAGGAGGTTGTTGGTGGGTAACTGGAACCCTCTTCTTCATCTGAGGAATAAGATGCCAGTAAAAGACTGTTCTTCTGGCTATCTATGTTTTCTGGGGAATTGTCAAAAAAGTCTGTAGGTAAGATGCCTGTTTTCTTCGAATTTCCATTTTCTTTCTGCTTTTTATGTGGTACTGGGGTTACTGGGCAGTCAGATTTTCTTTTGATTCCGGGATCAGGGGGTCTTGCAGGTCCAGGCTGCGATTTTGATGCCAATCTCTCTTTATGTTGTCTCCCTTGAATATGGGCATTCCACAGAATATTTGACTTTATAACTGTATTACAAAGAATACACACAAGCTGTTCTAAAGTGTTATACTTAGCTAAAGGATGACTAATTTTTGAGTCCTTCGTAAAAGATAGTTTTTCCTTCATAAGACGCCTTAGATCGTCTTTTGACACAGCTTTCTTCGGTTTGGAAGCCATATTGGCGGACGCAATCAAAATTACTACTAGGCCTAGTTTTACACTAATCCCCATGAATAAGTTAAATTTATTCCATTATTCATTTACAGTTAATCAATAATAAAAATTAATTGTTTGATTAATTATTTTTTTTAAATTTTTTTGATTACAATTGAATTTACTTTATGTGTTTTACATGTTTAAAAGTGTTTGCGTTCCGTAAAATCGTAGACCTAAATATAGTGATGTACTATTTTAAGAAAGGGAATTTCCTAAAATAAATGGCGCTGACCATGAACACTACATCGAAGTGTCAAAGGTTTTATCGATTGTGCTCTCATAACTTTGGATATAGAATGAAAGGAACAAGTTCGCGGAAATGGCTACAACGACAACAAAGTGATATGTACGTAAAAATGGCAAGAACTGAAAATTGGCGGTGTAGAAGTGCATTTAAACTTTTAGAAATAGATGATAAGTATAAAATTCTCAAACCTGGACAACTCGTTATTGACATTGGGGCTGCCCCTGGATCCTGGTCACAGGTGGTCTGTCAAAGAACAAATGCAGCAGGCTTAGGTATGATATTTTTGTACCTTAATAGCTTATAACGGGAGGCTCACGAGTATCTTTTCTTGTTTTGTTGTAGATTATAGGCTAGGTATATATGGTATTGGTTTTTCGATTTGATTTCATTGCCATATTTGTGATATCTATACCAGCAAATGAAAAATTATCTAAAACAAAGTCTTATAATTTCATTCTCTTACATAAAACTTAAACTTCTTCAATTGAATATAAATGGACTATTCTATATATGCAGTATGTACAAATACAGTTATATCTCTTAAACTTAAATCCCTGTTTCTCACCTGAACTAGGAGTAAGAAAATGTCTGCCTGAATATATTAAAATATTCTTATGATCTCTAAATTTACTAAAAAATTTGTTATCAGTAATACAAATAGGAGCTTTTGATATGCAGATATAATTATTCTGACAACCAGCTAGGCAAAAAAACTTGATATGTTATACAAATATTGTAAAGAATTGTTGGAAATCAATGTTAACAATCAAAAGTAATTATTTTCAACAGAAGTGGGCATTTATTAAAAGAAACATTTTCAATTAATGGTATTAATATAGAATGTGTAAAAACGTATAAATACCTAGGTATAATACTCTCAAATTCTGGTTCTTTCAAAGAAGCAAGGTGTAATTTATATAACAAAGCTTTAAAGTCATCATTTAAAATATACAAAGATATAAAATCAACAGATCCATTAAAACTTTACTTCATCTATTTAATCACATGATCAAGCCAATAGCTACCTATGTGAAATATGGGGTGTATTGTCATCATCAATGCAAAGAAAAGAAAAATGTTTATTTGATATATTTAAAGATTGGGAGATTGAAAATCTTCATATGAAATTTTGCAAATTTATCATAGGTGTCAAAAGAAGTACCAATATTGCAGTTCTCTCTGAGGGTGAATCAATATTTTATTCTATTATTATAGCAATTATATCTTACTGGCACAGTTCATGGTAAAACTCTTTGTTATACAGTGCATACAAAGAAAGCATTATCTTGGACAGTTGTAATGTAAATAGTTGGTTTTCAAATGTAACATATTTCTGTAACAGAATGGGCATAGATTTGTCAAGATGTAAATCAATGAAATTAATAACTTTAAAGAAACATCTGAAAAAAATTATTAGAGAAATTTCCTTTTTGGTTTAAACAAAGAGATGAATTGTAAAGGAAAGCACATATTTCTATATAAAAAGAAGTTTTGAAATTGAAAAGTATTTATTATTAAAAAATTTTGAACAAAGAAAAACTATATGCAAATTTAGAGTGTGATAACCTCAGTAGAAAGTGGAAATTAAAAAAAACCTCTGCTGTAGAGCCCACCCTTGCAAGAAATGAAAGAATTTGTAGAATGTGCGACATGAACTGTGTGGAAGATACAATACACTCACTGATTGAATGTCCATTATATAAGCATGATAGAGATGACTTTTTTAATATTATTGCTGTAATAAAAATTTCTATACTTTAACAAATAAAGAAAAATTTTTATGGATTATGTCTAATGAAGATGACATGTTGCTTATCAAGCTGGGTAATTTTTTAATCAATATCTTTAAAATAAGAAATAGCAAATTATGCAATGTTAAACAAATAAACAAATAAATACAAAAGAGTAATAATTTTTATACTCTAGTAAAAAAAAAACAACTTTTATTTACAGTATATTGATTATGTATGTTGTAATCCCCAGCTGTAACATCATTTATCTTTTGTAGTTATGCTATCAATTTTGAATTTCTGCTTGTATGTTTTTTTTTCCTTATTACTTGTATGCCCTGATGGGCCCCAAATTGGTATTAATAAATCTTATCTTATCTTATCTATATAGAGAGGGTAGATATTTTTATAAAATGTAAGTTTAAGCAAATTTTCTGAATTGATAGGGTAGATTATATCACAAATGTGTCATCCATATATAATTCATGTAAAAAAAATTTAACAGGCCCGGGGGTCTATATTAAGGGGGGGGGGGTCCTGTCCTCAAGCACCTGTGGTAATTATATATATATAGGCTAGGTATAGTATTGGTATTTGATTATGAGGTGTATCTGTATGTGTCACAAAGTCTTATAATTTCAGTAGTAAAAACTCTGTTGTAAATTGGCATACATGTTAACTCTCCCGATTTAGATGTTTACTCCATCTCCCGTATTTAGTTTCTTGTGTCACAAAAGCTGTATCTAAAGTATTTTATTTCACTTGGGTATCCATTTTGAAGCCACTCTATATAATCTCGCTATATCATTTGAATCATATACAAACGCTTTACATGTTTCAAGCACGGATTTGACAACGACAACAACATAAGACTACCATTGATTACATTTTACGATAATGCAACATCCCTGCCATGAAAAAGGAGATATTTTAAGAATTAGATGAAAACATATACATGTTTTTAAAAGCAAATATTTTATCAAGAAAGTCAATAGAAATCACTCGATTGACCAAGCCATGTGGCACATATATTGATTCTTGGGGAAATTGGATTTATATAACGGATACGAACTTGTTTTAATTAGATTAAACCATGCTATCATTTGTTTTGTTTAAAAACTTAATGAACATACAGAATTATTGCAGGCTATTTCAGAAATATATTTCAAAAGGCTACATAAAGCAGCCAATCCAAGCAAAATGATGAGCATGAAAAATATTTGAATTTGTACAAATGTCAAATTAAGGTGTTTTCACATTGCTGTTGATATTTAGATTAATTAGTGTAGGTACCTGATTTCATTTAAGGCTTATAATAGACATGTATGTTACATGAAAGATATCGATAATCCAAGCGTTAAACGACACGCGCGCAATGCTACCGCTTTTGAGGTCTGAATCTCCCTCTTTTTCATCACAATAGGTTAACATGTATGAAATTTGTAACCTGCATCAGCTGAATTAGAAAGACTTATATTTCACTGTAGTACAGGAAAATTCTGATTTTAAAATAGTTCTAATTAAGAAAAAAAATCATCACTAATACATATTTTGATACAGATATAAATTCACCCAAAGGAAAAGTGATCAGCATTGACTTGTTGCCCATCAGTAAAATCCCAGGTGCATGTATCATAGACTGCACTGACTTCACATCTCAAGACTGTCAGGATAAAATCATCCAGAATTCTGACGGCAGAAAGGCAGATGTGATACTCAGTGACATGGCTCCCAATGCATCAGGTATGAAGGAGTTTGATGGAAGACTTCTTGTGTCTTTGGTGTCAAAAGTCTTACAGTTCTCAGTGAATCACTTGGTGACTAATGGCACAGTTCTGGTAAAACTTTGGCAGGGGAGTGGATGTGATGATCTCAGTGATGTAATGGAGGAACTATTCTCCTCAGTTAAAATCGTCAAACCAAGAGCAAGTCGAGTAGATTCCAGAGAAATTTATTTTTTGTGTCAGAAATTTAAAGGAGCAGTACAACAAAGTGAAAATACTTTAACAAACCCAGAAACTCAAGTGTGAAAAGTAGAGTCAAATTAATTACCCTTCCTGTAAGCCAGGGAAAGTTTTGGATTGTTCTATCAGTAATACAATAACAGAATAAGAATGGTTATCTTAGTTGTGTAACTCCTTCTAAACCAGAAAAAAAGTATGCAGTAGGACTTCCTATATGTAGAGTATGGAGCTTAATTTATTGATTGTCAAATTATTACTTAAAATATAACTACAGAGAGAAAGAGGAACTCAGTGATCAAATACTGTAATGAATCAGAAGTGACTCTATTTTGTTTAGAATGTTACGCTATGACTATACATTTGAGGGTTTATTTTCAAATTTGCTGGAAAGGGCCTGGAAGATGTGACTGAGAATTTTTGCCCTGTTAATTATGTTAATTATGTATGGATGTCAGGTTCCAAAATCTTAAAATTCAATTTTACTGTCCAAAGAACATCAATGATGTTTACTGTATTTGTTTCTTGTGTCACATGAGAAATAAATTATTTCACTTTACTTAAGTTATATACTATCCCTTTGAATCATATCAAATTACATGTATCAAGGGACTTTTCCTTTTTGATAATGCATGAATGTAATGATATTAAGCATATATACAAAATATATGCTGTAAAATCACATATTTTTGAGGGGTCAAAATTTTGTGGTTTGATGGAAATATATTGATTCATGGGCATTGGATTTAATGGATGAAGAATTGTCCAGTAGTGAAAAATTGCATTTTGTGGAGGACATAAATTCATGGGTCTCTTCATACCTCGAAAACCACGAAAATTAACATCCCCCCCCCACAAAAATTAATGATTTCACAGTATTAGAAGATAATATTCTAGTTTTACATAATTATGAAACAATTAGGAAGCAGGGTTCTTACAGAAGTTTGCTGAGCAGCTGTCTCACACCACACAGCTGATAAACATCCTCATCAGCTGTAACAAAGACATATTTCACTGTAGTACTGATGCTCTGTCATTCTGTGCTTTAATCATGTTAAGTGGTCTTAACTTTAAGGTTCTAAAAGATGAAGTAGATAACCATCCCTTTTATCTTTTTTTTTGCATTTTGGTATTATATACGGTATACATCAGTATAGAAAAAGCAGACTTGTTGAAGAATTGGATTTATCTGAACTTAGATCCATTCTATGTACAATTATTATACATATACATGTATTAATTAGATACAGGGGATTAGGAATAGATTATTCAAGCTTATAATTTCGATCACTTGCCCTACCACATTTTTTACTAGCCCCACCAATGGCCAGCATAAATTATGAAACAAAGGATGAAGTACTTACCACAAGATAGTGTTGATTTCTTGCAAAACTATTTACGTTTTCGTTTGTTATTCTTTTGGGTACCCATCTATTATTGCAACTATATCTTTTAAAATATGAAGGAAATTTTTGTTTAAACTTTCACACTGACATCTTAATAAAAATTCAATTGCCTGCCTCTTAAATTCTCTAGCCCCAGGTACATGTATGAGAGAATGGGCTTTGTCAGCCCCTGTGTATGACAGCTAATCCTGTTACAGTATGACTATGTCTTGTCAGAATCTAAATAAGAAAGGAGATCAAAACACAGAATGAAATATTGTTCCTGTTTTGTAACTGCATTTGCAGATTTGAAAATTTTTATTTCAAATTGTTTTCAAGACATTTGAATTAGATGTACTTCTGTTGCTGGTTGTAACTCAATATATTTTATGGCAGGACTTGATAATTAACTGTATAATAACTTGACATTCAAGTGTGCGCTTTTTTTTGCTTTAACCAGATTAACAAAAATGATGATGAGCTCACAGGCACTTGTGTTATTATAATATTATAGTATAGGGATTTTTTTTATTTGTGAAGAAGAGAACGCATAAAAACGTCAAGCGCCTCTGGATGAGCTTAATATGTACAAAAATACTCACATGTCCTGGGAAAGTTAAGTTAAATGCAGTTATATTAAAACTAAGAGCCTTATTGAATGTGTGGAAACGCCGGAATCAATCTTTGAATGTATGGTGCGTACATAAAATTATACAGATTTGAAAAGGCCGATCGAACCCCCCCTCCCCCCTTCAAATAATTTTTCCGACATATAGAATACTAGTATTGTAAAAAAAAAAAAACATAGCTACTATATTCTTGTGCCCCCTCAATAAAAGCGTCTGATGACCTATTTTTGCGTGTCTTGGAATTTTTTTGTTGATAGTGCCCCTCCAACTGATAATGTATGACTTTGTACGCCCCCCCCCCCCATGAAATTGCTTTCTACAGCCAGAATAAAGCCTGTTCATATTTGAAAAACAAAAAAAATCACAATTCTTTAAATTCAGAACAGAAAATGCTTCCGATTCAGAGGCAACTACATTGTATTCTCTCCCACTTTAAGAAGTAAAGCTACAATCTTGTAAATTCAATTAATTCAATTCATTTTATTGACAACACCATCATACATTGGCATATAGTCATGAATACAACAATTAACATACATAAAATAAGATATCAAAGAAAGCATACTAAGTATCAGGTTTGTTGAAGGTTTTCTTTCCTAATATCAAAGCACTTTTTCAAAAAGTTACAAACTCAGTTCTAATACTTGTAGGATTGATAATGTCAATAATAGGGTTTTCCTTCATGTAACATTGTGCATTAGATATATATATCGTAATATTTTAATCTACATTGATCATAACTAGGACAATAAAGTACAAAATGGTTTTCATTTTCAATAAAAAATTTACAAAAATGACAAAAATGTAAGAGGTATAATTTCGACATTTAAATTACATGTGCATTTCGCTTGAATTCAACTCATTCTTTCCGAAACTAAGTTTTACTATTAAACTTAAATTCTGCATTGTAAATCCAACACCAAGCAGCGAGGCGACCGGTGTTAGTCTAGATATTTACCTCTTAGCTGCTGGGTTAGCAACTGTGGACCTAGTCCGAAATATCTGACGTATTCCAGGTTTTTTTTTTTTAATTTGATATTTTACACGCCAGGAAAACACGTAAAATATCAAAATTGTGAAAAAGCCCGGGAAACGTAAGATAAATTCAGTGACGTCATAGTTAATTGAAAAGGCAACAAAATAATGACGTCATAATATTCATTTAATTGTGACGTCATAATGCTTATGACATAAAAGTGGAGAGAGAGCACCGACTCATATGACGTCACGATAGCAATCATTATACGATCTCCCTCTGATTGCAGCACAAGGAACGTCATAATTAAGTCGACAGTCCCTTCAGTTTAGGCCTGAGAAACTATTTGCAGCCACGGGCAGCCAGGTGAAACAATAGACGGCTTGTATGTCTAGTCATGTGATCAACACGATACATCAGCCTCTGGAGCCGAGTTACTGTTGGTGACAAAGTGAGTTTACTGGTGTAGATATGGATCTCGTACTTAAATCGTTTGTGTTCTTTTACATTACAACAGGGCCGTAATGGGCTGACTCTAATATGAAACGGTCAAAACTAATCTAACTGATACCATCACTTAGTAATATTGTCTTCTTGATTCCGTGAAATTTTCGTTAATTTTTAAATACAAGAAGTACGGTTTTGTGTGAGAAGAATCCTACCTTAAAGACGAATCGATGCTTATTATTTTATATTAAAATATATAACAAATATTGTAGACTTTTGAATCATTATTGAAAAACTTGTTCAAGGTAAAAAGTTATGACAAAGTCAGATAAAGATGCATATTTTAAAAGCTGAAATTTTAACCTAAATACTTTTCCTTCTGCTTACTCAATAATTTTAAATCAAAAATGATATAATGTTATCGAAAGAGTATAAGTATGATAGAGGAAACGGAAATATTTCGATGTACCGGTATATAGCCCAAAACTAACAAAGGAAGATAACTCCATTTATCGTATTTAAAATATTGGTTAGTCTTCTTTTAAATCACCTTCCATTCACAATATCAATGTATGTGGTTCTCCTTACTAGGAATAACAGGCACGTAGCAACGGGGGGGGGGGGGGGGGGGGGGGGGCTGGCCCCCACTTTTTTTGCCAACAATACTTTTACTGTTAAAAATGTTCATTGAAAGGCTGGTTCCCCCCCCCCCCCCTCCCCCACTTATACTAAAGTAACGTAATATGAAGGAAATATAGTATTGTAAGCTTAAAAAATGGATATTGAAAGGAATTGGTAGTGAAAGAATTTTTTTTTTGCTTGTCAACTTTTTCAGGTAAAAAAAAAAATTCTGTGGCTGCCCCCCCAACCCCACCCCACTTTCAAAATCGATGCTACGTGCCTGAATAAAGAAAAGAAATTAAGAAAAGAGATCAAATAATTGGATCAATAATATTTCATTTCTGTACAACATACACAAATATTTTGAATTCTAATTTCTACAAATGTACATGTTTACACATCGCAATATTTCATTTAAAATATGATAAATTTGTCTTAGTGATATTGATTTAATAAATGATAAAAGAACAACTTTTTCACAAATAACATGGATCACAACTGGAACTATAGTTTGACACAGTTTGTTATGACGTCGAACTTAATATGTCTTATATCTATTACTGAACATTATCATGAAACATTTCATTTGAACGGTGAAAAAAAAATGAGAGAGAGAGAGAGAAGGGCATTTTAAGCCGGAATTCCCCAGCTACAGGATCTTGCTGATATGTACATAACTATTTCCTATTCGTTGAGGACACGAGAAAATTAGGGTGAGCTTTTACTGTCCAGTAACTTTGTTGTTTTGATGTTATTTCATTATTTACAATAGTACTCTCTGTTTTTAAAAGAGCGCCCAATAAAAGTAAAGGGCAACCAACTATAACTTTGATTTTGACACTAGGTTCCATGTTTAAATGTCCCGAATTATATCCCTAAAATATTATTTAAGCTTATTAGTGCCCCGTCTGTCCGGCTAATTCTAACATTTGTGTATCAAACAACAAAAGAGAAATTCAGTGAATATCTCCTTAATTAACGTACAAATCATGGAACCTTTAAGCAGGTAGTTCATGCAGTAACTCTGTGTAATATATATTTACTCGTTTGTAAAGTTCAGCTTTTTAAACTTTTTCAATGACTAGGTTTGCCAACAACGCATAATAAATTCCAAAGAAAGTTTGCAAATATAGACAGGTACCGTAAGTCATAATAACAAAGACTCGGTGAGTGTTGTGGTTCCTCTTATCCCGACTTCACATGTGGTGATGGGCACGCGGCGAGGGTAATCATACACCCCCGACAAACGAGGGGAAGAATAATTGGTGCAATTTTCTCTTGTTCACGCAAATTTCATGAGGAATATTTGGAATTAACTAAGGAGGCTTGAAAACGCGATTTATATATCGAACTGTTTACGTAAATCAATACATGTACACAGTGAGTTACATGCGAGGAGGCAACGACTGCGTTCGATGGAGACACACAAATTGACGGGATCATTGTGTGTATGTAAAAATTCCGTAGCAACTGCCTCTTGTGTTCTCGTAACAAAACAGCTAAGTACCACTTACAGCCATGGGCAGCCAGGTGAAACAATAGACGGCTTGTATGTCTAGTCATGTGATCAACACGATACATCAGCCGCTGGAGCCGAGTTACTGTTGGTGACAAAGTGAGTTTACTGGTGTAGATATGGATCTCGTACTTAAATCGTTTGTGTTCTTTTACATTACAACAGGGCCGTAATGGGCTGACGTATAATGAACATTTTAACAATTCATTTAAATGGGATAAGCCGTGTGTCATTTTTTTAAAGCGTCGAGTATTTGGTTTATGTAAATTGATTTTTTGAATCGAAAACCCGACTACTGTGATAGAGAAGTGTGATTTTCTTGTGATTCTCTGTGTATTTGCTTCTTAAATCCGTGATGTGACTTTCTTAACTAAATAGTGACAAGACACAATGACGAACAGTACTGGGGACCCGTGTCTGGAGACGCGATATTGGTACTCATTCCTGGCATCTAGTCTCATCGTCTTCTTCGCCGGGATAGCCTTCATCTTATTTTATCGCCTCATCCTCTGGTTATGCTGTCGACGGGCTACAAATCCGCCATCGCCCCCACATGGGGCATCCCCCAAAGTGGCCAATCATTCGGGTACTGTCAATCCGTCATCCAAAAGGAAAGGGTCAGCAAACAATATAAACGCCACATCAAATGCTGGTGCCACGTTACAGAAGAGTCCAGATTCTGAGATAGGTTACATAACGGAGGCCAAAGACTGGGCGGGGGAGCTCATCTCGGGGCAGACCACCACAGGGAGAATATTGGTAAGATTATTCCCAGAAACCTATGTTACTGGTCAGTTTTCAACATTCCAAGGAATCAAATCGTTTGCTTAATAGCCTGTAAAGATAGAACACTATATGTACAGCATGAATCTCGTAACTGTAAGCACTTGCAATGTAAATATCTGCCAATCTGGAGTCAATTAAGAGAACAATTTATCACACCATTCCTCAGTACATATTGTTTATAAGCACTTATAACTGAAGGTTGTATAAATGGTGTTTTACACATAGATGTGTGTGAAAGGTGATATATTCCTGGCATTACTTGTCTTGGTGCATAGAGTCTTCAACACTGCCTTTATTTTTGTCAATATAACAAAAAATTCTAACAATTTCATGGCAGAGATGATCGTTTACAAAGTGACGGGTCCATAAAGTACCGCCAGATAATAGGACTCTATTGTTGAGCGTTGACGAGAATAATTCGGGATCAATCACCAGTATCGATTCGACCATTAAGAAACAATCCCCGGGGATGATTTCCAATAATCCGGATATCGATTCCAGGAGACCGCACATGATTGGGATGTCATTTTCCTCACCCAGCTAGACAAATTATCAATTGACTTTCTTAATTTATTTAGTGTGATGTTCAAATTATAACGAGTTTTCGCAAGCTATACCGATAAAAATGCACCTTTTAAAAAAGCACTGTCTTTCCACATTTTTTTTTTTCAATTAAAAAAATTCAATGTTCATGACATCATTTTTAGACGGAGGCTGTATGACAGCCTCCGTGTATAGGGATTGTCTTGCCCATGGAATGTAAACAGGAAAGATTTCCCAAGCACCATCTATCGGTGGAATTGTTTTCATTACCTTGAGAATTCTATTTTTTGAGCGACTCTGCGTTACACCGACCGCAAGGATAGGCATAGTCTAAAACAAAGATCGCGTCACATACAAGTATAAACAAACAGTTCTACTTTTTCTAAATAAACAGGATTTGTCTAATATTTTTTAAAATGACGTGTATATAAATACATTTCCTACGGAATATGTAAAAAGAAAATGTGATTTACTATTAATTTTTTATCAGACAGAATATTAGGAGATTTTGTTCCAACAGACGATGATAAAGCATGTTTTACAATATGCCGAGCCTTTTCCCGCCGGTTCTCACACCAAAACAAGAACGAGAAGAAATGAAGTGGCGGATCTAGAGGGAGTTGGGGGGGGGGGGGGTTAACATCCGAGAGTGATCGAGGAACCCCACTTATCAATTGCTTCTTTTATTAAAGTAAAAACTATCTCTAGTTACAGATAAGTTTAAACTTTAGTTTTATATTTAATTGTAAAAACTTCCACCAGAATTCGCCTGTGTATCAAACTAAGTGTGGAGACGCAGATGTACCTGTATTATGTATTGAAGAAAATCCTGCTATGTCGCATGCAAATGTTTTATGTCGCAGGTATAAATATAAGATATTTTAATAATAGATCAAGCATTTCAGTTTTAATGGAATTTTTTGTGCTTGATTGCTGTTTGTAATCTCATTTTCATTCCTTTTCTAATTTCTTTTTGAAAGGACCGATAAATTGGTTTGCGGCCGATTTTTGACGCTTGCATCAATAGGTTTCATGGAGTTCTTTAATCTGACAAGGATCGATGAATAAACAAATGCATAGTATTTTTATATGTAGGAATATTAACAGTCTAGTTTTGAATTGTTTATTTGATATTATGTATAATTTCAGGAAACACATGAAAATAGATTTACACTTTCTACAAGCGGTTTGAGTGTTTGGGGTACCCTCACATTAGATAAGAGAGAAACAAACGGCAACTCTGATATTGAGATCAAAATGCATTTGTAACGTTTGACCCTTGGGTACAACCCAAATCTTGGTTCATAGGATTTACATGATTTATCACATAATATCCTAATTAATAATTAAAAATCATATCTTCTGAAATAAGTTGTCTTATTGTCATATCGTTGATCCTTATTTGCATTTGATACTTGTGTTTTACCTCTTTCACATCCCAAACTTTAATTATTTTTTATATACAAGATTGCATGTATTTCTGATCATTGGTATTCATGTCAATTTTTTTAAACCTACATCATTGGTAAAGTGATTGTTTTAACTGAAAAGCAGAAATCATAGTTATATATTTATAACTTTTCTCTACGTAATTTGTAATCATGTCTCATTGTTAATGATTGTTTTAAACAGATAAACTGAAAAGGACAACCATTTCCACTGGTATACGAGTAAAGAAAGACATTTTTTGGGTTAATCTGTCAAATGATAAAATACTACATTTAATAATTCCAGAAATATTGGTTGTCAAATTTGTCAAGATATATCTTTGTTATTGTAAGCAATACTCCAGTTCTCCAAAAACAATTTAAACTTGTGAAATAGCAAGTCTTATGAACTTGATTGTTCTGTTTACATAAAGTAAGAAAGTATATTTTATTCCACTCAAAAAATTGTGTTCTGGCACGAACATTTATTGCATGTTAATGAAGTTGTATTACTTAAAGAAAATTCTGTGTTGCTTTCAAGCTAGGTCACCCCATTTTGTATCACAAAGGTTTAAGACAAACTGTACTATATTATGTTGTTCATGTCCAATTACCTGGCTGCTTCTTTTTCCATGTTAGCTCATATCATAACATTATTACAATAAGGCCGAGAAATTTTGATTTTGGTAGCTGTTACATGTCATAATTATGTTAACAGTAGGTCTCTGTGACCTATAAATAAGATATCTTGAAATATGGAGACTCCTGACAGGCTGAGGCCTAGTGCTGAATCCAGAAATTCTGAAATAGGGGGACCAGTTTGAGGTCAGGGAAGGGGCCCACAGCCACAATTAAAACACTCATTTATCAAATATTGCGTATTTTTTGGACTCAAAAGGGAGGGGGCCCCTGGCCCCTTTTAATTCCGCCAGTGGGCTCATGACTAGAACATACTAAACCTACATTCATCAACCGGGCCTGGGGGCATACAACTTAGACAAGCTCACTTTTGATCTCAGTCTCACTTTTCCACTATATATTCCTTAAGTGAGACTGGGATAAAAAGTTAGCCCAAGTTTTATGTCAACCAGGCCTAGTCAATTACTGTTTCTTACTTTGAAAGGTTTAATATTAAAAGTATCTCATCTAAATAACAGTGAACTTTAATCAAGGCGAAGTTTACATTACAAAGATGAAATTATAATATCCCAAAAACCTCATGAATATTGGAGTATCCTTTGAAAAAAATGTTGAATTGAAAAAAAAACTACACATTATTTCTCATAATATTCTTTACAGCAATGTATGACATATATATTTCTTTTGTGTTCTCTCATACATGAAGCCTCCGTCTAACAGTACTTTCAGTACTTTGATTTTTTATTTTAATAAAGAATTGTAGGAAGATGTACAGTACTTATTTTTTATATTAAGAGTTCGTGTGCCTTCTATTAACATGATAGATCTCGTATCCGAAAGTGATTTATACAACTAATTAAATATATAAGGTTATAAAATAATAGGGATGAATGTTTTGTGTTCCAGTGGAAAGATTTCTTCGTTGAGTGGCGGGGGGGGGGGGGGTCACAAATAGGGAACTGTTAAGTTTCGGCATACAGATGAAATGCATGTTTAATAGTACATGTACATGCAGTGTACATGTATGCAACTCAGACGCAGTAAATTAACCTGAAAAGATTAACACATTAAGCGGATTATTATTCAAGTGGAATATGTCATGCACAATTTAATACAATCATGCATTATTAGGATTTCTAACACTATAAATACATGATTACCATTTTTTTAACCCAATGCGGACAGAAGAATTCGCATTCTAAAAAAAATAAAGTCTAAATGTGAAAAACAAAAAAATAACATTCACACGATTTCGTGCATATTTAGCGCTGTTTAGAGGATTTGCGACTTGCGTGTTTATTTGTTTATAGATCTAGACGTAGCATCGTTTTTAAAAGGGGCAGCCAGACAAAAAAAAATGCAATTTGCCTATATAAAGAAATTTTTTTTTGACAAGCGAAAAATTCCACTCGATATTCCTATTTAGTGGATCGGTTTGTGGGGGGGGGGGGGTTTCCATCCTTTTTCAATTCAATTCAATTTACTCTATTGACAATAACCATGTCGGCATACAGTCATGAACATTAATAATAAACAAGTTATGATATTTTTATAAGAATATTTCAGTTCTAATTTTTTAAAAACTCATTAATACCGCGGAACATTAACTGGCAAAATTTGAAATATACAGCTTACGTCACAATCAAAACATTCAGAGATAGACAATGAAAAGGGCGGGTACAATTTGACGCGGACGTGCGGAAAACATCGGACTGAAATTGCAGATCGAAATTCATTTACAATCCACCTCAGCTAGAAGGCACATTATTACTGATTGACCCAGAAGACAATTTATAATTTCAATTTTGGTAGTTTGATTTTTTTTTTTGTCCAGTGTTTTAAATAAATTAATATTTAAGGGACAAATATTTCATTTCTGTTCTGTTTGGTAAATATATGTATATCTTTGTGTTGGTGGGGGGGGGGGGGGTGAACGATTTTTTAAATGAAGTTTTCCAACAGTTTCTTCAGTGTATTTGCATAAATAAAGTTGTCCAACAGTTTTCAGTGAGACTAAGTATAAAACTCATGCACTCTTGTAATCCTATAAATAAAATATATTGTCATGTTAAACCATGACCTGACTCGACAATCCCCCCCCCCACCTTCTAGAATCAAATATCTCCTCAAAAATAATCTTTGTCTTGTATGATCTTTCGCGTTCTCAAAATTATAAGCTGAAACTCATATTAATTTGAACTTCAAACAATATGTATTTGGGAGTTGAAATTAGTTGATTTTTGGATCATACAATCACTCTTTGCTCTGAAAACAGCTCAGGTGGATTGAAAATGAATTTCGATCTGCAATTTCAATCCGATGTTTTCTGGACGTCCGCGTCGAATTGTACCGCCCATTTCATTGTCTATCACTGAATGTTTTGATTGAAACAGATAGAAATGACGTATTTAAAGCTGTATATTTCCAATTTTGCCAGTTAATGTTCCGCGGTCTTATTATCCTTATCCTACTTTATCTGCAACAAAACATTAAAAAGTGGGGGTGGACGGATGGGTGGTTGCATTGAATCGGACTTTAAATGAACATTTTCTATAATAAAATTTTATGTCTGAAAAAAAAAGGTGGGGGAACCAGGCCTCAGTGCATTAATTTTAATATTGCATCATTTTTTCCCGGAATGTTAAGATCAGTACGTAGTTATTTTCTACTGTTCTTAGATACTGGTGATTTCCGGTTGCTGGCGGTAAAATTGTTTGGGTTCTTTTTTTTTGAGACTGAAAGCCACAGTCCTGACGTTTTTGAAACCTGAATGTAACATTTGTTAAGAACTCAAAGATATGTAAAATCCTAATAAGAAAAATCTGCATCTTATTTTTCAGGTCGGTTTGGTTTTCCTGCTGAGCATTGCCTCCCTCATCATTTACTTCATAGATGCCTCAGAGTAAGTTGATTTTATGTATAGAGTGGGGCGGACATTTTCTTAGTGTTTTTCAGGGCATTTTTTAAATTGATGATATGAATTTGAAAAAAAGACAGACAATGGCACAAACCTGAAAGCCATGCTTAAATGCTAGGAAATAAATCTAGTACTGTTGACCATGTTGACTACTGTACATGTTGACTCCTGACTCTATGATCAACGTTTTTCATTGATTTTCTCCAGATCACAGTCATTTAACACAGTTTTGGTTCAAAACTTTCTTGGACATCAACTCACCAGCACTTGACTTTTTAAACATTTCTCTTTATGGGTATTTTTTATGTTTAAAGACTAAAGAGAAAGGTTAAAAACATCAAGTAGGTTTGAGTTCTTCATCTTTTAAATTTAAATAATATGTTGATGGTGCTACTGTTAGGGCTAGCGCATATACTTATTCAGTTTTCATTTAAATGAGGCTCGACAAACCGCACATGACATTTGGTGCATTAAGACTATGACGTCACATGATGTCGTGTGCATGTTGCTTTAATTACCAAACGGTGAAACCAAAGTCTGAACAGGGCTGATTTTAATGAAAATGTTTTTAAAAAAAAAAAATATTTTTCTGCAATAAATTCATTAAATTAAGGCAAGTTTATTATTCATTTAACTTTTGTTGTTATTCTGCGAGAATGTTGCTTTAGCTTTTGTGTATGAAGCAATGCATTGTAGGTCCAAAGTTACTGCGGGAAAAATTTTTCCATTGAATGAATGTGCACTGGTTCGAATTTTCTCTTAACCCAGGCATTGTCGTTAGAGCTCGCAGTGACAAGCATTGCTTCATGACTTCAACTTCAAGCATCACTTCATGACGCTCGCTGAGCTCGCTATTATATAAACCTATGTTAGGAATGCTATGAAGTCTTTATAATTATAGGAAACAAATTAGTTGCCTGGAATGTGTAATGTGTAAATGATCTGAAAAGTAGTTATAGCCATTCCCTTAACAGGGTTAAAAAAATAACATAACAATGGCAAAACTGCAGAAAAAAATACAAATATACTCAATTTCTTTCAAAAAAAGAAAAACAGAAAATCAAAGAACATGAACAAAACAAATCAATGTGCTTTGTACAATAGTGTAAGAGGTAAGTTTGACACTAGTTGTCATTATTATGACTTTATTAGGTTGTTAAGTGGTTTGTCTATGGAGTAGAATTCCCTCATGGCTATCTGTATGTTAACAGATTAATACTAGTAGTTCTGGGATTACTAATTAATATTGAGTAAATTATTTGTCATGATGTATCCTGGGATTGTCTGGGTACATGTAAGCACTGAGACAGGTTCTTGATGGATATGGTTCCCATAATCTCCAAATTAGTAATCAACAATCAATGTTATAACAAGATGACCTACTGCTGGTGTAGTGGTAGCCTAAGCTGCCTTGAGACTATTCACCATGGTTCTAGATGACCAGAGATAAAGAAGCCTATTGACTTCTAAGGAATGTCAAATTTAGTTCTATAATCAAATTTTTGATTACATACCCAATATAGTGGACCTTCATATATCCGGACGCCAGATATCCAGATGCTTCAGTATTTCCGATTTTTTATCGGAATGAAATGTTTAAATGTTATTTTGTCTTGTTTAGCTGGTGATTCAGATATCTGGATGCTTTAGATATCCGGACAATTTGACTGGGAACCAAAGCGTCCGGATAAATGAGAGTCCACTGTACACACTTCCAATAGAAACTCTTTAAAGATTACCGTCAGAATTCTCACAAGTATACTGTTTACAGGGCACTGGATGACCAGGGCATTTTTACTGTGAAAAATACAAATATGTAAGGTCAAATTCCTGGTTTGAAAGTACATGGTAGTATAATCGAACTTGAATAATAATGAAAAGATAATCAGTATGGGCAAGGTAAAAAGGAGGTTTAAAAATTTTAGGGTCAGAGGTCAAACAAGACAACTCATAAGTGGTTCATATTGCTAATTATACACTTAGACTCGTATGTACTGTAGGAATAGAAAGTCATAACAGAAGAACAATTTATGAATTTTGCAGATCAAGTTTGAAAGCTTCAATATGTATTCACAATGGTAAAAATACAAATTTTGAGTGATTGCCAGCTCTGTTATTCTTTAGCTCATTATTGAAAACAATGTAAAGAAATTGATTATAAAACAATTTATCTTTATGCAAAGTAAGAATTTTCTATGCTTCAGAATTCCAATTCTATTAAAAAAAAAAAATCAGTTTTTGTTAGCCAGGTTTACATGCACACAATGATGTGATTGAATTTTCTAGAACACATTTTTTTGAAAACATCCATTTTAATAATGAAGTGAATGTTAAAAAAAAAAAAAAAACACTATGAAGTTAATTTTTTAAAAAATATTTTTTCATATCGTCTCGTATCCTATTTTCGACCGTATTGTATTTTCGACCTAATTTTCCAAATCTGCTGCCCGTGCAAATACCGCGCTGTACAGCATTATTTTTGGTTTCTACACTTGGGAAAATATCTTTTTAAACACAACTTTAGTGAATATACCCAAAATAATTAATTCAACGGATTTCCCCTCGTGGTTTTAGTTCGATTTTGGTAATTTTCGTCTTTTTACTAATGCACATTTTACTGTTGATTAAACAAAGCCGTAATCGGTTAATTACCAAGATTTTTTGATGACATTTTTCCGAAGGAAAACTAGGATCTCTGTCAACGAGACGCATGAATATTGAAATGAATGGGTAGATCAAACTATTTTTTTTCTTCCTTAGATATGGGCATTTTCTTACAGATTTTTACTGAAAAATGCAACGTTATTTCATTGATTTTTTGTGGAAATGCACAGCTACTGACAGATCGCTTCAACCAACGAATAAATGTATTTGCAACCAAAATATGCAACTTGTTCCATGTTTTTTTTAAGGACAGACAATCGTATTTTTATTGTTTAGAATATCCAATGGATATATTTATAGCCATTACTGATGGGGCGTTGATACTATATTTAGGTCGAAAACACAAGACGCGAATATTTTTGTGAGGAAAACTGCACCCTCTTCATATTTATGGCATATAAATAAAATAAACAAAAAACTGCAATATGGGTTATATCGTTTTATTTATAAACACATATGCTAACATTTTAAGCCCATATTTTCTTAGATTGTATAAAGTTTGCGATAAATTAATAAATAACATCTAAATAGGTCGAAAATACAATACGCCAGGATATAATTATTTTTTTGGTCAGAGAGAAGGTTGAATCGTGTACACCGTGGGCAGACAGCCCCCGGCAGCAGGTGGACCTGGCCTTTAATGTCTTTTTTCTCATCTACTTCTTCATCAGGGTAAGTGTTTCCTTGTTTTTATTTGTCTATCTTAAAAATATACTGCTACAAAGCAGATGCATTTTGTAAATACATTAGTGTTTGCATTACCGGTAATCTTATTTTGCAAATCAGCCCCCAGTCAACATTTTATAACTAAATATATTTGTACATGTATTACGCACAAATTTATTTCTTTGCATATTTTTTTCTATAAAGCTTCCAAAAATAAAAATAAAAAACACACAAAAAAAGAAAAAAAAAACATATATTCCCAGGAATTTAAAGATTTATTAATACTATGAGAATATAGGGATATGTGTGCAAGTGAAAGTGTACATTTTTACACTTTATATACCCAGTAATTTTTTTAATATAAAGATTTGTTTCTTTCATTGATATAAATATTTTAATCTTTACTTTCAGTGTTTAAAATTTCTACATGCATTTGTTACACATATTAAAGGTTCACAAATTCATGAAAAATATTTTGTGAAAATTTTTTATGCACTTTGTCGGACGACACTTTCCTCAAATATGTGTTTTGTATCTCTTGGTTTTATATCAGAAATTAGTCATATTTGTCATTCTCTTCCGATTTCTACATTGTTTTCTAAATGGTTTTAAATATAAGTACACCAAAAATGGTGATATAGGCCATTCAGAAGATAACTCATAAGGGTTACACTGTATAAGTAGAAATTTTAGCGAGGATTTAATTTTGGCATTATTAGCGAGGGTGCTGACATCGCTAAAATTGAATATCACTTAAAATTAATTGCGTATTATTTGTAATAGCTCCTTTAGTTAATATTTTAAAATCGCTAAAATTACTTCTCGCTAAAGAATAAAATACCAGTTTTTAGGTAGAAATCGCTAAATTTGCGTCTCGCTAAAATTTCCACCTATACGGTATATAAATATATAAGAAATATGACCCTGTGGTTTCTTGTCCAAATGTCTGGTAAGGTACCCTAATTTTTTGTGAAGAATCTTGTTCAAGTATCTATTCTTCAATGACGAAATCTTTGGAAAATTATATATTTTTGAGGAACATGTTGTCTGACCTTAATCCCTATAAATGAACACACTACAGAATATTACAGTTTTATACATGAAATTCTTCGTTCAGTTTGTGGCGGCCAATGACAAGCTTTTATTTATATGGAAGCATCTTCAGGTAGTGGATTACTTTACTATCCCACCATCCTTTGTGGCCATCTATCTGGACAGGAACTGGCTCGGTGAGTGCTCCCATACCTAGTACCGATTTTATCTGATTAAAGAGGCCAAGCTTGCTTTGAAGACAAAAATATATAATGCTGAAAATACTATTTCATATTAAATGGGCTGTGAAATTGATTGGCAATGAGGTTCTCTCTCTGAGAAAGATATTAGAAAAGGCATTTTTGGGGTTTGCGTGAATGCTGTTTGACAGATTATTGAATGGAACAACTTTCCTGCCAATCATTTCAGACAAACACAAGCATTGGATATGTCTGAGTGATGTTGTTTGTGCATTCTATATAATATGGCTGTATTTTGTACAGTGATTGATATCTCTTTTATCATATATCAGCTTTTACTTCTTGGTGGGTTCATGAAATAATTCTGATCTGTTATTTCATTGTTTTACAAGATTTAATTTTCACAGATTCAAGAAAACAATATAGCTATTCCCAGGTATCTCTTATCATAGTACGAAGGTCAAGTCAAGGTCAATATCAAATTTATTGTTGTCAATCATCTGATACCTTTTTACATCAGAGAATATTAAGACTTTGATTGTTTAAAACTGTGAGTTTAATCCATTATTTGAAAAACAAACTATGATCTTTTCCTATTCTGCTGCTAGATTTTAAACCCAGTTTGCCATTTACATCATGTTATAAAATTGCTCTTTGGATTAAGTGAGATATGTTCTTGTAAGATCAAAGTTTTATGAAGGTGTGGATAGGGGAATAACATATGAAGTGGCTCAAAAAAGTCTAAATCAAGGACTTTGGGTTAAGAAACATTTCTTGTAACATACAATAAAAGACAAAATTACCCTGTAAAAAGTAGCCTTAATGAAAAAATTGAATGCTTTTTCAAACTAAAGCATTAATAAGTTTGAATGTTATGTACAGTTGAGTGGCATGCTGTTTCTGTGTCACTAGAGATCATATAGAGTATAAGTAAGACAACACCAAGATGTTTAATACGAGAGATGAGTTTAATATATCCAGTATAATCATTGTAAGTGAGTGGAGGTGTATGGTTTATTATTGATTGATTGGCAGTCACCACGAACTGATTTAGGTAAACCAAGCTGTTACCAGGAAACCCAACAGATGTTGTCTATGCAATCAGCAGTTAATGTCATTTTTTGTCAGAAGTAGCTTTTTGAAAAAAAAGATACGGATGTTTTAGTCAGTTTCAGCATAACGATTGGATGTACAGTGTATAAATATATTTTTCAAAATCAATTTTTTAGCTCACCTGAGTCAAAGGCTCATAATGAACTTGTCTGACCTGAGTATATGATATCTAGGGCTTGATTTCATTTTGTGATTTACTGGCAACCAAAACTTTACATAAAACATCTTTGGCTAAAAGGTATTCAGATTTGTTCAAATGAAGAACCATCACTTTATCGAGAGATGATTATATAAAAAAAATAAAACTATGAATGATCATATGATAAAAAAAAAAACAAAAAAAAAAACATTGGTTCTAAATATTTTTGCTTCCTGTTTGATTACAGGTTATGATTTATCCTTCCAAGAGCATGTACTGGCAAAAGACTAGTATGGTTATGTGGTCATTTGGTCCTTGAACTTTATTCTCCAATGCAGACAAATAAAACAATATCAAGTTCACCTCATTTACAGGGTATTGTTAATTCAGTCAGGAGCCTGCAGAATGGGGGTGTTATTTGATTTGAGAAAAGAGGGTCCTGCTTAATCTCTTTATTATTTATCATGGAATGAAAAGACATGCTGTCTATCTGGATTAAAAATTAACAGTTTCTGGTCAATATGAGAGCATTGAGAACATGATAGGCAGAGAGAAGGCAAATTAAGTTTGTGTGCAAAAGGGCCATAGAAATTAGTGTAGGAGGGATAGACAGTGGTGTCTAAGGCAATTTCAATTCCACTTGCATGTTTAGTGTGAAAATATGTTTGGCAATCTGCAGAGTGGATGGCTGAGAATGGGAGAACAATGAATGTTTAAAGACATTGCTGGCATGCAAGTAACTTTTATTGTATGGCTTGAAGAGGCACTCCAGGAAACTTTCATTTCAAATGCAGATGTTAATCTCAAAATGTTTACATTTTTGTCTGCAAATAGTTTTGATGGAAAAACAAGCAAATTCAATGAATTGTGGTCCCCTTCTTTAGGTACTGTCATACTAAGTGAATGGAATGCCCTTATTTATAGCATAGTGTGTCAAATATGAACACATCATATGCCTTAAAAAGTAATCAACAAAGTTTTTTTTTTTAAAATAAGGTCAAAAATGAAGGTCAAGGTCAAGGGTCGAAGATCATAACATGCTTGGAAACATTGTTACAGGTAATGCCTGTGTCAAATATAAAGGCCCATCTCTTCTCAATCAAAAGTTATAAGGAAATATAACATTTTTGAAATAAAGTTCAAACTTCAAGGTCAAGGTAACAGGGTCAATAAATCATAGTATATTCAGAAAGGCCTTGTCACAGCTCCATATGTAAGATACATGTGTAATATGAAAGCCATATCATTTCTCTTTCAAAATTTATCAGACCAAATTAAAGTAATGTTACCTTTTTTTTATTTATAAGTAGGTCAAACTTGTTGAGTGATTATTGTGAAGTTGAGTGATAGAACATCAGAGAAATGTTTATACATGTCATCCTTAAATGATACGGAGTTTAAAAAAAAAAAACCATGATTCCCATATTAGAGAATATTAACCTGTAAACCATTCATAGGTCAGGCTTTTATGCCTATTGAATTGCATGCCAGATTCAGTAATGTTGATGTCTGATTGAAAAAGTCATGATTTTCAGATGACGATGCTACAGTCTCATCAGAGACCTCCATTGTATTTTATTTCACTCATGGAAATTTAATTTGGCTGATAACATCTCTGAATCCCTATTGTGACAGAACACACATCACTCATTCCAGGCCTAAATTGTATGACTGTTACCAGCTTCATTTTCTAAAGGCTGAGAAATATATAATTCATTAAACATTCAGCAGTTTTCTATGGTTAAATGAACAATTTAGTCATTAGTTACTCCTACAGTTCGCAAAATCATATGTCTTGAAGCTATTGGTCTAAACAGTGGTTCCCATGGGAAACATCCAGAGTGTCATTTTGAAATAAGGCTGCATTCATTTGGAAACCTCCCATGTTTAAATCGTCTTTTGATGAAGACAGACTTCCATTGAATGTTGCTTAGCAGTTGCCTGTGGATGCTCTGCATTATTGATTTAAATGTCACTCCTGAATTTTGATCCCTTGGTAGATAAAAAAAAAATAAAACACCTAAAGATGTACCCAGGTGTCGTTATCTATTGATTTATTTCAGGTTCTCAGACATTTTAGAAAAATTGTCTTTTACATTGCAGAAAATAACCAAAATTAGGCTTACTGCAATAGTACTTATAATATAACCAGCTGAATTTGGTCATTTTTGAGATAAAAAGACAAAAGTAATAGAACTGTAATGTTACTGATGCCATAATTTTGTGAAATTTTTATTCTAAGATATCAACCCAGTGCCTTTTGAAAGTGACATTAAAAAATCCAGGATTGATCAATAGATATATATTGAAAGTACATGCAATCTAGACCTCTTAACAAACGATACTCCTAGATCATGTCCGAGGATATAGGAAATGACAGTGTTTGATTTATTATACCCTCCTGTTTGGTCACTGTAAATACTTCAGAATAAGCATTGTTGAATTTAAAAAATGTTCTCTACAATGTAAATACTACAGAATAACCATCGTTAGTATCTGATGAATTGAATTTCAAAAAGATATTAACTTGGATGCCTCATGTGATGGAAAATCAATATATGTAAATGTTTCCATAGTAACATGTTAAAAGCTGTGGACTTTTTTCAAATTTTTAAATATTAAAAAGGAACAAATAAAAATTGTTGAGTGTGTATGTGTTGGTTTTGGAGAGAATGGTTTCTTGTCTGTAAAATATTGAAGTCAGAAATGATAGAGATGAGTGGCCTGGCGGAGAATGGCTCTTAAGGAAATAGGATTGATTCCTGGCACAGTGCAAGCTTTTAGATTAATATACTTCAAAGAAAATGGATTCTACTTTTTCCAATATTGCCCTGCAGTGTTTAAATCTAACTCACAATGTTCAATTCTATATGTATACATAAGTACATGTTTATGTTAGGAAATCAAAAAAAAATTATGTAATAGTTCTGAGATGACTTACCTAAATTTAAACATTTGAATCCATACACATTTATTTTTGGCTGGTTATTGTTGGTTTTGGGGATTATGTTTGATCTATGTACTAAACTGACACTTTCACCACACAATGGTCTTGTATACTGGTACATTTTTTTGCCTGTTTAATGATGGAGTAGTACAATTTCCTATGTTTAAGACATATTGCTAATTCAATAAACTTTATACGTATAGAGCTAAAGTCATCACAAATCTGTATTTAGTGTGTGACAACTGTATGATAGGAATGTTTTAGAAATTATAAAAAAAGAAAAAATGATTTCCAGTAAGTTCAGCTGAAGCATCTAAAATCAATGTGTTTTTCATGAAGCTTATTCAGTAAAACTCGTTAAGTACAAACACGGATATTGCGAATTCAGGGATATGGCGGATTTATCTGAGATCCCCAGCTATATCAAATTAACAAATTTATACAGATATAACGAATTACAGATATAGCGAAGTAATTTCAAAGGTCCCAGTGACTTCATTGTGACCAAGTTTTACTGTGATTAATAGCTATGAAAAGAATGAAGTCAATTGTACTGTAGATTAGACAAAATTTTACCCCTGTAAAAATTAAATCCCAAAACATGTTTTATTTTATTGATGAATTCTGAAAAGGTGTTAATTTTCAGATGGTTGTTTAAGACCTAGCTAATGGTTTATTGCAGTAGAAAGTTGTGTTATATGGCTCTCTAGATGTCCCTTATTGGCTGTTACCTATACTTAGAAACATTTGAGGAAAAAACTTGTGGTTTTATGACATCTGAATTTTGCAAAGTGGTCGACATACAACCAATTTGAATGTTCATGATAACAAGAAAAAAAGGACATAAAATAGTGTAAAAGTTGATTCAAGGTTTCTAATTTCTTAGGAGGATTTTAGCAAGATAAAAAAAAAATCAAGCTCAAATAGAATAATTCAGTTCCTATATATATATATATAAAACCTAAATGAAACAAAATTTTCCATTCTCATGTTTTATCACTAAAATTCAGAATGAATCAGTAATTTTTGTGGGGTTTTAATTTTTGTGGTTTTCGATGTATTGAGAGACCCACAAATTCATGACCACCAATTAGATCAGGGGCGCATACTGTTTTTGTCCTGTCTGTCTGTAAACTTTAACCTTCGCCATAAATTTTGAACCGTGAAAGGTAAAGAGACTTCATATTTGGTATGCATACTCCACTAATTTAGCCTTGTGACCTTGACCGTGACCTATATGCTACAAATAGCTTTTTCGAACCTTTGCCATCACTTTTGAACCATAGGAGATAGAGAATTCATATTTGGTATGCATAGTCCACTATAATTAAGTTCTTTCAAATGACACCAAGGTCAATGACTTTGTGACCTTGACTGTGACCTATATGCTAAAAATAGCTTTTTCAAACTTTGTTGCCTCAGGGCGGTGGGCGCATAGTGCAAACACATCTTGTTCTGCATGAAAATGATTGAAGCTCCTCATATACATATGCTACATGTTAAATCGTAAGAATTAAAATTGAACACTGCTGTATATGATGCAAGCATCCCCAAAATTGTGAAGTTATATCTACACCTAATAGTATTGTAATTTTTCTCCAGGTCTGAGATTCCTGAGAGCCCTGCGACTGATGTCCATTCCGGACATCTTGACCTACTTAAATGTCCTGAAGACCAGCACCATGATAAAGCTGTCGCAACTGGTGGCCTTCTTCATCAGTCTGTGGTTAGCTTCAGCTGGATTTCTACATCTAGTAAGACTCAAATTACACTGTATCCTGTAATGACCTCAGGTCAACACCTTAAACATTTACGGTATAATTGTACAAACATTTACAGTATACATGATTTACATGTACATTTAGCTTCAGCTGGATTTCTACATCTAGTAAGACTCAAATTACACTGTATCCTGTAATGACCTCAGGTCAACACCTTAAACATTTACGGTATAATTGTACAAACATTTACAGTATACATGGTATACATGTACATTTAGCTTCAGTGGATTTCTACATCTAGAAAGACTCAAATTACACAGTAGATAAAACTGTTTTAAGAAATTACTGGGGTACTCTAAACATACTTTTCCAGGTATTCCAAGAAAATTTTCAAATGGGCCTTTAAAATTATGCTAATCCATTAACACATGTAAATTTAAAGTCTAGAAATGTTTAAAATAATACCTGTAACATGAATAATGTTATAAATTATAAGGTTTGTACTTCTGGTCTACTGATGTTTTAATTGAATATTTTATAGATAGAAAATGCGGGAGATCCGTGGAATAACTTTGAGAATCCTCAACTTCTGACATACTGGGAGTGTATGTACTTCCTGTTGGTTACCATGTCAACCGTGGGATACGGTGACGTCGGGGCTCACACTGTCCTGGGAAAGATATTCATTGTGCTCTTTATAATGATCAGCATCGTAAGTAGTATTCCCATACCCCCATCCCCACCCCACCCCACCCAAACATAGGCACACACACACATGATCAGCATCGTAAGTAGTAATCCCCACACCCCCACCCCACCCAAACACAGGCACACACACACATGATCAGCACTATAAGTAGTAATCCCCACACCCCCAACCAGCCCCACCCAAAAACTGGCACAGACACACATGGTCAGCATCGTAAGTAGTAATCCCCACACCCCCACCCTGCCCCACCCAAAAACTGGCACATACACACACATGATCAGCATCGTAATTAGTAATCCCCACATCCCCACCCCACCCAAACACAGGCAAACACACACATGATCAGCACAAGTAGTAATCCCATACCCCCATCCCCACCCCACCTAAACACAGGCACACACACACATGATCAGCATTGTAAGTAGTAATCCCCAAACCCCCATCCCAACACAAACACAGGCACACACACACACATGATCAGCATCATAAGTAGTAATCCCCACACCCCCACCCTGCCCAACCCAAAAACTGGCACACACATACATGATCAGCATCGTTATTAGTAATCCCCACACCCCCATCCCAACCCAAACACAGGCAGACACACACACAGGATCAGCACTATAAGTAGTAATCCCATACCCCCATCCCCACCCAAACACAGGCATACATATAGCAAATGGGAAAAAATCGTGATGAAGGGTAAAATATATAAAATATTAAGGTAGACATTTGTAAGGGTTATACTTTATAGAGGTAAGTAAGTTAGAGTTTCCTCAATTATCCATTCCTTATAAACTTAATTAACAAAATGATTGTCATGTCTACGGCTTCCTGCTGATTTTGTACAGAAAACCCTCAATAATAACACAGATTGACTAAATGATTGCTTCTACCTGATTTCCTTTAAGAAGAACTTTAAGAGAATAAAGTGGGGGATAATCTTTACATTAAACACTGTTTGTTGGAAATAGATCTTTACCAATTACAAATCAAGTTATTGAATAAACATGTTTACCTTATGATTTAAATTGTATTTGACAACCATATTGAAAGAGATACATATTCATTACAGGTATAGCCCTGATATTGTGTAATTATCTGTCAAACATAATGGATTTCTCTGTATCAAGTTTGAGGTAGTTTATTAACCTAAGCAACACACACTGATAAAACGAATTACTTAAAAAGATGATCACTAAAACTGTTATTTAGGAATAGAATTGTTGCAGAGACTGGGCAATCTGTTCTGTTGTGTGGAATGACTGTTAACGTACAGCTACAGAAGAAATTGGAGTCTGTAAGGACTTGGTGGTGTAATTACTGACAAACTCCTATATCAAATCAATATAGATCCCCGTAATCCTAGCTTCTGTAGGGTGTTAAAACTGAGTGCAGTGTCAGTTCAGCTAGGACTGCCAGCTATATCTATACTGGCAAGAACAGTCACAACTAGCCCATACTGTGGATTTTTGAGCATTACCTGGTATATATTTATCATTGAGACAATATTGTTTTACAGTTGTTTTAATGAGTCCTTGTACCATTGTGAAATAGATTAAATGGAGAGGGGTCTTTGGATTTTTTATGCCCCCACACTCAACAAGCTAATTCAAAGAATTTATGTCCCTCAGTTAAGAAAAAGGGGAAAAGAAAAGCATGCACAGATCTAGGAGGGAGCATGGCATTGAAAGGGGGACAATTTAAAAAGGGCGGGCAGGGGCCATAGGGAGTTATGGTATAAAATTACAGCAAAAGCTTTAAGTTTCTTGAAATATCACCTGGAAATGAAAGTTCCACACACACACAGAATGTATGGATTTATGACCTTGTGCTTTGTCCTTTTGATCTCAAAATAAATAGGGGTCTTCCTTATGACAAAGGGAGATGTAGTATAAAATTTCACTGCAAAAGTTCAAAGACTTCTTGAGATATTGCACGGAAAAGAAAGTATTAAAACAGAAATTTTGAATTTATGAACTTGACCTTTGACCTTGATATCAGTATGGGTCTTCCTTAGGCTACAGGTAGTTGTGTGAAATATCATTGCAAAAAAGCTCAAGGCTTCTTGAAGATCGGGTGGAAATGAAAGTGTTACAGAATGAAATGCAGATGGAGAGACAGACGGATACAGACCGAAATTAATATCCCCACTTTCAGTGAAGGTGAAGGTGTTTGTTTAGAGATCTTTGTATCCAGTTTGGATTGGGTTAATTGATCTTTCTAAAGGGTGTTAAGAAAGTTCATTCCACATTTCTCTTTCATTTTCGGAAAGAAATACAATGAGAAGGATTTTAATAATTGTGATATTTCATGCTCACAGAGTCCATTCTTGCTTCTGATAAAGTTTTAACTGTCTTTTGTTGAATCGATAAGGGAGGGCAGGTATTAAAACAGATGATGTCAGAGCAGAAAAATCAGAGATGTGGCATATTTGTTACATATATTAATAGTACACAGGTCAATAAATCCTTTCATATACTATGCAAAATTTATCATGTAAGTGCAAAATTTCAATATGATAAACCTATTCTTATGAAAAGTGATTAACCTTACTTTTACATAAGCTCATCAGTTTTGTATTGTGCAATATAAGCTGTGAGGAAACAAAAATGAATAATCGTATATTTTCACACAAATGACCTGCATTTCTGTCATTTGGGTGTTTTAAATATGCTTATGAATTTTCATATGAAAGAAAAAATATATTAGCTTCCTGCTAGAAATAAATTGCTGAAAATCTAAAGCACAATCATCTGAACTTTTCAAAGTGAAAAAAATCATCTGTGTAGTGAAAAATTACTTTGACAGATTTCAAAATATTTCACCATGGAACGAACTTTCTTAACACCCCTCATATATAGTTTCTTTGAATGGGTCTTTGGAACATAAAGCATCAGACAAGGGTGGGTGTATCTTTGTAAAACTTAATTACATCTCCATGCTGGAATAATTATATATTCTTATGAAGTTATGCCCCTTTTCCAGACTGTGAGATAGACTGAAGATTATTGTATATAATAAAAATTATTTATCATATTTTATCATATGTTTACCTCTTTATCCAGGGGAAATCACTCAATGGAATTTTTTTTTTTCATATCCCACACTATACTATGATGTCACAATGGAAATGATGACGTAAATACATGCAGTGTGGATTGATATACTTAGTATAAATAATAATGATATAAAACATTGATAGTGATGTATAAATGTAGAAAATATACTGATAAAAAGAATCTCCCAAGGCTTGGGGATTAAAAAAAACACACACAACTCACTGAATAAATATCATATTCAGCCACATATCATAAAGGATCTGATATGAATATGACAAGTTTGTGTACTAGTATTTTAAAATTGTGTATCCAGTATGCCAACAGACGGAGATTTTTTCATTTAGATTTTATCATTGCTAATTCAGATAATGATTCCTATGGGAAGCAGGCATTCAGAAATTAATGATACAAACATTGTCAGAATCAATGGAAAAGCAATTATTTTGCGTTTATGATTTCTGAGTCAGTTTGTTTCTTCATTTTGCTGAATTAAATTATGTCAAGGTGTAAATAGACACACCTGTTTAATAGGAACTTTTTAATGAGTGACACATGTACCTGTATTGTTGACCCGGCTGATTTTAACCCTCCTCCCTATAAACACCCCCAGAAGGCTATACTGAATCCAGTACAGTCAAGAATAAGTTCACAGATGTGTTACATTTAAACTCGGGAGCATCATTCTCATTAAATAGTTATGTACCTACAGTAAATGTGGATTTGTGACCTCCTAGCCACAGAAATTAATGTTTTCATCTCCTTCCTTGTGAACTCAATGATTGCCAACGGAGGGATATATATTTATTATGTGTAAATGCAAAGGATCGAATTATTTTATTAAATTGCCATCTGCCATAGCTAATCTTGTACACACTTAGATTATCAAATCAATTGAATGTTGTAACAGAGTTAAGATATTTTCATCATAATTCTGAATCAAATCAATGTTGAGTTAAATATTTTCACTACCATCTAACACTATGATCTGTGAATACGAGGGTTGTCCCAAAAAGTCGTAGACAATGTTTATAACTTTTTAAGCATGCAACCAGTACTAACCAAATTTAGCATAGACATAATATATTTAAACTTCTTAAAAATAGTAAATTATTTAATATATATCTTTCATATTAATAATATTAGGACGCTTTATATGAAGGCCGATAAGGCCTGTCGGCGCACAAACAAAATTCGGAATATTTTACCAATATAACTATTACATTTGCTTTTATTTCTTTAGTCTTATATAATACATTGAACTCAAATTTAAATCACTGAAACCAGAATCAAAATTTTGATAATATGTCAAAATTTCATGTACTTAGCATTAGAAACAGACGATTGGTGTCATGATTTTCATAGTATCGTTGAAATTTAGTTTGATGAAAATGACGTCGTCAAACGCGTAACCGGCGCACGGAGATGTAATAAATTGTGTTGGATATGGTTTTTAGCTCACCTCAACGAAGTTGGGGGAGCTTATGTAATACCCTCGGCGTCGGCGTCGGTGTCGGTGTCGGCGTTGGCGTCCCAGGTTAAGTTTTTTGGAGCAGTTTTCTTTTTAAGTACTTCTATGTCCTATATTGATTAGACATGCATGGAAGATGCTTCTAATGTGTTTCATTGTACCAGTCAAAGTTTCAGATGCTGCAATTTCAGCAAAGGAATGGCCAGGTTAATGTTTTTGGAGCAGGTTAACATTTTTGGTGCAGTTTTTGGTGCAGGTTTCATTTCCAAGTAACTATAAGCCCTATGTTGACCAAACTTGCATGGTTGATACATCTAAGGATGCATACTACTGGGCTTGCTTCGGATGCTGAATCTGACCTACATTTTCCGGATGAGTGAACAGGTTAAAGTTTTTTGTGCAGGTTTCATTTCCAAGTAACTATAAGCCCTATGTTGACCAAACTTGCATGGATGATACATCTAAGGATGCATACTATCAGGCTTGCTTCGGATGCTGAATCTGACCTACATTTTCCGGTTGAGTGAACAGGTTAAAGTTTTTGGTGCAGGTTTCATTTCCAAGTAACTATAAGCCCTATGTTGACCAAACTTGCATGGATGATGCATCTAAGGATGCATACTATCAGGCTTGCTTCAGATGCTGAATCTGACCTACATTTTCCGGTTGAGTGAACAGGTTAAATTTTTTTGGGCAGGTTTCATTTCCAAGTTACTATAAGCCCTATGTTGACCAAACTTGCATCGATGATACATCTAAGGATGCATACTATCAGGCTTGCTTCGAATGCTGAATCTGATCTACAATGTACATTTTCCGGTTGAGTGAACAGGTTAAAGTTTTTGATGCATAATTCATTTCCAAGTAACTATGACTTCTTTAATGACCAAACTTGCACGGATGATACATCTAAGGATGCATACTACCGGGCTTGCTTCAGATGCTGAATCTGACCTACATTTTCTGGTTGAGTGAACAGGTTAAAGTTTTTGGTGCAGGTTTCATTTCCTTGTAACTATAAGCCCTATGTTGACCAAACTTGCATGGATGATACATCTAAGGATGCATACTACCAGGCTTGCTTCGGATGCTGAATCTGACCTACATTTTGTGGATGAGTGAAAATGTTAGTTTGTGATGAATGTATCATTTCCAGTTAACTATGAGCCCTATAATGAGCAAACTTGCATGGACGATACATCTTAATATGCACACTAATGGACTTATTTTGGATGCTGAATTCGACATACATTTTTTCAGATAATAGACCAGGTAAAAGTTATGGGTGCAGGTCAATTACCAAAAAACTTGAAGGCTTATGTAACATTGTATAAACCAAACCAAACTTGCACAAATGTTGCATCAGGAGATGAAAACTCTCAAATTTGCTTTGGATGCTTAATTTTAATTACATTTTCATGAACAACTAGTTTAAATTTTTTATGTAGGTCTATTTAAATGTATTCGATTTGCTGAAATATTTTCATTTCTGGAATGTACACTTTTTGTTGGTTAATTGTGTGACTTTGCCTTACTTAAAGACAACATTCGTTGAGGTGAGCTCTGTAATCTCTGATTACCTATGTTTTATACATCAGAGACGGGAAAAAGAGTACAGAAGTGACATTACACAACAGATTTTAATAAAGAAGTTACTTTTATATGGCACGATATTCAATGAGAGTTTTTCCTCTATACTGAAAATAGTTACGGCATGTAAGAAGTAGAGTACTGATTGTTAAACGCAGACAATTGGGAACAATCTTGACCGCGAACAGCATCAAACAACGTGTATTCTTTGCTGCCTACAATGTAAGGCGATCTTTCGACTAAATTTTTACTGAAATTTGAATCTGCTTAAAAAACAAAAAACAAACGGACAGTAGTGAATTTGAATAAGTGCCTAAGGCACTTTAATAAAAATATTGAATGTAATTTTGTTTATAGACGGACAAAGAAATCATGACATTATAAGAGACAGAATTTACGCTTGCTTTCTTGTGCCGGTGTACACTTATATTCTTTCCTTATTTTTGCATAATTTTCTTATTAGATATGATATCATCATGAAACTTGAAATGCATGATCATAAAATGTTACTTTTTGCTATGACAAGGAAAGAAATTTAATTAAGCAAAGAGAAACTAAACTGTTTTCCCTGTCTACAACTTTTTGGGACAACCCTCGTACATATAACACTGAGAGACATTGCTACAATAGCTTCATATTGAAAGGCATTCCAAATATATGTAATTAAGTGACTAATGTATTATTTTATTACTTACAATTTATCTAAAGAAATACAGGCATATTGTCATTTTATTGTGAAGTTTAGCTATAGGATACATGTACTAATTGATATACAGCATGCATGCTGGGGTTAGCTTTGAACCTTGTTTTTTGTAGTGAGAGGTCGAATAGAATACAAATCATGAATCCAAATTTGAAATAGAAATATGTATTACCTGCAAATACACATTGATGACATATTGATTTGGATGCTGAACCATTGTTCTCTTTCACAGTGTATTGGCAGTAACATATGGGAGTGTTTTTATTAAGTTCTCTGGGTTTTTTCAAACAAATGGCTATATAAGCCTGCTAGTAATGTAAATGGTTTAATAGACCAGAGACCTGCTAATTGGATTTACAAAAAAAATATGCAATGGCATTTCTGTCATAATTTTAAAAAGCATGCAATTTAAAAAATTAGATTAGCAGACTGAACTTCACATTCATATAGTAACATGGTCTCACGAGAATTCATTATTTCCATGGGGCAGATCTAAGATAATGCACATGTACAATTGATCAATTGTCAAAACATGTATATTCATCATGTTCATTTTTCAAATAAATAAAGAGTCATCCAATTAAAATGAGAACATTCATTTTTTTCTTCAAAATAAACATTGTTGTGGATATTATAAATTTTTGTAAATAAAATGAAACCAATACTTTCACTTCTAATCCCATTTTATAGGCAAGAACTCGAGATCTTCTTATGCATAGAATTGTAATGTTTGTAGTTAGATATATAGATATCTTGCATGTCATTCTTCAAATTGTTTGAATCCCAGATTTGCAAATCTTTTATATAAACATGATAAAGTACATACATGTATTTTTTGTTTACTTTTGATAGGGTATGTTTGCATCCTGGGTACCAGAAATTGCAGATATATTGGGAAGAAGACAAAAATATGGTGGCTGCTATAAAAAAGAAAGGGGTAAAAAGTATGTAATAAAGGGTAAACTAAATCAGAAATTTTTATTCTACTCCAAGATATATAAATTTTAGTCAATTTTTAAATTAAAAACAACAGTTAATGCAATGTTAGATATTCATTAGGGCCCCGGCTTGGCGGGCGTCCAATAGTGATTAGTCTGTCCGTCCGGCTGTCCGTCCGAGATCTCTTGTCCGGAGCATATCTTCTCTCTCCTTGGCCCAATCAGGCTCATACTTCACCCACAGAGTGCCTTTGGGTAGCCGGTGTGCAGTGACCTTGAAGCATGTTTCTAGGTCAAACATCAAGGTCATAGCAGAATTATATGAAAAATCCTTGTCCAGAGCATTTCTTCTCTCTCCTTGGCCCAATCTGGCTGATACTTCACCCACAGAGTGCCTTTGGGTAACCGGTGTGCAGTGACCTTGAAGCATGTTTCTAGGTCAAACATCAAGGTCATAGCAGAATTATATGAAAAATCCTTGTCCGGAGCATATCTTCTCTCTCCTTGGCCCAATCTGGCTGATACTTCACCCACAGAGTGTCTTTGGGTAGCCGGTGTGCAGTGACCTTGAAGCATGTTTCTAGGTCAAACATCAAGGTCATAGCAGAATTAAATATGAAAAATCCTTGTCCGGAGCATTTCTTCTCTCTCCTTGGCCCAATCTGGCTGATACTTCACCCACAGAGTGCCTTTGGGTAGCCGATGTGCAATGACCTTGAAGCATGTTTCTAGGTCAAACGTCAAGGTCATAGCAGAATTAAATATGAAAAATCCTTGTCCCTAGCATATCTTCTCTCTCCTTAGCCCAATCTGGCTCATACTTCACCCGCAGAATGCCTTTTGGTAGCCTGTGTGCAGTGACCTTGAAGCATGTTTCTAGGTCAAACGTCAAGGTCATAGCAGAATTAAATATGAAAAATCCTTGTCCGGAGCATTTCTTCTCTCTCCTTGGCCCAATCTGGCTGATACTTCACCCAGAGTGCCTTTGGGTAGCCGGTGTGCAGTGACCTTGAAGCATGTTTCTAGGTCAAACTTCAAGGTCATAGCAGAATTATATGAAAAATCCTTGTCCGGAGCATTTCTTCTCTCTCCTTGTCCCAATCTGGCTCATACATCACCCACAGAGTGCCACTGGTCAATGGGTATGCAGTGACCTTGGTGGAAGTTTCTAGGTCATGGTCAGAATTAGCCTCTCTGTTTAAAATCTTTGTTTGGTGCATAAATTTTTCCCCTTAATTTCAGTCAGCCTCAAACAACACATTCCATAATACATTTAAACTCAGTTATAAAGAAGTCACTGAGACCTATGAAATAACTTCGCTATATCCGTAATTCGTCATATCTGTTTAATGAATTCCTTAAATTTTTATAGCTGGGGAAACAAGATAACTTCAATATATATCTGTAAATTTGCAATATCCGTGAAGTGGTACGAAACAACTTTTACTGTAGTACACAAATGTTCCTCTTCAAAATAAACCCTTTTAAACTACCTTACATTTTCATGTTCATTGTTGAAAGCGGGGCCCTTTGAGATGGCCACCATCTCAATGATATCTAGTTGTGTCAATGTTAAAGTACTTACTGTTAAGAAACTTCAAGTAATTAAATCTGTTGTGTTTAAAATATTTATCTTTCTTTCAGGCATATTGTAGTGTGTGGCCATATCACCTTTGATTCTGTGTCCAATTTTCTAAAAGATTTTCTTCACAAAGATAGAGAGGATGTGGATGTAGAAATAGTTTTTGTTCACAAGTAAGTTCAACATATTCATGTTCACAAGTAAGTTCAAGTTCATGTTCACAAGTAAGTTCAACATGTTCATATTCACAAGTAAGTTCAGCATGTTCATATTCACAAGTAAGTTCAGTATGTTCATATTCACAAGTAAGTTCAGTATGTTCATAAGTTCAACATGTTCATGTTCACAAGTAAGTTCAGTATGTTCATGTTCACAAGTAAGTTCAGTATGTTCATCTTCACAAGTAAGTTCAACATGTTCATGTTCACAAGTAAGTTCAACATGTTCATGTTCACAAGTAAGTTCATTATGTTCCTGTTCACCAGTAATTTCAGTATGTTCATATTCACAAGTAAGTTCAGTATATTCATATTTACAAGTAAGTTCAGTATGTTCATATTCACAAGTAAATTCAGCATGTTCAATGTAGATGTGCCATATAGATATCATAGTTGCCAACTCACCCGATTTTTCAACCCGTAACCAGATTATTTTTTATGACCCAGCGGGTCATGCTTTTCACCCGATTTTTGCAGAATAACCTGAAAATCTCCCGATTTCCGGATTTGGTTCGTAAATTAGGTTGCACTTTGAACTTCCAGTTACAACCCAAGCTTAGATCTACCAGAGACGTATACGTCTCTGGATCTACGTAAACAATGCTGATGGATTAATTATCAGTGCAGGTGTAAACAATTAACTGGGTGTTGTTTTGACAAATCAATGTTTGAAGTCAATTAAAATGGCTTCCGATAGAACTAGATCATTATCAGGGCCAACAGGAACAAATTGAACCAAACACATGTCTCTGATTGAACCAAGAAAAAGAGAAGCGATATTTATGTACATATCAAGGAATCTTGGGGAAAAAAACTTTCATTCTAGATAAAATAAAGTGATCAAAGAAGTGTAGGCCTAACTTCAAATTTAAAACATGATGCAGTAGTTAATTCATTAAGAGAGAGGAAAAACAACTTCAAAACTGAAATTGGTATACTTTCAAATTTAGCAGAAACTGAAAAGGCTTTTTTAAAAAAAATGCACATTTACTTCAGGTCAATACTGAAATATGAAACCTTCAATTTTTATTTTTAACATGTAAATTAAAGCAAATTATGTATGAATTTTTTTGTCATAGTAAATTAAATCCTTTTTCATTAATTTTCAATAAAAGAATTCTCAATACACAAATACTTTGTATATATGTATAAAATTTAATCATGGTAAATTCGTGAATGTCGTTACGCGTTATGACCAGATTTTTTACTTTCCAAATCTGGTCATGACCAGATTTTTACATGCTGGAGGTTGGCAAGTATGATAGATATACATTGTGTTTGTCGTACAGATTTACTGAAGTATCATTGTGTTGTTCGGTTTAGTCATTTTGAAGCTATCACATGTTTTGGACAACAGTTTGAAATGTAAATTCAAGGAAATAAGAAGGGAGAAAAATAATCTTTTAAAATGAGACTTAGTTACTGTGCTGAGCCTTCTGGTCCATAGGCCTTTTGTTACAGTAACACACATTTTAATGAAACTAAGAAATATTTTGTTCATGATTGAGCCCAAAATGGTCAAGATTGAAGTAAAAATACTTTGTTCACTTAAACAATAAAATGCTTTCTTTGTTTGTTATTACTGGAATTAACGGAAGCAGCTGTTGCAGAAAAAATTAAGTGGGTTATGTAAATTTTTTCTGCAATAGCTGCGACCGTTAATTCCAGTAATAACAAACAAAGAAAGACATTTTATTGTTTATATTTATAACTGTTTAAATAATCGTTTAAAATAGGATTAAAAAGGTTAATTATTGTATTAATGATGCGAACATCTTTATACGTTTCATTGATGGAACAGCCACTGATCAAGAAATCTGTACAGGCGACATGCCTAATGTAGTTCATGCAGTGATTAACGCAGTGGGTTTTCTTAAGAAATAAAGGAGAAATTATTCAGTGGATGTAAATATATGCTAATAAAAAAATTTCGTTGTAAGCTCAAGTATGTTCAAGGTAGATATGAAATAGTCTGTCATCACAGATTTACATATAGAATTTTCACTGTATGTATACCTAAAACATCTTTGTTCAAGTTACTTTAGTTTGGATATTTAGCCATTGAATCCCCACTTTCACAAGAAAATTGATCCATGTGAACAAATTGTTCATTTGCCAATCATGATGAATATTTGGAGAAGATCAGCAGAGAAATAATCCAAAAGTCAATAAAAAAAAATTATTTGGTTTTGAATTTTAGAATGAATGTTACTATTGTGTCTTAGAGAAATCAGTGAGGAAGCCACAATCCCTGAATGGTGATCTCTTAATAGGGCTGTTGGGCTGTACTTAAAAAAAGGCTGCTGCTGTTGTCTTGGAATTTAATTAGACTTTCCATGATGAAATACCTGCTTTAAAGAATGAGTCTTATTTTTTTTTTTTTTTTATTGATTATTTCCTTACACCTGTTTCTTTTTTATGTTTCTCTGACAAAGAACTATATGCGGTATATTGCATATGTTTGCCCCCACAAAAGTCAAATTTTGAAAACTTCCTGAAATGTGCTGAATTCAATAAATTGTACGAGAAATATAAGTTAACAGAAAATATTATAGTTCCAGAGCAGTGTATTCACAATTTCTGTTTTTATGACGTCACAAACTAGTCCGATTTTATATCCTTTTTCAGAAAGAGGACAAAATGGACAAAATTTCAACAATTTAAGCTTTAGAATTTATAGAGCGCATGTGTGTTCAGGAACAATATTGACATATTTCATTGATATTATCATTCTACACATTATATCAAAATATTGATCCTGAACACACATGCGCTCGGTGACTTTCATTTAAAATATCGACGAAATATGTACATTTTTCTGCAAAATTCATAAAAAACTGAAATTTACGTCATATTTGTGACGTCATTACGTACATATGACGTCATTACTTATGAAATTATTCAGTGCTTTGAAGTCAGCATATACTCCTCTGTTTAAGGACTTAATTAAATATTACTCCATCAAAGTTTGATTTTGGGGGGCAAATGTTGGTTAATACCGCATATAGTTCTTTATGAAATATTAAATTTCTATACAACAGAACAGAAAATTTGGCTTGATTCTGAAGAGCTAAGGCACCAAACAATTTAATTTTTTTCATTGTCAGTGAAGATTGGGGAAAATCATTTTCTCTTCACCAAAAAAAAATATAATGTGCCCCCTCCCCTTCCCAAAAAAGGGAGAAATTGCCCATTTCTGTAACTGTTTTGGGATGGGATAGAAGTAGCAACAGACGAGCACAGATTAATTGTTTTCAAAATCTTCCAACCTCATTCCTCCCTTCACAATCAAATGAAAATAAAGTAAAATGATTTACTGTATACAGGGAAATTTTCGTCCCTGTTTTATTTTCGCCCATTTCACCCTCTTCTTTTTTGGGTGAATTTAAAACGGGGCGAATTTAAATTACACAACATAATTTCCTAAACAGAACTATGACTGGGCGAATTTAAAATGGGGCAAAATTGTTTGCAAGTGCAAAAAGGCGAAAATAACACGGGGCGAAAATAAACATGTATACAGTATATAGTTTCAGAGCATTTGATACATGACAATGTATAATCTGAAATTTTCTTTCAGACAAGATTTTCAGACTCGGAGATACCTTACTGTTAACATATTACTAATTCATTACTCATTAAACTTCTGTAGAATTCTACCTGACCTAGAATTAGAAGGGCTGCTAAAGAGACATTTCACACAAGTGGAGTTCTTCCATGGGACTGTGATGGACGCTAATGATTTGGCCCGTGTCAAGGTATCCTGGACTGTATTTAGTCCTATCTACTGTAGTGATGTACCTTCAACACCTTTCATTAAATAACCAAGAATTGATTATGTAAAATTTTGTAATGATTTTAGTCATGTCATTGAGATATTACCACAATCCATTTAAAGGATTCACAATGGTAGCATCTTATGACTATTTTTTGAAAATTTGGAAAAAACTACATATTTCTTTTTTGTACCTGCATTTTGAGGTTCAACTTGACACTTATGTCTATGATTTTAAGTTTTACAAGGGGTTATAGTAGATAAGATCAAGAGCCACTTTCGGCCTTATTTGGCCCTTAGAATTTCTGAAACAACAAAACCGATCAGTTTAGGTTTCAAATGCAGTATTTATCACTTGGAGTGTTGGTGACAACGTAAAGTATCTATTAACCGTGACGTGATTTGCCATCTAGTCAATGCATTATGACGTCATAAAATGCGTCATTTTCCTCAAATCCTGTAAATTCCTTTGAAAATGACCTAAAGTTGAAGCATTTTTTCAATATTTCATATAGAGCACAACCTCTTATCCAAAATATGCAAATACATAACGAAAGCTCTATTTCTGAAGATCAAAAAACATGTTTTATTTTTTGGATCATGGGCTGAGCTCATATTTTAATTCTTTGCTGAAAGTAGTCAAATAAGCATGTTTTCTGCAAATTTTAAGAACATTACAGTTTCTCAAACCTGTTTTCCAATATCTTGATTCTCAAAACAAAATTTTATTATAGAAAATGAAAGCACCAAGTGTCTAATTTATTTTGATAGTTAATTAATTGATATAAGTACAGGGCCATTTTATGCATAAGATGGCTCTTGCTCTTTGTTTTCTAATTATTGATTGAAGAATACATACATGTACCCTTGTACAGATGCTGAAGACCACTTTTGAAACTTGCCATAAAGGTTTTTTAATAATTAACAAGTTCTGCAATACAGCATAAAAAAATCCAGAAACATATTTAGTATCCATAAATATTTTATCATCTAAACTTCCATGATATTGGATTTTGAGTAAAAACACTTATGAATAAACTATGACCCGAAATTTCCTAAATGGGATTTTATTGGGCTGTGCTATAAAACTGGACTGAAGCTGTAATAAATTTGTGTGTGTTTTACAGATTGAGTCAGCTGATGCCTGTCTGGTTCTGGCCAATAAGTATTGTGAGGATCCCGACCAAGAGGACGCAGCCAACATAATGAGAGTCATCTCTATCAAGAACTTCCACGCTGAGATTAAAGTCATTGTACAGCTGATGCAATACCATAACAAGGTGATTAAAGCGTTTATGTGCTGGCGAACAATAGATGAGAGCTGCACAGAGCTGGAGGAAAGAGACTCCATGAAAATAAAATCTGATCCTACAGTCTAGCACTGCTCTGATTAAAGTATAACAGAATGTAAAGTCTGCATCATTTCAGTAGAGTATCAAACCTATTAATCTAATTACAAAAAAGCTATTTGCAAAATGAACCAAAGTGAAAAATAATACAAATTTTAAAGTACTTTTCAAGAGTTCTTCATATTTAGTGTTCAATGATTAAAAATAAGTCAGCTATAAACTGCCATAGTTTATGGAAATAGGTCAGCTAGCTGACATAGTTTATTTTATAGACTTGGAGTTATAGAAATGAACTGTACATGATTTCTTGTTAGTCACACTCTCTTGGGAAATTACTGAGAAAAACACTTCATCTTGAGAATGGTGATGAAATTAAATTGAAATTGTACTCAAGGATAGACATAAACTGAAGGACAGATGATACAAACAAAAAATGGATGCCTGGATTGGTACATGTATATTTTTTTTTGAACTATTAATTTCATTGCAAATAATGAAAATAATAAATTTCTAGAATATGAAGAAATTGTAAACATTCTGTAATGTTCAATATTCTACCCTTTTGAAACCATCCTTATTATTCTATACAAATATCTTTCACTTCAAATTCCATTTTTGTGCAACTTGGAATAAAAAATTAAAAACTACTCAGTGAAACTTTTTCATTTTATTCATGAAAACATGACACAAGTGGTTATTTTCAAAATTTTTGACAAAAGTTTGTATCATCTGACCTTAACTTCACTTTACAAATAAGGATAGGACAACAGTATTTGAAGTTAAAGACATTTTTTTTTAGCTACAAACAAATGGGACCACAAACAGTGTTGATTTCATTGTAGTACCTTAATCTCTTCTCTTACATTGCACACTAAATCTCATGTCTTTTGCTGTACGATCTACTCAAATCAATTCAGAAGATTCTTAAATATTTTATTTTTTTCATCATTATATATTACGTCCTTGAAATGGACACAAAGTGTTACAATTGCTACCAATGGACAGCTTTTGTAGATTCTCCAAACCTGTCAGCTCCTAAATCACAGCTTTCACATCCTTCAGAAAGCAAGTGAACTGTAATGGCATTTTGATGATAGATATTGTAATTTTCTTTAGAATATTTCTTATTATTTTGTTCATCAATCTTGTTTTATTGCTTTCAACACAATGCTTTGATGGAGAAGCTAAAAAATAATGACTTATTTCTGTGATTTATGACAGTAATAATTGCCGTGAAATAATATTGTGGAAGATTTCTTGAGAGCAAGCTATATATTAATTCATAGATTTCCTCAGGGAATATTGCAATCTCAAAATATTTCTGAAAAATGGATATACATGTACAATAAATGAAGATACATGAAAGCTTTAATTAAGCATGAGATTGACTTTGCACTGCTCATGAAATCTTTAAACTAGAGGGAGTTTGGGTATGAAGTCTTTCCATTTCTTGAACACTAAATAGTTTAGGTCTTACAAAATACATTTACGATTTCCATTGATAATTTTCAAAATATTCTTATAGTATCATGTTCTCAGACCAAAAATATTTTAAAAATCAAACATTAAATGGGGATTGGAATGGATAACAAATAAAAGAAAATCCTGTTCAATAAAGGTCACATGCAACATGGATTTTCTTTGCTGCAACATCTGTTATAATTTTTATTTGCTTGGCTAATTATTCATACTGGGCAAAGTGAAACCTGTCTCACATGAATTTTGAGCTGATCATTCATTTAAGAACTTGCAGTATCAGAGTAATATATATCTCCAGATGTATCCAAATGTCATACTTATGCAAAGCTGGTCATAATAAACTGCAGAACTTATGTGCCTCAGTAATTACAACATAGTAAGAGAGTATTGAACTAAAGTGACAGCATGCAAGTGAAGTCAGAGTATTATTCATTCCTCAGGAAAGACAAGGTTGCTTCCCATATTTAGTATGTGTTTGACAGTACATAAATTTATAAACCAGTACAGTAAAACTCGTTTAGTACGAACATGGATATAGCGAATTCACGGATATAGCGAAGTTTTTCGGGGTCCCCGGCAAAATTCTTAACAAATCTTTGTAACATTTTACGGTTATAACGAACTCTGATATAACAAATTTATGGATATAGCGAACTGATTTTGAGTTCCGTTGAGGTTAAATATAATGAAATTTACATCTTTTATAACGAATTTTCAAAGATCTCAAAATTTGATAAATTGAACTGACTTTATTTTCTTTTAGCACTTGTATATAAAATTAAATTCATAATAAAACCTTTAGTTAGTTATCGAAGGTATGTTTTATAGGATTCGCTTCCCTGACATATTAATACTTGAAGGAAAAAACATGCATATTGCGATTTCGCTGTATATGGTTTTAAGAATTCGTTATACGGATATAACGAATTACGGATAAAGCGAATTAAATTCACAGGTCCCCAGGACTTCACTATAACCGAGTTTTACTGTATGTCTTTTCTCAATCTTGCCGGCTGAGTGAGCTTCAATAGATTTATAGTTTCTTGCAATTGTAGACTAAAAACTTCATGTTATTATATCCCACGCAACAAGCTGCGGGAGGTATAATGTTTTTGACCCATCTGTCAGAGTTTCAGTCAGTCAGTAAGTCAGTCAGTCTGTCAGTCCTGTTTTTTGTCAGGGCAACTCCTCTAAAACCGCTGCACACAATTTCGTCAAACTTTGCAGATATTTAGGACACAATGTGTAGATGTGCATATTACACTAAATTTATTTTACACTTAGATTTTTGGCCATATCTTGAATATGAAGATGAACAGTTTGTCAGCGCAACTCCTCATAAACTGTAGCACAGAATTTCATCAAACTTTGCAGATATTTAGGACACAATGTGTAGATGTGCATATTACCAGGAAATTCTGATTCCTTTATTTTTTTCCGGGAATTTCAGCACTTCCACTTTTGGGGGAGTGTGGGGTATGTGAGCTTGCTCACTTTTTCTTTCATTGTGAATCAAGGTAAGTGCATGTGTTATGCATCTGAGGGGATAGATAAAAAAAAGTGAGGTTTGAATTATTTCATCTTGTTTTTAGGCTTACTTGCTGAACATTCCAAGCTGGGACTGGAAGAGAGGAGATGATGCTGTGTGTGTAGCTGAGCTTAAGCTGGGATTTATAGCTCAGAGCTGCCTAGCTCCCGGCTACTCCACCTTAATGGCAAACCTCTTCACCATGCGATCAGACAAGCCTGTGAGTTATCTCCCTTTGTTTTACAGAGATACTGGTCCTTTGTAGTTAAAAATTTCCTATAAAACCTTGTGCTTTATGTGAAATGAATGTGAACATTTTAAAATCACCAAGCTGTACATGACGTGATGTTATCCATGCACAACTTAAAAGCATTGGTTGCATCCAATTTTTTTTTTTTGGTTATGATTTTCCCTCCTTTTCTCTGTAGTCCTGATGATCAAATACTCATTTAATCTGTAAGAAAGGTAATAAAATTTGTTTAGCATGAACATTGCTACAGAAGTAACATTAAAAAATCATTTAAAGTAATAAAAAAACTAACTTACACATCAATCTATACAACAGGGCAAATTTTCTGGTTTAGAGGTAATTCACAATAGTAGCATTAGAGATTCAGCACATATTTCAAGTCTGTAGAAAAATTAGCATATACCAAGCATGGCTTAACATTTTTTTTTATTTCTTTAATTATTGTCTAGTACATATATTAGATTTTATTAGATTTAGATAGAACTTTCATTAATTTCATTTATTTTTAGTACATCATTTCAACATCATGTTCATATTCTGTTAACTTTTTTCTTCTATTTTGATTTTAATGAGATTTTCCTTATTTTCACCTGTAGAAAGGTTACTTGAGATCTCTTCATCTATTGGTAAGCAGCCATGTTGTACTCACTGAGCATGCTCAATAAGTGATGCATAAAACTGCATCTGGAAAATGGAATGGGCTATATAAAAAAAACTAACTCTGTACACTGTACATTTGCTTTAAGATATTTACATGTGTATATGTACCAAATATTGATCTGACTATAAAAACTATATCAAATCAATATCACATTATGTTGGCAAATACAGATCTTGTAAACAGACAATAGAATACATAAGTATTTTTTAAATCCCAGTATATACAATACTATTTTGGAAAGTAAAATTTCATCATTCAATTTTTAATTAAAAGTGTGATCTCATTTTGCAGTTTTCAAAGGTAGGGAAATAATGTAAACTCCTAACAAAATGCTTCCAAGTTATTGGGACTATGTATTTATCTAAATCTATCATATATCATTCATTGTCCTCATCACCATAAATACAATCTTTTTACTTCTGATTTAAAAATGAAACTGAATGTATACTTATCTCTTAAAAGCAAACCAAATAATGACAGAGCTTTGCAGCATGGGAAGTGTACCATTGTACTATGTAGTATAATGTACAGTGCCGGTATTTCAGGGCTTTATAAATTGGCTGTCCCTTCATGTGATCTGACCAATTATATCCTTTCCCACCTGTTTATTGCAGTATATTAGCTGTGGTCTAGTCAATTGCTTGGAATGGCTGTGATGACAGCAGTGAAATGGCTATTGAACTATATTGTATGAAAATTTATAATACTCATTAATTATAATAATGTGTCTTACAACAGTGTCAAATATTATGGACATGTCGGTATGAGTTCGAAGTCCTAATCACTTTTTCTTTTTGCAGTTTAACTTCTATATCTTGAAGTTTTTCTTGGTCCAATAGAGTCTATGATATTATGATGTGACTGTTCTTTATACTCCAAACAGGAACACATCTTGATAGAATTCATGAAATTTACATGTATTTGTTAATTTCTGGATAAAAATGATTTTTATCTGGACTCTGTCTTTGTGGGTAATTTTAGAAAGGAATGGAAGGAAATAAAGACAAAAAAAATGCAGCTTACAAAGAGTCATGATTGTCCAATATGGTATATTGGTATTAAATGTTATAAGAATACATTGTAACATAAGAATACTTGATTTATGTACATATATACACTATAAATGTATTCCTTACTATAGGTTGCTAAGAATCATTTACATGTGTTCAGAGTATTTTATAAAAACAATGCATGTCCATATACAGCTTGCTTTACTCTACATTCCAATTTCCTCCCTCTGCATCCTTTAGTTGTCAACATCCTTTATGTTATGTTGCTGATTCTGAGCTTTTGTGTTTACAGGCCACGGACATGCCCCAGTGGCAGTGTGATTACATGAGAGGCACCGCGATGGAGATGTACACAGAATATCTGTCCAGTTCCTTCAACTCAATGACATTCCCAGAGGCAGCAGAGTAAGATCTCAACATTCTAACAGATTTCAAACCTTTACTGTTCACTAAAACACTGAAGGACAAGAAAAATTTGATGTTGTTGCTTTTTTCAAGTCATTTTAGAATTGGTCTCCTTATAGCATTTAGAAATTGGGAGAGCTATTTTGGATTGTAAAACCAAATCCTCAAGCTATATAGGATTTATTCCATTGCCACAATAGGCAATTGCTATACCTAACTTGGAAACTACGAACCAGTTTCTGAAATGAACAATTATTGATTTTAACCATTAAGGGATTCCAATGACAAAGAGAATGACAAAATAGTTAAAAAAAACTTCAGTCTGTAATCATCAGAGACTTTGGAAGTTGAAATCAATATCTATAAATATGCCCTGATTTTTGCAGGCTTTGTTTCTCTAAGCTGAAGCTGTTGTTATTGGCAATAGAGGTCAGACAGGAAGACGGAAGGGAGAGCACTCTGGCGATCAATCCAGGGAGTAAGATAAAAATAGAAAACGCCACCCAGGGCTTCTTCATAGCCGAGTCAGCGGAAGAGGTCAAACGGTGAGAAGGGATGTTGATGTATGAGAATAAAAGTTCATGATTAGAAGGCTGTTACTTAGTTAGAAGGGTCTAACTTTTTTTATCTGTTTTCTTACATACATTGACTGCTTTTAGGGCATTTTATTACTGTAAGTCGTGCCATGCGGAGGTGACTGATGTTAGAGCCATCAAGAAATGCCGCTGTAGACCTCGTAAGTCTTATCTTTATATATAAGTCTTATATAGGTAATAACACTGCATATTTCATATTCCATAAATGCATTTTAAAGTTTTACATTTTGAATGAATGAATGATCATAAGTTCACATAATTCCAAATGCTTTTATCATTGAAAATAAATGTTGCTATTATTTATGATCATGTATAGCTGTGTATTTGTATAAAAATTATATGCAGTAACATTTGTTGACATCATGAAAGATAACATTAAATTTGCTTTTTTGTCTTTGTGAATATGATTTTTAAACATAGCATGTTGTTTCTGGGGTGTTTGAAGCTTGTGTACTAACGGTTTGACTCTTTGCTTCCCTGCTAGTGGCCCAGTTTAAGAAAGGAGTGACTGCCGTTATAGGTGAATATCTCAATACAATCTTTCTATCAATGCTCAGATATTGTCTTGTGTAAATGTTTTTTTTTATGTATAACTTTTAGATTAAAGCATTTTATATAGGAACAATTTAAGAGTAAATAACTTTTTTTCAGGAAAGTTTAGATTTATATTGAACAAATGATAAATTGTCTTTGATGTATTCATGTATACTATAGTACATGTATTCCTGAACTGTTCTGGCTGACAGCATTTCTTTTATCCTAGGTATTGCACAAATGCAACCATGTACTCATGTGATGCTTTTTTTAATGTGATTTATTTGCAGCTACGTATTATTTGTAAAAGTATTATCAATAATGATATATTCTACAAAAAGTTGCATCCACGTGATAGTACATCCATTCAGATGTATATTACTGTACACTATTCCAAAAAAATGTTTTCTCTCTGTGTTCAAAAAATTCTCAATCCTTTATTAGCAAAAAAGAAAAAAAAAACATGAGAAGTTAAAAGATTTTCATTAGAATAGTTTTAACATTAGGTCATTTTTGACAAGCAATGAGATGCCCAAGTTATACTGTAAAACTTGGGTTGGGACAGTTTACACTTTATAAACTGCAAAGCAGTTTATAAGAAAGTGTAAACTGCCCCAGCCCAGGTTTAGCAGTTTAACTTGGGCTGCTATTTATTTCATTCCTTATAATTTAATTTTTAATCATTAAGTATTGAAAACAAGACAATTTCTCCCTCAAAAACGTCTTCAAATTGTTCATATTTTAAACCTAACGTCAAGTGGATTGATACGTTTTTGACGTATATCATTGTGACGTAGGCAACCCAGATTATACAATTTAGATTAATTTTCTAGCCAATTAAATGATGCGTTACAACCAAAATTAAATTATGTACTGATAAACCTAAGTTAAGCCTCTCTATCATCAGTGGGTGTCCTCAACCTAGCTGCAAGTGAATGTTATGTTGCCTTGATTGGGTTCCTTGTTTGCATATACATTCTTAAATATTGAGATTCTGTAAATGAGGTGTTATGTGCATGACAACTGCATGTTTCTATATAAATGTTAATTATATACTGTGCAATAGATTGTATAAGATGATATTTGAATTTTAGGATTTGGGAACAAATTAGGTGAGAGACATGGAAAGTCATATCGGTGCAATATTGCATGTCCTGACACACTGAACATTTATAACATGTATATCTTTAGTTGACTTCAGATTAATTATTTTTGTTTGATAAATACAAACACAGAGTGTATAGAAAACCTTCTAAGTGATTTTATTACCTCTTGCATTGCTAAAATGTAAATCTGAGTTTAATCTAATAGTACCGGTAATTAATTTCATCATAATAAATGAATTCTTTCCACTATTACAGTGTTTTTAAAGAATTATTCTCATTTTTCTAAAAGTGGATATAAAAATCTTTTAGGAAACTATAATGGGAGGATGGGAATTGATCAAGTAATGCATTATGATACTTTTAAGAACATAAATTTTTTTGAAATTTTAATTTGACAGAAGGTTTGCCGAGATACGAAAATAATATGTTGCTTCTTATGAAGGTTTTTTGACGTAGTGATACAAGCATGCTCTGCATGATGGGGGTTTCTAAGGTTTGGTTTTACAACTGGAAAATTATTGGAAATGTAGGTAAAATGTTATTTTTGAAAGACAAAAGTGAAAACACATAATTTTAAAACACTGTCAGTTAAATTATTTATATCTTATTTCAGGTTCATTAAAACCTTATGTAACCTGCACACATTTATTGTCATTTTCACACTTAGTTAAATACAGGTTTTTTGCAATTTGATGGAAGGTTTGCCCTGCAGGGCTGATATGGATTTGCGGGGCTGATAAATATCAATATGTTGCTTCTTATGAAGGTTTTTTGACGTCAATATCACACCCTTAGTAAATTAAACCACAAAAACAGTACTTGTGATCATACACAATTTTTGGTGGGTTCATATTCTCTTAATTTTAAATTTTTGAAAAAAAGGTAAATCTTGATTTACAAATACATGTAATAATTGATTTTAAATTACGGATTGAGTGCATTGAAATAGAAGTAGAAACAAACCCAAATCGTATGAGACAATAGATCATGTATATTTTAAAACACTGTCATGATTATTTAGTTATTTCTTTTTAATTTGTTCTGTATTTTATTACTAAGTATGTAATAAATATAAAACATTTTCCATAAACCTTATGTAACCAGCACACATTTATTGTCATATAATATATTTAACACCTAATTTATTAATCTATATATAATAAAATGGTACATTTGTGCTAACTGATGCATGTTGTAATTATAGCTACTGGCAGGTTTAGGAAGTACAAACTTAATCAATCCTGGAGACAAAAAGTCAGTTCATTCCGCTATTGTGAGTGCTAAAGAAATACAAGTGAATACAAAGCTTTATTAACCTGGCTAGAAAAGAAGCATTTAGTGTTCACAGCTATAAATATTGGGCGCTGCATTAACCCTTAAAAACTTGCTTAAAGGGCTAAGCTTGGCAAATGAGTTTGGAGATGGGCATATTCTAAAACATGGCTTGATTTAGCACATTCTGACTGTATATTTAGAAATTTTGTTTTTGTACTAAGAGTTTTTATTGAAATATAGCCATGCATTAGGTTTCTTCTACTGCATCTAGTATAGAAATAATATCTTTAATATTATTTATAATCTTTACTCTTTATTAAGCTTTAGATTGACTTAGAATTAAAATTATATTAGGGGTACTTATAGGGTATAGGGTTCAATACATCAGAAAACTACATCAGTAATCATGACACAACATGATATAATCTAGAAATCATGATCCATTGTTGAGCTGGTCTTGTGTGATCTATCACTGTTATATGGATATGGTTGTGTGTTTGTTCATTCACACAGTGATTTGGTTGGATATGTATTAATTTTTCATTTGAAGGTTTTAAAAAATGCAGTACATGTATAGTATAATGAAATATAAATTTATATTCTTGGAATATAACTAGCGTTATTGAAAAAAACAAACAAATGCATCATTTTCATCATTTCTACATCATAGACACTCTGAAATGTAACAGATTTGACTTTTAAAAAAGGAGCTTAGCTTTGAGATGTAAACTTAATACTGTTAGTAACAGTTTGTTTTTACCATGTTAGTTACATATTTATCTACATAAAAGAAAACTCACAGCCAGAAAACTTTTTCTCATTTATCTCACTGTCAATGAATTGAGATTTTAGAACTCATAATTCTGATTTTGAATATATTTTAAAAGATATTTGAGCTTTATCCTTATATCTGTTTATATTTTCAAAATGAAATGTATCTGTCTATCTTAATTGTTGTACATGTATATCCATGTGATATTCAGTTTCTACGTATTTATTTGAACCATGTTTTTCTTTTGTAGCTGCAAATCCTTTACTGAGTAAGAAAGATCGACCAGCCTCAGGGTCAAAGGACAAGGCGGGGGGAAATGTCTCCAATCCCCTGATGACAGGGTAATTATGTGCTTGATCTATATTATCGTACAGGCTGTAAGGCATCAAGTTACTACAGTTATATATATAATGTAGGACAAGAAAGAAAAATTAATATTGTGTACTTATTTCACAGGGAAAATGTTGCCTCCGTTTTATTTTCGCCCCTTTCGCCCTAGCTTTGGTTGGACGAATTTAAGACGGGGCAAAAATGGTTGCAAGTTTAAAAGGGCGAAAATAAAGCAGGGTGAATATATATACCCTGTATACAGTATGCAATTCAGTTCTTTTTTTTTTTTCTTCTTTAAATACCAATACTTTTATCAAAGTCGATGAAAATATGAAATTCAAACATAATCGGTTTTGTATGATTGATTTTAAGTTTATTGTTCTGATGTTCCTAATATCAATTTTTGAATTCCTGTACAGAATATTAGAGGACATTCAAGTGGTTGAATGTAGACATACATTTCAATGTTTCCTTGAAAACAACTTTGACAAATAGTGCCAATGAATTGTTAATTTTATGTCTACTGTGTTTTTATTTTCTAGAGAAAAGAGGATATCATTTTCTTTAGGCAAAACTGAGAAACTGACCAAGCATATGTCTATGAAGGGTCCGCGACTTGCCATGTAACTAGGTTTTGTCTGGCATGTGTCTTGTCCCAGAAAATTTACTGCTTACTAATAATACAGAGATTGGCTTACTTTGTGAAACCATTGCATCCATTTTACTGTGTATAAGTCAATGTTTCTTTATTCTTAGTGATGGACTGGAAAAAAACTTGCGTTATAGATAGGTCAATACTTACAGCATTTGTATTTAACATGCTTCATGATTCAGGATAGATGAATAATTGAATTAATTTGTTAAATAGCATGCATATGTTTGAGTCCATGGTCGATTAGTTTTTAGCTGGCTTATTGGGTTCGCAGTTGATCATATTCAGTTTATATGAAACAGTAACTTAGTGTAACAGATATCAAATGATACCCTCCCCAAAAAAAAGAGAGATTTAAAAAAAGCAGTCCTAAACTATAGTTGTGTTATCCATGGATTGTGTTCTAGGAAAAAAATGAATTAACTTGTACTTGTACAGTGTATTTTTCTTCTTCTGTTGAGAGATTTAGATTGTTTTTATGTTTTAACTAATATCCAGCTAGTCAATACTTAGCCTGATGTTGATAATGTGTTAGAGGAGCATGTTTAGCAAACATTGGGAAAATCTTAGGAAGCAAAGAATCTCTTATTAAGTAACACTTGTAGATGCTGAGCTTTATTAGAAACTACATATACTAAAAAAATGTCACATAAACATATTCATATAGGGTTTCTGTTTTCAGAAAAATCACAAAATTTTCGTGGGAATCAATAATTGTTCCTTACAAAATGCCATGTAAAACCTAGTGCAGTCTAATTTAACCTTGTAATTTGAGGTGGCTTGTTTTGTTCTATATTTCCCTGTACCTGCTGGTAAATTGAATTGCTCGTTAATTATTTGTGCATTGTTTGTATTAATCCACAGGGCCATAGCAAGCTTGTTGTCAAAATCCAAAGAGAATCAGTAAGAATTGGCACTTTGTTTGTGGGTCTGCATGTTCATTATTGTCACTACAGGAACTTGATCATGCCTCCTTCAGTGCGTCATTTTGTTTAAAATTCTTACAGTTTATGTTAAATTGTAAAAGGCCGTATTAATCTATGAAGACAATTAAGTTTCCAGACCAGAGACATTAGAAAAGGAAACTTTATTTTTTTCAAATTGATGACCAAAAATATTTTTATAAAAAATGCAAACATAAGCAAAAGAAAGCTGTCAGAGAAAGTTTTATAAGAGTACCTGTGAAACACAACTGGAATTTCATCTTCAAAAAATTTGATTCACTATAATCATAGCAAAAAGAAGGTGAATGTATTGAAAAAAAAATCAAAGGCATTATTTTTCCAAACTGGTCTAAATATAACTTTTTTTCACGTTCTGAGTATTCAAAAGTGTTTGTTCAGAGGCAAGTTCCTTTGTTGTCAAAATTAATGTGGAATAAATGAATGCATTTTCTTTGAGGCATGACAATGTGTATTACCATTGATATTGAGTTTTACTAATTCATGTACATATTATAATTACCTATGCATTCAGTTTTGGAACAGCAAATTGAAAGAAATAATGAAATAAAATTACTATTTTTTTCATATTAGAAAGACACAGTGTATTGTAAATTAAGTAATGCACACAGAATATGATTAAATTTTTTTGTAAGCACTTTAGTTAGTCCTAAAGTTTTACTTTGCAGAAAGAATTTTGAGCCAATTAATTTCAAGTTTTGGGGATTCCAGAAAAAAAATTATAGGGAGAAGGCAGTATAAAAAAAATTCTGCCATTTCAGTATTTTAAAAATGATTAATCTCCTGTTTATCTAGATATGTGAAGATCTAGACTTTTTAAAATTTTGAGCTTTTGGTTTGGTTTTTAGTGCAATTTCAATTAAATTTTCAGGTTAAACTTTTAATTTGTTGGGTTTTACTGTACGTGTACTTAAACAAGTGGGCTTCATATTTTAGCTGCTTTGTTGCAAACATTGATGCGCTAATTCATGAATACCACTAAGAAATCATATATGAATACAATATACAGTGAAGAAGTGTGTAGTGCTAATTCATGAATATGCCATAACTCCATATCTAGTACTTGCACTAAATTTTGAATACACCAATTTATGTACATGTACAGTATTTTGAAACATTTTCACAAATGACAATTGTTTCAATTTACATTACACTGTCATACAAGAAACTAGCATATTTTAATAGGCACCAAATCTTGCTCAATCTGGATCGTATATCTCATATTCTTATTAGATATATGTGAGGAGTTTTATTATCACGCAGTTTTGTGATACGCATAATAGTTAATACACAAAATAAAATAAATCACTTTTATTCTTTATTGATGAGAGACATGTACATGTTAAAACTCTAGATTAACACTCCAGATGTGAATGATGATCTGAAGTCAGTGAGTCATTGTGTGATACATGTGTTAAGTACTCCTGTTAAACATGTTAAATATGGAGTCTACAGAACTTGACAATTTCGCAGTATAGTACTTAATATAATATTCTGCTGTACTATTTATAGGCCAACCACCCCCACCACCGCTATCCTCCCGACCCTCACACAAGATCCTGTGCCCCAAGACACCAGCGTAGCGCCGGGAGAGGAACCCAGGAAGTTTGATTCCACGGGGATGTTCCATTGGTGCCCAGCAAGACCTCTCATTGAGGCCAGAATGGTGGGTTCTACTCAAAAAAATCATTTAGAAATGCATATGTCTATCTTACTTAGCAGTTGTTTAAGTTTAGAAATTGAGCATCATGTACAACAAAAGTAAATCTAAAAATATATATAAAAAATACATAACAATAAATCCATGCATATAAGTTTTTGTTTGTAGCTAGTGTTTAGGAGAGAATAACAATTTTTTTAGCCAGTCAAGAAGTGTCCTAGCATACAGTGTTACAGAATTTTTTTTTTACAAATTGAGTGTACATCACTGGAGTTGTTTCCTCTGCTTTATAAAATGGGTGCAGTTGCTGGTATAATTGGTGTATTGGTGGTGCATTATAAACACCTTACTGTTGATATATGCTTATATTTTTTTTAAGCTAGAAGAATTCCAGTTACTATATTTGATTTTATCTGAATACTCTGAAAATGTGACCAAATGTTTCACTAAACATGAAAAGAAGTATATTTTACCTTTAGCACACCGATGTTGAAAACATTGGCGAGAAGGCCATTGTGAGTAGTGTATTCTTCACTGTGTGACTGTATTAACTTTCCATGTGCTGTAATTTAAGCCTTCAACATTTCTAGTAGTGGATATAAATATCCCCACCAGATTAAAAAACTGAAAAATGTTAAGATCCATTAGTACTTTCTTTAACTTAAAACTGAAAACTGAATAATTAAATTTGCTGTTCTATCAATAAAAGTTACAATCATATTGAAAAATTTCAAATTACAAACTTTCCTGCCTAGAAAACTGATGATGAAATTGAAGGTGAGAAACCCAAAGTAAGTAGTAGACTTAATTTGTACACAGTGTGAGTTTTTGGAGTGTGTTACAAGTTCTCAAGAGTTTTGATTTTCATTTCAGAAAAATTGTACATTTGAAATGCTCATATTGTAAAATGATCTAATTCATCACCTCAGTAACTTAAATTTGTTTAGCTTTTTGAGGATTTAAAAGGTCTCTATCAGTGTGCACATCTTTTGTCAAGGAGGAAAATAAAGTCCAAATATCAAACAATTCTGACTTTTCAAATTTGGTTGAGACTATTTGGTAGAAAATTGTGCATATTCAATTAGATTATTTCTGATGGATATGTTTTCTAGATTTAATGTGCTCAGATTTGCTGTGTTTTCTCTTTTGAGTTGATCAATGCCTTTATCAAGAGGGATTTCTATTCTGTTAATGTTTAAGAGCAAATACATGCACTCATGCTACATATTGCAGACAGTACTGTAAAATAATGGTTGAATTTTATGTTCTCATAAATTTAGTAATCGTGTGGTTTGAAAATTTATTCATTAATATTCAAATGAATAGCAAATATATGCTGTCTCCCAATAATGTACATGTAATTAAGAAGCAGAGGAAATATGACAGGCAATTTTACACAATATTTGAGCAAGTTTATAAGGAAAAAAATCTTTAAAAATCTCCTCCAGGAATAGGAAAGCCAAATTAGGCAATTTCAATATCTCCTTGTGGTATAAATTCAAGGCTGGTTGAGTTATAACCCCATAGGGCTACCTCAGAATCACAGTATGGGGATAAAATGAACATCAGAATATACAGAAAAAATCTGTAAAATTCCCCTGTTTTAATGGTAACAAAATTTAAGTGCTTTTCACACTGCTTTTCTACAATAGTTTGTGTACAAGCTAAAATTGACAAAATAATACATTTCATTTTTAAGACTCAAATGCACTAATTTAAGAGTGTGCTAATTAAATGAAGAGAAAGATTGAGCTTAATTTGATCGCAATGAATTATTTACATTTATAGTATTCAGGTAAGCAATTTGGTCCATGGGCCTCTTGTTTTGAAAATAGAAAGGTCATATTGTATCATTGCTATGTCATAGTTTATTAAACAGATGTATTCTTTATCAACTGATAAATTACGGAACCTGTATTTCATTTATGAATTATTTAAAGTTCTGAAATTTATAAGATATCAAGGAAAACAACTTTAGGTTGAAAATTCCATAGATCTGGAAATTTTACTGTTGATAAATTTTTAACAATTTTGTGCATTTTGACCCAAATTTGCAATAATAAATTAGCATAAAATTTTTCAGATTTATGGTATTTTAGAGATATTTGGATATGTTTCATAACTGATGCACAACTTTAAGAGCTGCATATATTATACTATGTTTTAAATTTGTTATAAGAATGTTACATTTGATGATTGATTTTACAGGACCGGGATAAAGCCTCCGCCACAGTCCTATGTAACCACGTGGTGGTGTGTCTCTTTGCGGATGCTAACTCTCCATTGATTGGTCTGAGGAACCTAGTCATGCCACTACGAGCCAGTAATTTCCACTACCAGGAACTCAAACATGTAGTGATTGTGGGAAATCTGGAGTACCTAGAGAGGGAGTGGAGAACACTACAGAACTTCCCCAAAATTACCATTCTAGCTGTACGTATTGAGATCAGTGTGAAAAAGTTGAATCGTACTTTTACCTAGAATTAGTCCTCATAGTCCTTATATATATTTGCTCCAGTGATTTGCTAGATTACATAGCAATACTTTTGAAGCTACATTCCTCTATAGTAACTTCCAGGGGCTCGTTTTACAAGGAGTTTATGTCTATTATAAGACTAAAGTTTATTGTAAAATTTTGCAAAGTTAATTATTATACCTCTACTGATTTTTTACTATATAAAAGTAAATCGATATATTTTGCTGATTTCCTGAAAATCACCGTGAATAAACCGATTCCCTGCAAAACAGACTCGATTCCCTGAAAAAAAAGTACGTTTTTTTGATGAACTGATACACACCTATTCGGAACACTTAGCATTTTCTTTCAACTTACGACAAATTTAAAAATGTTCCGAGTAAACTCATGAATATTCATTAATGAATCGAAATGCATCGCGAGTCATGGTCCCATATCAATCAAAAAGAACCAGTTTACTGGAAGCGAACGATAACAGAAATATGGCGAGCTCTGATTTGCGTAATGTGTGTCGATTTTACTTAAAAACTCGGACAATGAACTGATTTATTGATAAAATGGAATTTCTTTCATGACTGTATTCTGTTTTTGTCGTATTTTTTATCTATTCCTGTTGGAATTAAACATTGTTACAGAATACAGTATTGAACATAACTTTTTCAAATGTCTTGTTTGTATCGGTATAATAAAACAGTTAAAGTATATCATTGAGGGAGTCAGCAAGATTCCAGTTCCCCTCGAGCAAGCCTATTTCCCTCGGCGCAAGGGCCTCGGGAAATAGACTTGCTCTTGGGGAACTGGAATCTTGCCGACTCCCTCAATGATATACTTTAACTGTATAATGATTTTGTTTAAATTGATAGCATAAAATTATCTTTACAATACATATATTTCTAAAGGAATAAAACCATTTTCTATTAAATATGATTTATATTTGTATGTTCTTTATCAGGGTTCTCCATTGAACCGAGCTAACTTACGAGCAGTGAATGTGAATCTCTGTGATATGTGTGTGATATTATCAGCCAAAGATAAGAACTTGGACGATCCCCATCTAGTGGACAAAGAAGCCATTTTATGTTCCCTCAACATCAAGGCCATGACCTTTGATGACAGTATGGGACTTATACAGGCCTCCGCACAGCAAGCACCAGGTAAATGTGCCTTATACAGGTCAATTAGCAAGCACCAGGTAAATGTGTCTTATACTGGCCTCCGCTCAGCATGCACCAGGTAAAAGGTCTTATACAGGCCTCCGCTCAGCAAGCACCAGCTAAATGGTCTTATACAGGCCTCCGCTCATCAAGCACCAGGTAAAAGGTCTTATACAGGCCTCCGCTCAGCAAGCACCAGCTAAATGGTCTTATACAGGCCTCCGCTCAGCATGCACCAGCTAAATGGTCTTATACAGCCTCTGCTCAGCAAGCACCAGCTAAATGGTCTTATACTGGCCTCAGCTCAGCAAGCACCAGGTAAATGGTCTTATACAGGCCTCCGCTTATCAAGCACCAGCTAAATGGTCTTATACAGGCCTCCGCTCATCAAGCACCAGGTAAATGGTCTTATACAGGCCTCTACTCAACAAAGCACCTGGTAAAAGGTCTTATACAGGCCTCCGCTCAGCAAGCACAAGGTAAATGGGTCTTTTAAAAACAGGCCTCCGCTCAGCAAGCACAAGGTAAATGGGTCTTATACAGGCCTTTGTTCAACAAGTACCAGGTAAATGGGTCTTATACAGGCCTCTGCTCAGCAAGCACTAGGTAAATGGTCTTATACAGGCCTCAGCTCAGCAAGCACCAGGTAAATTGTTCTTATACAGGCCTCCGCTCAGCAAGCACTAGATAAATATACAGCCCTCTGCTCATCAAGCACCAGGTAAATGGGTCTTATACTGCCCTCTGCTCAGCAAGCACCAGGTACACATGTACTTAGTTTAGTGGGTGTCCATCTTTGAAAAAAAATAATTATGTAACAGTTTTTGACATCTCTCTACAAACAGAGGAATTTTACATTACAAATTCACCAGTTACTGGCTATGCAAATGAAGAATTTTAAAACTACCTCATGTAGCTTAATATTTGTTTTAGTTTTGATGGGGATATTTATTGTTTCCTATCTTGTATTTTAGGGTTTCTACCCCCAGGATTCTCCCCCATAGGAAGATCTAAGAGGACCAGGAGGGGGTCAGTGTGTGGATCCAATGTCCCCCTCATCACAGAACTGGGTACACTTCTTATCCTCCATGTGACCTGTTATCCTCTGTCTGCAGATTTTATTTATTTACATAGTAAAATGCTATAAGATGGTTGCCTATTTTGAGCTGAGTCACAATAAATATATATCAAGTTCAAATCTTTTCAGCAATTTTTGACAGGAATTCAGCAAATATCAGAAAGAAATACCCATTGCTTTTGCAGTGCAATCGGAACATCTTACTGAAATCATTTATACATCCAGGGAATATAGACTTTATTATATGTTTCTTGTATTGATCTGAGTTGACATGGAATGTCTTACCTCTGGATTTTAATTTACAGCGAATGACTCTAATGTACAGTTTTTGGACCAGGACGATGAGGATGACCCGGATACTGAGCTGTACATGACCCAGCCGTTTGCCTGTGGAACGGCGTTCGCTGTCAGTGTGCTGGACTCACTCATGAGCACAGTAAGCAAAAATATTATCCTCATCAGGATATTTCTCTTCTTACTAGTTTTTGTAATATTTTGAATGAATTATTCTTGTAGTTGAAAGGAAGGCAAATTCTTGTTTCTTAACATTTCTAGTAAAATGGCAATTTAATTAAGGTATACCTTTGAAGAAATTCTGTTTTAGTTTCAATATCTGGAAATGAGTACACAGTTAACTGACTTGCCTAGTAATCTGACAATTGTGATATTTTTAATTAATTGATGCCCTGTAATTTAATAATTGTACTATTTGTAATTAACCTGTCATTTGTTGTAATATATTTGTAGAGTTATTTTAACGACAATGCCCTGACTTTGATACGGACCCTGATCACTGGAGGTGCCACCCCAGAGCTGGAACAGATCCTGGCTGAGGGGGCGGGGATGAGGGGTGGGTACTGTACCCCCAGTGTGTTAGCTAACCGGGACAGATGCCGTGTGGCCCAGGTCTCTCTGTTTGAGGGACCTCTGGCACAGTTTGGGGTAAGTCTAACAACTCCAGGTGAAGGACAGTCCGAAGCTTGTTACAGTAAAACATGGTTATAACGAACTTGCTAATAATGAATTGACACTTAAAGTGAAGCGATTTTCATTCCCCTTGGTTTTTTATGTGAACTGAACAGATATAATGAACTACGTTTATTATAATGAAGCAAAATCATCCATTTCTGGCACTTCTTTAAAAGCATGTTTTACTGCATTTGGTTTAATTTAGTTCATCCTGCTTGGAAAATGAAATGTAAAATATACATGTTATTAAAAGAAATTCAGATTAAACTGTCTTTGAAGCAATCACATCTGTGGGTATAACTTTATGTAAGAGTTTCTTTGACAGGAGGACGGTAACTACGGTCAGCTGTTCCTGTATGCTCTGAGGAACCTGGGAATTCTGTGTATCGGTCTGTATCGCTTCAGAGACACCAACGAATCCTCCTCTAGTCCCTCATCAAAGCGTTATGTGATAACCAACCCCGCAGAAGACTTCAAACTTCTACCGACAGATCAGGTAAAGCCAAAGAGGGATAACTCCTACACTGGTTAAGGAAACTACTAAATTGTCTCAGGTTTGGGAAGTGGTGTTAAAGATTGCACAAATGAAAAGTGAAATATTTTCAAAAATATCCTCTCTATTTTCCCAATTCCAAATAACTTGAATTTCCTTTTATTTCTGACACATTAAAGTGAATTTAAGCTTGCTGGTTTACCATCTTTTGAATGCCTTGATTGAGTGATATAAGATTAAGTACTAAGATGTTGATGTGATATTGGATTTGTTGATTTTTTCCCTTCCACCCTCAGGTTTTCTGTCTGGCTCCATGCAATCTGTCACAAAGTTCAAATTCTTCCCAAAAAGACAGAAGTAAGACCACCAATGTGTTTTAACATGTCCAGAACACTTTGCCACTGTTGTCCCTTTTGTGCAAATGTTGTCAATAACAGTAGCTTCGCAACAGACAAATCTTCAAAGTGGACAGATATTTATCAGAGAAAAATTCTAAGATAAATTCAAATTCAGCATTATGAAATTTCTAAAAAAAATATTTATTCTTAATTTTTTTTCTAGGAAAAAGAAAATCTAATAAAAAAGTGCCAAAAGTTAAGATGAAGAAAAAAAAAAGGCAATTATCATGACATTAATCACTGTTTTGTTTTGAAGAAAATTAAAAAAAATCAAAGATTGATTGTTCACTTTCTTAATGATGAATACACAGTGGCAGATGTTTGAATTCTCATTGTTGAGCCTGTAGGTTTGCTGGTTTGCTTTGTGGTGTGTTGAACAATTCACCCCTCTAGATCCACTCCTGATAGTCCCTTCAGTCTGTGATAGAGGATGAATTAGCCTCACCCTTAGCTGTTTGATGCAGTAGATACTCACCAATTCACCCACCTAGAGTAGACAACACACGCAAGGCATCACAGAATGATCTACGTAGAGTTGATAAAACGTAATAAAACTTTAAAGAATTAATGTAATTGATAGATTAATAAGATTATAAAGTATGGTACTGTATAGCTTATAATAGTGTGTGGGGGGGGATGGATTATATAGTTGATAACTAGGGGAACCCTAATTGGATTATATAGCAGGTCATGGGGTTCCCTCATGGATTTATATAGCTGATACATGGGATATCCTAGGACTATTTATAGCTGATAATGGGGATATCCTAAAACTATATATAGCTGATAATGGGGATATCCTAAGACTATATATAGCTGATAATGGGGATATCCTAAGACTATATTTAGCTGATATGTCCGATTTATAGGCTATATCTATAATATATGAATGGTATTTTATGGGAGTTAATCTCTTGTCAAAAAAATACATGTCCGACTTATAGGCAGACCGACGTATAAAATATATAGGTATTATATGCAGATTATCTTGATTGCTTTATATGTATAGCTTATTAAATACAACCGACTTATAGGCGAGTATATACGGTAATAATTGCAGATTATCTTGATTGCTTTATATCTATAGCTTATATGGTAGGGATACTCAGATGGCTTTATATAGTTGATAATGGGGGATACTGGCTTGATAGTGGACATGATAACCTCTAGCTTTATATAGCTGATAATTTTTGATTTTTAGCAAATTTGCGATTTCATTGCATTCGCAAAAATATTTTTCTATATATAGCTGAAATTGTAAACAAAGCAGTGGTCATTCGCAAAATTTTAAAGCTATATATATTAATAATGGGGGATTTTGACCTTAATGGCTCGCAAGGTTAAATCGACATAAAAATTTCCAGATCTTCATATATGTTTAGATTCAGAGTAATGTTCATTTTTACAGAACTGGCTGGTGAATTAAGCTGTATTTTACTAGTAATTTAAATAAGAGATCAGAATGTTATCTTGAAAAAAAGAAGATTTTAACATTCCCTGATTTAGTTCACAGTTTGTCACATAGTGTAATGTAAATTTGTTAAAAACCAAAAAAGGTATAAAATTCTTGTCTTGTTTTAAAAAAAATTCTTGAAAAGAGAGGAACACTTTTCACTTATACAAATCAAAATATTTTAAATGTAGCCCTTATGGCTAATGTTTCCAAGTAGGGATATCCAATTTAAAATGAACATAGAGGGAAAACAGTGTTCTTCTCAAGAACAGGGATTAGTTGATATGTTAAAACACAATTCAAAGAGCTTCAAGTAGTGACAGATTATGGTTGAGGTCGCTCAGGTAAGTGTTGTGGCCTTTGAACCTCGTATACCAGTTATAAACCGTATCCAAAGCAACCTGTCTATATAGAAAAGCAGCATATAGTTCCCGAAGGTATATATTGCATGCTGCATGATGTTGCAGTGTTGAGATTCTCTGGAATGTTGACCATGTTTATAGTTGTATACCAGCCTTTGTATGTATAACCCAGAATCATGACAATCCTCCACTGACATCCCAGCTCACACTTTATAGTTCCTTCATTGGACATTTACAGCATCCCCTGTTGGAAATTTACATATTATCATAATGATTAGTGATATTTTGTATGCAGTATTTCTATTAAAAGTATGTACAAGTATTTTAAACTTTTGAATTGTAAATGCCTGTTGCAATAAATTGCTAATTCTCCTTCAATCATTTCTGAATTCAGGTTATGTATACAGTGTAATAAAAAGTATCATTTATCAAAGTTTTATAAATACAAATTTTTGGGAATCAAATGAAAAATGGGAAAAGTTCAAGTAAAATTATATTAAGCATTTCATTATGACAGGTGTGGGGAAAAAAACTTGAGGAAGACTTTTTTTGGAAACATAATTAATTTTAGCAGAGGAAAGTTAATGAATATGTAATACATTGTATCTATAAACAGTATCTTCCTCAATATTTCATTATTTTCTGATTTTGGGACATATTTGTATAAAATTATGTCATACATCCAATGAAATGCTCATTCTTGTGTTCTCCAGCTCTTTTGCCTTCAGCCCTTCAAAACAACATCGAGCGATCAGCCTACAAGACAAGAGAGAGTGGAGGATGCTATACTGAAGCTAAAACGTGACATCAAGCACAATGTCCTTAACACCCAGGGGAGAGAACTCACAACGACGGCGTAATGAACTGCTAGTCAACGGCTGTGCTCTCACTTCTTACATGACATTAACTGTGTGTGTGTACTGTACATCGTGTGTAGATTCTGTCCTCACCTTGCTCACCATTGTTAGTGTTATAAAGAGACACAGACATTGTTTGTTGTTTGAGGGTTTGACCCTAAGTTACATTGTAAATGTTGCCTGTTCTTTTTTATAAGATGAGTTTGTGATAGTACAATGATAACAGAGAAGAATTTGAATAGACAAGGAACCTTTGTTGATGGAAATTTCTACACATTTTTTTATAAACCTCAATCAGTATTTTAATCTTAACCAGTTTTATAGATGTGTTTTAGACTGTGTCTATTTGTCTTCAATATGTCTGTACATAAATTTTCTTGCTTTGATTCTTTTTCCAGGATGGCAATAATGTGTGCACAGGTGTCTCTTTGTATTAAGGGGGCCGACTATAGTTTTATTGTGTGAAAACTACAATAGCGAAACTCTTTATTTTTATACCGTATATAACTTACATTAACTTCAGTGTACATCCAAAGTTTGGGGGAAATCTACCGTCCAGGTATTTTTGAGGGACCGTCTCAAAATACAGGTACATTTACTATAGGATTATATAGGAAAATGCCAATTTTTAGCACTTTAAAGCACATTATACAAATACTACAATAGACATTTTGTTCAAACTATAATATTTGATGAGTAATACTATATTATACAATATAAGTAAGAAACACACAATTCTACCGTCTTGTTAAGAGGGGGCATGTTAGCAAATCTTACTATTTTTATAGTATTACAAAATATGACGTACACAATGGATTCACATCAAAACATAATAAAAATATTGGAGATATTCTCAAATTTCTATGTTTTAAATTTCAAGAGTGTATGTTTATTACTTTTTCCTTAATAATACTTTTATTACCCCTTTCTTTAAGAGCTACAGATTATCATAACGTCAAAAACACACTGCAACGACGTCAACCTGTCTATCAATTGCAAAATCGGTTAAAAAATCAGTTATATGAAATTGTAATTATATTCTTATACCTATAATTTCTTAATTTTGTTTATTTTTCATAATTAATCAAAAAAAGTTGCATTAAAACGATAAATACTCTTTATTTTACTATGATGCGCGAAATATTGCACAATGGAAACTATAGTCGGCCCCCTTAAAAGAGAATTTTTTTCTCTTTGTTATCAAATTCAGTGCAGAACCAAGTCTTAAAAATAAGAGAATTTATTGAATATTTAAAAATACAAACTTAAATTTGTTTTTGTGTATGATTATCTTTGATCATTTTATTATATCTTTATATGGAGCTCTTCTTCTAATGGAGATCAAAATAGTCTAAAAATGGCCATGACCACCCAGCCTCTTTAAGTATTAAATTTAACACAGTTCAATGTTTGCAGGTGTTTGGGGTGATTTTAATTTACTTCTTATTGACATTCGTTTTATATGTACTATAAAAAGCCTTTGTTAGTGTAGTGTTAAATTTTTGCAAACATTTTAGCTCATTTTAAAAAATTTGACTGTTGTTATCAAATTTTGAGTCATAAATGTCAAATGGATGGATTTTGCTTATTCTCTATTGAGGAATTTATGGCAAGTTAAAACTCACCCACAATTCTTCATGGAGAATAGGATTGGGCCATCATCTGTAAAAATAAAAGTGGGAATTGACATTTTTTTTTTCATGAAGGGGAAAGATGATAAAAAGTAGATTAACATGTAGCAAAAGTAGTATTTTGACAAGAAAATTTTCTGGGCTGATGGCTTTTGTTTTTATACTGGAGGTATTTTGTTGTTATTGTGCCCTGTGGATGATAAATATGTCCATCATAGACGACCCCAAAACATACTGATGACCCAGTAAATGTACTGACTGTGATACCAGGTTTTTTGTCTTCTATTTTTATACATTTAAATGTTACCTTGTCTATGTGTTTGTCCTTTAACATTTAGTAGAGAGTTCTTATAGAGATAGATTTGTTGAGATTTTTGTTATTGATGGCATATACTACAGTATTTTAGGGTAAATCATGCAAGGCACATCAGATGCAGATCCCGGATTTTGTATTAGGGGTGGGAACTATTTGATGACAAGGGGTCTGATTTTCACCAAGGTCCCCCTGGGTCCAGGGCAGTGCTCATTCAGTGGCCCTTATTTTGTCTATCAATCTCTCTCTTTAATTTTGAATATAACTTTTGACTAAAACTTTTGTTTATATGAATAGTTTATAATGTTTCTCATACTCAAGGTTTTTATTTGGTATAGAATGTGTCTGTATGTTTTGTTTGTTTGTTTTTTATTTTATTTTATTTTTTTTTTTTTTTGGTCACAAATGAAATTATGTTTGTTTTCCTGTTATTGAGAGTCTTGTATTTTAAATTATTAAACTTCAATAAATGTTATTCACAGTATTGCATCATTGGTTGTTATTACATGTGATTGCATATTGAAATATTCACTAAAATTTTATCATGGGGTCAAGAAGTGGTTCAAAATTTTTACAAAATTGAAATTATGCGGTAAAGTCTGATTAGTCAATAGACAAAGAGTATTCTCCTTAAGGTGTTTGGGGTCAGTTTTATGTTTTCTACTGCCCAAGGCCAAGGGAAGAATGTTCTGTTCAATTGATTAATTAGACATTATTAAACACTTTTATTTCGTACTAGTAATTGTATCAGCTATTTCATTTAAAAGCAGTAGCTTTATAGTTCTTTGAAATGCTCTATTATCCCGACTTGACGGGCGGGGTTATATGTATAAGTGTGAATTATGAACAGATAACCCATACATTTAACAAAAAAAATCACACCTAACTATGGTACAATGTTAAAAGTACGATATATGCCTCAATCATTTCTGTATTAAACTAGAAATATTTCCATAGGACATGAATGCCCCGCCGTATATTAGTAACGCAACATGACAATGTATATAAGTGTAGGAAGTTTGACGAGAATATCTTGAATAGTTTCTTTGACATTGACATTGACATCTAAAAAGGGATACAGATGATAAATTCTCACCAAATTATTTATAAGTGCATAGTTTTACATAAAATATCTTAAATTGTTTCTTTAAAACTAACAACACTTTTTAAAAAGTGCGGTCAAGGTCACAGGAAAATGCAAGGCCAAAATTTTTGATACAGTTGAAAAGCTACTACCAATACATATTAGTATATAAAGCTTAAAACGGAGCAAAACACTTTATTTAAGAAAAGTGATGTCAAGGTCAAAGGAAACGTCAGCCTAAAAAAATTGAAGCAGTGAAAGGTATATACATGTATTAGCATACGAACATGACGAAGATTGATTAAAATATCTTGAATTGTTTTTTTAAAACTGTGTCCCCTGCATTGCGCAATGAATAGAGCGTCTGCTCTAAAACTGCAAAGCAAGGACTTGATCCCTACGTCGCGGGTTCGAATCCCACTGTGGGACGTGGAGACCGGTGCTTCGGATGAGACCGTATGAACCGAGGTCCCGTGTCGCAGTAGGTGCTTGTACGAAAAAGATCCCTCGCTGCTCAATGGCGGTAAGTGCCAAGTAAAGGACAAAATTTGCAGCTCGCTGCAAGTGGTGGAGTCTCAATATGAGTGAAAAATTCTCGCGAGGGACGTCAAACCAATCAAACTGGACTGCTTAATGAGGTCAAGGTCAAAGGAAAGGTCAAGCTAAAATAGTGTTGCAGTTGATAGATATCACCTTTTCGTAGAATTTGATAAAAATATCTTGGATGGTTGCCTTAAAGGAACATGTACAGTTTCAACTGAATTTATTATTCCCCTGGATCGAAATATCCCGATGAGATATTGTTTTGTCCTGTCTGTCTGTTGTCAACTTTGACTTAGCCCCTGTTGCGCTGTCAAGGGTAATGCTTTAATATTTGACATGAATGTTAATTATGACAAGACCTTTCCATTGGTACAGAATTTTTTTTATGATGTGATCTGAACTGTTAACTTTGACCTACATTTGAAAAACTTTTTATTGGCCATAACTATTGCACTGTAGCCCATAACTATTGAACCATCACAGGTAATGCTTTAATATTTGGCATGTGTGATTTTCCAGTTGGTACCCAAATTTTCGATCATGTTACGTCGACGTGACCTTTGATCTGAAAAAAAATTGAACATTGGCCATAAATGTTGCACTCTAGCCCATACCTTTTACACCGCATTTGCTACGGTAACCCTTCAAACATCTTACAAGTGTATACCACTTTAGTCTACGTCCCACTCCAGAATTGTGTTACCATCATGGGCATAGTGGTTCACAAACACATCTTGTTTTAACCAATTTTAATGTTTACAATTCCTAACTAAGGCAATTCTAAGGATCAGCAAAAATTGAACATCATTTGTTGATTTACATAGGAGATACAGAGCATAAAATTCTTTATAATATAAACAAGGCTTGTGTCTTGTTTTTGCTTACATATAAAAAATATCTTATCTATGACAAAGGGAGATTCAACAAATCACTAGAGACTGTCTAATCGTATTTAGAATTAACTTCTTGATTGAAATAAATCTGCTTTGGACGAACATATATTAGTATATTTAACCTATGTCTACAAAATCATGACACGGGCTTTGTTTACATAACAGTAGTTGGAGCTCTAAATCTCTCTTTTATATCGATAAGTGAAATTTAAATTTTTGTTATTCATTAGAAATTACTTCGATTAGTATTTGTAAATATAAAAAAACGGAAGAAAATTATTTAAATTTTTTTAGCTGAAATACCGTGTCAATGCCTCTTTATATCTGAACTAAATACTAGCTTGAACCAAGATGTGTTTGTGAAACACTACTGATGCCCCCGTATGGCAACATAGAGAAGGTTAAATTTTCTCAAATGCAAATCAAATGTGTTGATACCCAAAGTAAGACATTCTCTCAAGAAATACAAATGTGAAATATAAAACCCTAGCACACCTGTTTGAAAGTTATGGCCAAGGTTAACATTTGTAAAGGTAGGTAAAACTCAGGGGGTCAAGGTCAAAAGGTCAAGGTTTTTGGTTTCTAAAGAAAGACCTTGTCACACAGATTACATATGGGATGTATGAAAGTCATAGCCCTAACCGTTAAAAAAATATTGTCAAGGTTAGAATTTCAAAAAAGTATGTCAAACTCCAAGGTCAAAGGGTCAAAGTTGTTGGTATCC